TTAGTCAGCATTGTGTTTTGTAAATGCATTAGGCATTTTTTTTTTACTTGACCAAACTTTTGGGATCCAAGACCTTTGTCTGACATGCTTCCCAATGATGCCTGTACATTCCTCGGCCTTAGGACATCGCAAGTGATCTTGTAAAGCATAAAGCTATTCTGCACATGAGCTCCTCTTAATACCAAGGCATGGTGCTGTTAGACGTGCCTCAAAAGCAGAGCTATCCCTGGAACACATGGAATGAAAAGCAACAACAGGAGCACATTAGTACAAGGGGGCTTTGATATGCTCTGCAGTCCTTTGGGGGCAGGTGATCGTACATGGGTGGAAAATGTGGGGAAGGTGGAAGTGAAGGACCAGTAGGAATGTCAAAAGCAGCATGGCCACATAATGTAAATGCGAATAGGAAAGAGATGAGTGTAGCTGTGAGTCGTAAGGTATATGGGCTGAGCCTCTTGGGCGTGCCAATCAGAAAGTTGGTGGTTCGAATCCCCACAACGGGGTGAGCGCCCGTTGCTCTCTCCCAGCTCCTGCCAACCTAGCAGTTCGAAAGCACGCAAGTAGATAAATAGGTACCACTGCGGCAGGAAGGTAAGTGGCATTTCGATGCACTCTGGTTTCCACCATGGGGCTCTGTTGTGCCAGAAGCAGTTTAGTCTTGCTGGCCACATGACCTGGAAAGTTGTTTGTGTACAAACGCTGGCTCCCTCGGCCTGACAGCAAGATGAGCACCACAACCTTATAGTCGCCTTGGAGTGGACTTAACCGTCCAAGGGTCCTTTACGTTTACCCACGAGTTGTATCATTGGAGGTTGCACGGGAAAGGGATTGAAGTCATATTTTTGCCTTTAAATTTTCTCCGTATAGGGATAGAAGATTTGTCCGTTAAGTTCTGGGATGATTTCTCAGTGAAACACAAAATGGGACAAAAACACCCTTGTCAGTGGGTTTTCACAAACTGGGGGGGGGGGGGGGGTGATAGTTTTCAGAGTGTTTCAGAGGATTTGCTTTCTGAATGATTTGTTCCATGACCACTTCTCATTCCACGTCATTGTTTTTATAAGCCGTGTTGCGTTGGCTTCACTGTAATGACAGTTTATTGTTGTGTGGTACTGTAACCCCACCATGGGATTATATCATGAGCAGCAGGCGAGAAAATATTTGCATATAAAAGCAAACAAATAAATACCTGTTCTTTAGCAAACTCCCCTTTGACGGAGTATTTCAGGAATGCAGAAAACGTGTCGAATGCATTACCGGATGCAGAATCCTCATTTCTGAGACTCTCCGATTTCAGATTATATATGTTTCTGGTCCTTACTTTGATACTTTTGGAAGTATGTGGTTCATAACTGCTGAAACCTCCAAACCCCCAGAATTTGAGGGGTTTCGGTGCCTTTCTCCTCCAAGATTAGCAGTAGCCCAAATACTTTATGCAAGAGAGTTTTAAAAATGCACCGTATGAGATGTCATGCAAATTTGTGCAGTTTGTAGAATCCATTTCTAGTTGCAGAACTCACCTTTTCTTGACATAGATCTTGACTGTACATACAAGTGTGATGCAGACACAATCCTTGGCCATGTTCGTATTTTTTTTTTCCTGCACTCAGGAAAGTGCATTTGTGTGCCGCATGCCCTGCCTGATATATGTGGTAGATTGTCTCACAGGAACTGGAAATTCCTTATGTGCCCCAAGCCAAGCCCAACCCGTTGCCAATGCTACTTAGACAGCTGTAGCTGATGTTAAAGAGTGTGTTTTTCCTCTTCCGGAAGACATGAAGGTTTGACACTGAAGGTACTGAGGTGGTTCTGTGACAACCAAAAGGGTAGTTTATTGGGGGTGTGCCTCCCCAATCCCGGCTCCTCTGATTTCCCCACCCTTTCCCATCTTCCACTGCTCTCTGCTTTGGTAATGGCCGGGGCAATGTTGCTGTGGCTTGTTTCCTGTTTTGTTTCTGAGGAACACATAGGGGGGAACAAAGTAGGCTGGTTGTCACAGCACCATGGAGAGCTCCGGGACTGCAGACAGTGTTCCATCCCAACCCTGCCTGCCAGGGATCGTCTGCATGCAAAACAGATGCTCTAGCACTAAGCTATGACTCTTCCTCAGCTCTGGGGACTTCCTTATATCCAGAAACCAAAGTTAATAGTGATTCAATATAGGCTGATGCTAGTGTTGTCCAGGTGTTAAAAGTTGCCTGTTGTGAGAGGGCGGAACTAAGGGAGAGTGATAGGCTGTCAGTCAACAAAATCACCTTCAGGTCAGTATGAAACTAATGAGTTTTCTTTCTTTTTGCCAAGTCTTGGATTGTGTTTTCCATACAGGGTGGCACCAGTGTTTGGGCAATTGGCATTTTTTTAAAAAACTGCAAACATTTAAATTAACTAACATTGTGCAGATGAGAATTGTTTAGATTGTCCTTCCAGGCAGTCACTTTGCAATAACCTTCCTTGCCAGAATCTAGGGATCAAATCAAAATAAGAATTTGCAACCCGTGAGCTAAAATAAGGCTGAGCTCTCTGGAAGAGGAAAGACTTTTCTTGCTTTTTCCTCTTCTGCGTGTGTGTGTGTGCGTTGGGAGAAGGGTTCCCGTAAGATGAAAATTGCAATGGGAGTTTATGACCTTAAGATGAAGCAGGTCTCCTGTTTTTTGTTTAGAATCTGTGGTGTTTTAAAGGTCTGTGCTGTATTATTTATCCTCCTGGCTTTTGCACACGGGGCTTTATTTGCAGAAGGAAAGTGAGGTAATAAATCAGTCAACTGAAGAGCCAAGGAGGGAGAAAGCAGAGCCAAATAAGTTACTTAACTCACTAAACCCAGATGGAGAGGAAAGAGTCGAGCCAGGAAGGAAGGAGGGAGCAGGAAGGAGCAAGACACTAGCGGTAGCTGCCAACTTTTGATTTGGAAATGCTGGTTCTGGGGCAGGGTTAGGGCTTTCAGTAGTGGGGGTTTGCGGGTGGGTAGAACTAATAGCCAAAGTGTTCTCCGATTGCTCCTGTGGTTGGTACTGAAAGGCCCAGTTGGCCAAGGGCCAAACAGAAGGGGGGGTTCTCTTCCGTGGTCTTTTTTTTAGTGAATAGCAGCCCCCTGAGTGAGTTAGGTCACACACCAGAAGAGGGTCAGCAGGTGGTGCTGTGATCTAAACAGTCAGCCAACTTACTGTGCCTCGGGCCGGTGTCTCCAGCGCCGATCGCACGGCGGGCCGGAGGGCGGGGGAGCGCGTGCCCATACACATGCGCACATGCTATTTCTGGTGCACTTCCGGGTCGGAGGAGCACCAGAAATAGCTTGTGTGATGTGCACAGGCCTCCTCTGATCCCAATGTGCACTGGAAATAACGCTTGCGCATGCTCAAATAACGTGCATGCGCACAAGCTATTTCCAGTGCTCCTCCGCCACGGAAGTGGGCAGCCGTGCAGCGCCAGTGAGAGTGGGCGGCGGCAGCGGGCGGCAGGGGTCGCCGCAGGCTGGATAAATGAGTCCCTTGGGCCTTATCCGGCTGGCAGGCCTTAGTTTGGGGACCCCTGCTCTTGGGCTTGCTGATCGGCAGTTTGAATCCCCGTGATGGGGTGAGCTCCCGTTGCTCTGTCCCAGCTCCTACAAACCTAGCAGTCTGAAAGCATGCCAGTGCAGATATATAAATAGGTACCACTGTGGCGGGAAGGAAACAGCATTTCCGTGTGCTCTGGTTTCCGTCACGGTGTTCCGTTGCACCAGAAGCGGTTTAATCATGCTGGCCACATGACCCGGAAACCTGTCCGTGGACAAAGGCCAGCTGTCTTGGCCTGAAAGCGAGATGAGTGCCACAACCCCATAGTCGCCTTGGACTGGACTTAACCATCCAGGGGTCCTTTACCTTTTACCATCTCTTTCTTAATGTGCCCTTCCTGTTTGGATGTTGATATTCTAGGCGTATGTTTCAATTCCCTCTTGCCACTGAGATTGTCACAACACCCACCCACACCCAGCCTGATCTTTACAAGATTAATCTGAAAATAGCAAGGGAGAACATGGGCTCCTTGTGGAAAGGGCAAGAATGAATATTGCCACCTCCTTGCTGCTTTTAGCTCCATGGGGGATTTAAAAAGACAGCTGTCACTGCTGTCAATGTGGAGCCCTCCACATGTTGTTAGGTGACAACTTGTGCGCCTCCTCTGCGAGAGGTCCGGTGGGTGGCAACATGAGAGCAGACTTTTTCTGCAGTGTTTCCTCACTTGTGGAATGCTCTCCCCATGGAGTCTCGCCTGGCACCTTTGCTACATACCTTTAGGTGCCAGGCAGAAATATTCCTCTTTTCCCAAGCCTTTGGCTAATTAGACTATCAATGGTCTTTTAAACAGTGTATGGAGGAGCTGTTTTTGTTGGTTACTATGGTACGTATTTTAGTGTCTCTCTTATCGTCAACTGCCCTGTAATACTCAGATGAAGGGCAGTATAGAAATTTAATAAATAAAATAAAACAAAATTAACTCCCATCATCCCTGACCATTGGCCATATCCGCTATGGATGATGGGAACTGTAGTCCAACAATGGCTACCCTTGCTGTAGAACAATTCTTAGAGTAAGACAAATTCAGTTGTGCCAGTAATTCAACCCCACCTTAGGTTGGGGCACCTCTCAGTTGTGGGTCCCAGCCAACCAGTGTGAAGGCCTGTGTGCTTCAGATTAAATAAATGTACTTGTTTCATGCTTTTCTGTGCATAGATTCCTTTGAATTTCTCCCGCTGGCTGTGTCCACCTTACTGAAATGTGAAATGCTCAACTGGCAATGTTCTTGCCAGACTTGGAAACAACAGAATAACTTTGCTCAAGCCTTTTGTTTCACCGAATAATGCTATTGATTTATGACCACTTTGCTCTCCTCTAGAAACCTCTCCTGTTTTGACTCTGCCCCAACCTAGCCTTGCCTTCTTTCCCTTTGTATATTTAATTCTTCTGTTGCAGTTATGGCCCCTTTCACCAGTGTCCTCACCTGTCCATGCATCAATCAAAAACATGTATGCCAAATGTCTGGCGTGGCTTTAATCTCGACTTAGTTTCTAACATCAAAGAAATACTTCACTATTTTCATTTCACTACCCAGACACCTCTTCTAGCACAGACTCAGAGTTCAGGTATTTCTGAGGCTTGCCTCCTTTTGTCTCTCTGACTTTCCGCTTCGTCTTGAGCCACAGCGCAGGGCATCCTTCAGCTAAAGTTTCAAGGCATCACCTCTTGACCTTCCCCTTTCGCTGTTTAACCGGATGTCAAGATCTCGGAGCTGGCTGAGGAAACCAGAGTTTGGGCAGACTCCTCTGTGTTCTCGCACAGACTTTAGGGCATCCACGAGGGTCTTGTTTTCGCAGATCATCAAAAAGGCAAGCACAAGGGTGGCAGAGCGGCTTATGCCCATGGCACAGTGAACTAGTACTTTGCCTGCAAGAGAAGAGAAGACAAGAGCATCGCATATATGTCAGGGTACGAAAACCCCAGGTTTCTTGGTATGGTATATGTTGAGACTTGCCAGTAGGTCAAGACTGCGAAACCCAGTGGGGAATGTCAGGAATCTTCGTGTCATAATCCTGGTGTGCCTTCTTCACCAGCAAATTATGATATATGGATATTGATTCAATGCCTTTTCTGACTCTTACCAGTAAATATCAGAACTTTCTGTCATTTCCCCTTGTCCTGTTAAAATCTTAAGACCTACCAGTTCATCCAGCTGCCTCACGAAAAGTGGGTCTTATTGTGCGGATGGTAAAATGCAGAGGAGCTCAGCCCCAATTCTGTCCTATCTCTTTTGCAATGCAGCTACTATTTCCTGCCACACCGATTAAAGGGAGAGTTCCTAGCTAGCCATGTCAAAGGAGGACTAATTCTCCTGGGGTCTCTCCTGGGGCCATTGCCCTTCAGTGACATGAGAAGAAACCAGAGTCCCATCCCTAATATAGCTGTATAAGAAGGGACAAACAGAGACGTCTAGCTGGGTATTCCTTCTGAGGGTTCAATTATCTGAATTTGGTGTTTTAGATTTCAAAATGATTTGGTGTATCTCTGTGATTTTGAAATGTCAAATGTTGACTTGGCATGTTGAAGAATCTAAGTTTGTGTGCTTCTCTGTTGCAATGTGAGCTTCAAACAAGGAAAGCACAAAAAGTATCGATTGGAAACCTTCGGTTTTTGTTTGAATGCCACTATATGGGAATAGAGCATAGCAAAGATAGTGTCCGCACAATATTGTCCTCATCAGAATTCTGTCCCAAATTCCTCACCCAAATTCATTCAGATTTACCATTTTCACAGGGCAGTTGTTATTTTGAATGGATTTTCTATTGAAAGAGGTAAATCAGGATTAAATGGGGAACTGATTGTTGCATCTCTCATGGACACTTGGACCATTTGAGTATAGAATTTTAGAGCTGGAAAGAACCCTGAGGATCGACAAGTCCAACCCCCAGCGATGCAGGAATCTCCACTAGATCATAAATGGCAGGTGGCCATCAAACCTCTGCTTAAAACCCTCCAAGGAAGGAGAGTGCCCCACCTCTTGTAGGAGGCTCTTGCTGTCAGAATGTTCTTCCTGAAGTTTACTTGGAACCTCCTTCCTTGTAGCTTGAATCCATTGGTTTCAGTCCTAGCCTCCGGAGCAGGAGAAAACAAGTTTGCTCCACCCTCCATGGGACAGATATTTGAAGATGGCTATTATATCTCATCTCAGTCTCCTCTTTACCAGGCTGAAACATACCCAATTCCCTCAGCTATTCCTCATAAGGCTTGGCTTCCAGACCTTTTATCATCTCACCTCACTAGGGATGCTGTGGGATAAGGATTTGCCCAAGGCATCCCAGCGAACTCCATGGCTAAGCAGTGATTTGAACCCAGGTCTTCCTGGACCGGGGCCAGTCCTTTAGCCACTCACATCATACCTGCGCGTTGAATGCAGTAAGGCTGCCAGGACGACAGAGATGACATAGATTGCCCTGCCTGTTATATTTACCTCTGGGAGAGTTCAGCGCTGCTCTTATATACTTAGCGGCTGGGTGGAAGTAAATGCTGAGATCAAACTTTGGATCATCGTCTGCTTCAACTCCGTAGTAATCCACCGGCAGGTCTTTGTAGAATTTGGCCCCCGTGTCAATATGGAACCTTCCAGCAGCGGCATTTACTATGTGGGTGATACCCATTCGGCGAAGCTGTTCTATGTCACGGGCTATATATCTGTGGGGGAAAGAGTATTTGGCTTAGATTTGTGCTAGTCGCATCCATCCATCCTTGCCCTTAAAGACCACACAACGAATCTCTAGCCAGGCAGGTTCCCCACATCCAGCACTAATATGGTGTCCATGAACTAGTGTATTAACTGCTAACTTTCTAGACCATGCTAGATTTAATATCCTTGCTGGTTTGGGGACTCATAGCTCCCAAACTTGGGTCTCCAGCTGCTTGTGGACTACAACTCCCGTCATCCCTAGCTAGCAAGACCAGTGGTCAGGGATGATGGGAATTGTAGTCTACAAGCAGCTGGAGACCCAAGTTTAGGAAACACCACTGTAGAAAACCAGGCAAGCTGCATCCATGTGGTGCTTTATTCCATTTTCATGACTTTCCCCTAACTGTTAACTTCCACATTATATTGAGCTTTTGCACCACGCAGACACCTCTTCTGCAAGTATAGCAGAACATGGTAAAGCTTTAGTGCTAATTTACATGTTTCTTGCTTCCAGGGGAAAAAAATCCCTTTGCAAATAATATGGGGAGGAGTGCTGTTTGTTTGTTTAGTCGTTTCGTCATGTCCGACTCTTCGTGACCCCATGGACCAGAGCATGCCAGGCACTCCTGTCATCCACTGCCTCCTGCAGTTTGGTCAAAATCATGCTGGTAGCTTCAAGAACACTATCCAATCATCTCGTCCTCTGTCGTCCCCTTCTCCTTGTGCCCTCCATCTTTCCCAACATCAGGGTCTTTTCCAGGGAGTCTTCTCTTCTCATGAGGTGGCCAAAGTATTGGAGCCTCCGCTTCAGGATCTGTCCTTCCAGTGAGCACTCAGGGCTGATTTCCTTCAGAATGGATAGGTTTGATCTTCTTGCAGTCCATGGGACTCTCAAGAGTCTCCTCCAGCACCATAATTCAAAAGCATCAATTCTTCAGCGATCAGCCTTCTTTATGGTCCAGCTCTCACTTCCCATACATCACTACTGGGAAAACCATAGCTTTAACTATACGGGCCTTTCTTGCTTTTTAAGATGCTGTCTAGGTTTATCATCGCTTTTCTCCCAAGAAGCAGGCGTTTTTTAATTTCGTGACTGCTGTCACCATCTGCAGTGATCATGGAGCCCAAGAAAGTAAAATCTCTCACTGCCTCCATTTCTTCCCTTTCTATTTGCCAGGAGATGGTGGGACCAGTGGCCATGATCTTAGTTTTTTGATGTTGAGCTTCAGACCATATTTTGTGCTCTCCTCTTTCACCCTCCTTAAAAGGTTCTTTAATTTCCACTATAGTTGCACTGTATTCATGATAGTTCTGGAAGTGGCTTTTACATGGTGTGAAAGCTCAAATACAATATGGAAATTAACCATTAAGGGAAGCATGAACATACCAAGTCCATGCAGCCTTTGTATGTATTTGGAGTTTTTTTTGGAAGATTGTCGAATGTGAAGCATCAGCAGTCTTGTTTCCCATGCTGAGCATGCGCAACAACCCGCCACGCATAAGTTTGGCAGGTTTCAAAGTTGCGCTTTTAGATTTAGAATCTACTAAACCTCTTTGACCAGAAGTCTGGTGTGCAATGAGGCCTTTTGTCAGACTAAACCACATGTCTTGTGCAAGGTCAAGCCAGGTTCAAGTTCCTTGCATTAATTTACAAAGCCCTGAACAACTTAGGTCCAGGGGATCTCTCGAACCCTTATATCCCACCTTAATCATCTATGGGAGCATTGTTGGTCTTCCTCAAGCTGGTGAGGCTCACTTCATAACAACAAGTTATCGTGTCATCGGCTCATATTCTGCCAACATTCAGCAAGCACCTTCTGTTCCAGCTTTTAAATGCCTCCTGAAAACTTTTTTGTTCCTCCGGGCCTGTGCAGGCAATTAAGAATACATCTTTCCATAACGGTTAATTGATGTCTGTTTTTAACTTATTCATATGGTTTTTGCTGCATGGTTTTATGTACTGGAGTGGAAAAGCAGAGTTGGGAAGAGAGATGTTACTCTTCAGTGTGGGGAAATGCTTTCAAATAGCTTAGATGCCATTGTCCCATTTTTAATTGCAAAAAAACAAAACAAACCCCCATCCTAGTAGCAGGAACCAAGCTTTTAAGCAACCACTCAGCATGGTGCCTGGATGTCTGGGATTTCCCCAACACTGATGCTGGCATTTAATTTATTTATTGGAAGGCTTCAATTTGCTTCTCAACCAAATGTTCGCGCATTGGAATACAATGAAGTTGTGAAGACACCAGAAGCACAAAAGCATTAAAAAAAAAATTGGGCGATAGCCAGCGAATCCATCTTTGGAGCAGACCTATTGAAATGGATGGATTTGGTTACAGTGGTACCTCGGGTTACTTAATTCCTTCCGGAGGTCCATACTTAACCTGAAACTGTTCTTAACCTGAAGCACCACTTTAGCTAATGGGGCCTCCTGCTGCCGCTGTGCCGCTGGAGCACGATTTCTGTTCTCATCCTGAAGCAAAGTTATTAACCCGAGGTACTATTTCTGGGTTAGTGGAGTCTGTAACCTGAAGCGTATGTAACCCAAGGTACCACTGTATTTGTCCATTGGTTTAAGCGGGTTTGCTCCAAATACAGCTAGAACTGGATATCGCCCATTCGATTCATCAAATCATCCAATAAATGCAGCAATGGCAACCACTCCCTCTAAAATTAATGAGCGCTGAGTGCCAAGAGGACTGGAGTAAAAAATGGGGGCACCAGCATGTTCAGAGGAACACTGAGATGTGTAGATGTGCACACACACACCTATCTATCTATCTATCTATCTATCTATCAGGGCCACACACACACACACACACACACAAAAGAAGCCCAAAGAGGTCTGAATGTGCTCAGCAGCCATGGAATGTATTTGTCTATTACCAAAGCATAGTAACATTTGGGGGATATTGAAGGAAATGTAAGATGACTTATGACTTAATAAACAAACGCTGCCGCTCATTGTTAGAAAGGCAGCCATCTTTGATATTTTCTTCTTTTTTGTATATAATTTTTTTTATTGAATTTTCTGTTTTACATTTTAAAATACTCATTTTTACATCCTTAAGATATCAATGACTTCCCTTCTTCTCTCTCCATGGCTCATTTGACGTATAAATCCCTGCATATTTTACAAAAACTATACCATTCGGGATTCCATTATTGCATCCATCAAAACTTATTTACACTGTTGAATTTATCTGAACGCTGCCAGCCTTTTCAGCTGTACAGATATTTTCTTTTTAATGCTGTCTTACAATAACTCAACAGACACAAAGCAAAAATCCCTGAAACAAACAAACTATGTCTTTCGCGATTAAAATTTGCTCCAACTGAAGAATCAACCCAAAAAATCTAGGTTTTTTTAAAAACCTAAAATGAGTTAATAAACCCCAGCTCTAATGAATACCAGTTGTAGTCTGCCATACAACCCCAGCTTCTAGGCGAAGGCCTGTGATGCCATGTGGAAACAAGGACAAGATGGCAGAATAACCCCTTTGGCTGTCTTTTCCTTCTCTCCGCCTTTGGAAGTTGTTATAACATGGGCAGAATGTTCTCTGTCATCCCTTTAAGCCTGTTTACTTACAAATCTCCAATGTAGAGGTTAGGCCAGACTTCGTTGACGTTGCCGCGGCAGGGAATGGGCGTCCACAACATACGTTGGAGTTCCCCCATTTCTGGTGTTTCATAGCTCCCCTGGCTACTGGAAGTGAGGCTCGAAGTTCTTCGTATATTGGGGCGCTGCAAGTCGTCCCCATTTAGTGAATTCCAAGACATTCTAAAAGACAAGGAAGAGAGACTTTCCTCATTTGACCTCATGGTAGCCAGTGGCCTGAGAGTTAGACTGGGCAGACCTTGGATCAAATCCTTACTTAGCTGTAAATCTCATGGAATAACCATGGACCAATCTTTCCCTGTCAGCCCAATCATGCCCACCACCCTGAAGTTCCTAGAATCAAAGAAATCATGGTATACTGCTGGGTATCTTGTTGTTCCCACTTTTAACAAGTGCTTCAAAGCAGTTTACATACAAATTAAAGCTTGCACTGTAAGAGTAGGAGTTGCTACAGACATCTCCTGCCTTGGAGGTTTTAAAGCAGAAGCTTGATGGCCATCTGTCATGGATGCTTTAGCTGAGATTCCTGCATTGTAGGGGATTGGATTAGATGACCCTTGGTGTCCCTTCCAATTCTATGAATTGGGGATAGGGGGAGCATTTGAATCTAGGCCATATTTGGGGATTCTAATTAGACAGAATCTCATTTCTGCCATCTAGTGTCGGGGAGGCGGTAGCAGTTTTGACCCCACTGTTTGGAGGTCTTTTAGAAATGGATTCAAGTAAATTTTTACATTTTTTCACATACCTTGTACATGAATTTTCTTACGACATGATTTAAGAAAGCTCTATGTACTTTAACCTTCTCATACCACAAATATGCATGCCAACCATTCCTGTTATCATGACCTTCAAGCTCTAAAACATCAATTTTTAAAAATAATATCCATTCCCTTAGCCAGCATAGACAGGATGCCTCATAATATAATCTTGAATCTGGTAGAGAGAATCCACCTCTGTCTTTAGAATCTGCCAACAATTTATATTTTATTCTTGGCTTCTTCCCCTGCCAGATAAATCTAGTAATATGTTTTTGTCATTCTTTGAAGTATCCCACATTGCTGATCAAAGGTATTGATTGAAATAAAAATTAAAATTTTGGCAATGCATTCATTTTAATTACTGGTATCCTTCCCAATAGCAATGAATTCCTCCTTCCCAACACCTCTAAGTTTTTCTTTCTTTCTCTCCAAGTTCTTGTATAGGTGTCCTTAAAAATATTTATACTGTATTCTTAACTGTTATCCATACTCCTAAATATTTAACTTTCTTCTCAATCCCCTGGACCAATAGGCTTGCAGTTTGGGGTTGCTGCTGATTCCATTTCTGCTTCCACTGTGGTCAGCTCCAGGTTAGATTATTGCAATGCGCTCTTGTTTGAGCCTGACCTGTAAATCGTCTAGAAACTTGGATTACTATCTGGAACCAGCAAAGCAAACCACATCATGACAGCTCCCTGCTAGCTTCACTGATTAGCAATGTTTCCGAGTTTATTGTTCTTTAAAACATTTAAACCCCATTTTTCCACAGGGTAGGAATTTAATTATAAAACAATTCCCTACACATAGGAAAATGAAAGGTTATGGTTTAAAAGCCAGGATATTTGCTGTAGTATTTAGTTTCTTTGTACAGTGGAAACTTTGGTATGGAGGAATAGTCAGTTGTGGGAGCCCCTATTAAGGGGCACATCCTAAAGTTTAATGCCTCAGAAGAACTAGGCCTTTTACAGGAAACAGGCTTCAGGGAGATTCCCCACCCCCACCCCCGAGGCCCAGACTGACACCATCCATTCCAAGAAAAGCTCTCTCTTTCCATTATGGCTCCTTTCCACAAACTTCACATCTTGTGGCCATTATTGGGGCTAGTCACTGACTGCTTAACCCGACTGCCTCCCTGCAGCCATAATTTATTGCTTGCTGGGAGTGCTGCGGGGATGTAAGCAAAATGACTCAGCCCACAGCGATGACTGGAGTAGGGCTGGCTGGCTTTGAAAGCCGAGCCACTGGTGGTTTCTTGGGATGCAGAAGTATTTGAGCAGCCAACTGTTTGTAAGAGAATCTCCCCAGCAGCTGGAATCCAAATAGCGTCTCCCGATTTAGGAGAGGGCTCTTCGAAAAGCAGCTTTCATTCCACTTACATGATTGGTATAAGGTGACCAGATGCAATGGGGTGCAGAGACAGAATGAATTTGGGTCCCCTGGTATTCGGTGGCTGTGTGTCTGTAGTGTCCGTTCAGGGAAATATTCCCTGCGGAGCATGTCTGATCTTTCAAACGTATTGGTTTTATGAGAGCTGAACTCTCACAGCTTCCTGCAAAGAATCTTGGGGGGACTGTAATTTGTTGAGGGTCCTGAACACTCTCCACGGAGAGGTTCCTTGTTCCCACTTTTTCTCAGGGTGACCTTGCAAGACCATTGGGTTTATGCCTGCCATTTCAAAGCCCATTGGCTAACAGGGTTAAAATTCTGCACAAGGGAAACCCAAGTCCAATGAATTTCCCACAGTGGACAGAGCTACCCGTGAGGTCTCCCAGTGTGTTGAGAAAATTGGCCATCAGCTGCACATCAAGCTAATTTTATTGATCATGTTGTGGAATGGTCTATAAAACTCAAACTTCTCATTGCTGGTCTCCCTACCACCGCTCACACTTTGCTCCATTTAGCCAGTACTTGCGCTTACATTAAAGTGGTCTTGCTGATTCAGACGGTGACGTCTGGCATTCTGCTCCCAACTTTAGCTTAGCCAGAAGATCCCTATGGAAGCACATCATTGATGGCTGCACCCTGCTCTTTGTCCCCATCCTCTTTGTACTCAGATGAGCAGGCCTATCCTCCAGAAATTTGTCTCCCCTTAAAAAAAACCAAACCCAGCTATCTGTAGCAGCCAATTCCGTAGGTGGCTGATGCCAGAGTTCTGTTGCTCTTTTTAAAGGGACAAAAAATAAATACCCCCCCGCCCTTTCTCCATTTCCATGCAGCTTTGCCACCCAAAGGATACTCAGGGTAGTTCAATTCACTCTCCATACTTTGCCTCACTGCTGTATATAGAGAAGCAATGGAAACATGGAACACTTATAAATGCCACCTCCAGCTCCTCGAAAGATTCCATCAACAGTGTCTCTGAAAATTTTTACACTTCACTTGGGAAGACAAGTGAACTAATGCCAGTGTACTGGAAGAAGTAAAGATCACCAGTGTCGAAGCAACGATTCTACAACATCAACTTCGTCAGACTGGTCATGTTGTGCGGATGCCTGATTATCGTCTTCCAAAGCAACTACTCTATTCAGAACTTAAAAACAGAAAGCATAATGCTGGTGGTCAATAAAAGAGGTTTAAAGACTCTCTCAAGGCAAATCTTTAAAAATGTAGTATAAACACCGACAACTGGGAAACACTAACCTGTGAGCGCTCCAGTTGGAGAACAGCCTTTACCAAAGGTGTCATGAACTTTGAAGATGCTCAAACTCAGGACAAAAGGGAGAAACGCCTAAGAGGAAGGCATGCTTGGCAAACCCTCACCGTGATCAACTCCTGCCCGGAAACCTATGTCCCCACTGTGGAAGGATGTGTGGATCCAGAATTGGCCTCCACAGTCACTTACAGACTCACTGTTAAGACCATGTTCATGGAGGACAATCTTACTAGGCTACAAGTGATCGCCAAAGAAGAAGATACAAAGATGCAATACCCAAGTGACGGCATGGAGTACACCAGCAAATCCATGCTAATGTTGTTTTGAGCTTGCACTCTGACAAATCTAGGGACAAGCACCTAATTTCCCTTGCTTTTGTGTTGCTGAAAGCTCTGAAACATTTTGTCACTGGTTGCATACTTCCTTGCCCAGTTACAAATGTTCTGTGCTCTTTTAACACAGATGCATTTAACTACATCTGCATGTGTTATAGCTACAATCCTTTATATATACAATCCTTTAATTACAGGCGTCGTTACATCAATATCCATCAAGAGCAGGAACGCCTGGTGTAAAAATCACCAGGAGGGCTTTTGCGTGCCAAAAGTGAAGTTCAAGTCCTCCGGTGCCGATGATGTCACCGGCATTTGTGAGGAAACACAAACATTTCAAACCTGCTCTGGGAATTGTGTCCTTGCCTAGCTCTAGGTGTTGCTGAAGTCATCATCTGGAGAAAGAGAGATCCCCACAGCCTGCTTTTGGATTTTTGGCATGAGAGGCAAAGAAATGACTGGCGGCCAGGCATTGCAATCCATTCTCCTCCTCCAGCCCGTATTTCCTTTGAAGAGGGTGAAATATTTGGCAGGGCAACGACTGCAAGATGGGACCCTGTAACTAAAGCGGCTGCAAAACTGTCTGCTGAACGTTATTTTGGCTTCCATCCATTTAGAAAGTGCTGTTGAATTACTGCTGAAAGTTTAGGTAAGCCCTAATTTTAGGAAAGTTTCGGGGGTTGTTATATTTAAATAGAAACGTCTATCGAATCACTTTCCAGCTACAGCTAAGAGCCAGTGTAGTGTCGTGGTTAGCCAGTCAAACTGGGACCCAGGAGACTAAGGCTCAAAGTCCTGCTCAGCTGTGAAGTTCACTGGGCAATCTTGGGCCAGACATTGTCTCTTAGCCCTAGCCATACCTCACAGGGTTGCTGTGAGGATATTATGGGCTTTTTTTGGGCAGGAGGCACGTGCCCCATCTTGAGCTCCCTGGGAAAAGGTGGGGCATAAATGCACAAAACGATGAACAAACCAGCATCTGGAGTCTCGACAACTGAGATTGTGAGACAAACTAAATGTGATAGTCCCTGTGTCCATTGAACTCAGATCTGAAAAGGGCAGCCTCATGTAAAACAAGGAGCAAGCGTCTCAAGTGCATGTTAAAATGAAACTCAACCCACATTGCAAGATTCATTTTTCAAGTGAAGCCTCTGGGAGCTTTCAAGGGAGCTTAAAAACAGCAACAATACACAACTCGGATAAGATGTGAACGTTCTCAGGGAGCCTTCCCACATCCCCGGCAATCTGTAAACCAAATGGCTATTTTTGCTGCTTGTTTTATGTGTATTTTGGTGTGGACATTTGTGTGTTTGTTTTTTACTGCTCGTTTCTTTTCTCTGGAAAGGCTGCTGTCATGGTGAGTTACTATCGCATCACACAGTACGCTGCCTTTATTGTGATGTCACTACATAGGACATGGTTTGTGAGATCACAACACACACACAAAAGTCATTGGTTGGGGCCGATGAAAGGAGAGCTTCGAACCAGTGCCTGATACTGGTGAGATGTGCCCTTAGCAACCCAGCCTGAATCGGAGGAGGCAGCTAATGCTGCGTATCAACTTGAGCTCCCAAATTGTCCCTGTGGGTAGCAGCTCTGAGCAGGGCACGCGGCCATAATCCTGTCTCAGCAACACAAAGGTAGGAATGACACTCCCTGTCACTCAGTCTGAATGGAAGGGAAATGATTGCAGCCATGGCAGTGCTCCCCTGTCACATAAGCCTCTAGGAGGAGGAGCTATTCCCGAGGCACCCTGGAATTAGAGGATTAGAGTGAGCATCGAATAGTCCCAAAAGCTTGTCATTCCTACACTTTGGGCAAGTTCCCGACTGCACGCGCTTCTCTGCCCCCCCCAACAAGGCATAACACAATTTCAAAGGATTATATGTAATAGGTGAAAAGATGTAGGCTGTGCAATCTTATGCAAGTTTGCTCGGAAATGAGTTTCATTGAGTTAAACGGAATTTGCTCTTGGGTAAATGGATGTGAGAGTGCAGGCAGTTGAAAAGGAAAAGGAAAAGGCTCCATACAGGAGTGCTGTTTTTGTTTTTGTTTTGTTTTAAAAATTGTTTTTATTTTTTATCTATGTCATTTTAAATTGTGATTGATATTAATGCTGTATTCTTAGTTTTAGATTTTATGAGTTATGTGGAAACTGTTTTCCATTTGGTTGTGTACTTTCTGATGTGTTTTATTTATTGTTTATGACTTTTGTTATGTTGGTAGTTATGTAAATCCGGTCATGCTGTAAGCCGCCTTGAGCATTGTTTTTAACTATGGAAAGGCGGCATTCAAATAAAATGATGATGATGATGATCAAGAAATTCCAAGTTTGTTCCTTCGTTGCCAGCAATATTCAGTGGATGGGTTTGTTTTATTTCGTCAACACTCCCTAACCCTCTGACCAAGCCGTCACCTGCCTTTGTGAAAAACATGTCTGATTATTCTATATTGAAATGGAAACATGATGTAAACTTATTTTAATAACTTTCAGTGCATTATATGAACTATCGGAATAGGTTGTTGCCCAGGTAGCTTCCAGGATGGGTGTCCCTATTTTCCCACCCTAGTTACACTACTGCCATGGAAAGTAGAGGGAAGAAATCTATTTCCACATACAGCAAAACACACTGATGGCAGTTATGTCATTTCCATCTGTATCTCACCTCCTCAGCTTGCCTGTGCTTCCTGACTGTGGCAATCTGCAGTAGGGATGGCAGCAAATTCAGGTTCCTTCTCTGCCACCACTGCATCTTCGGAGTGGCAACCAGCAGAACTCTTTCAAGTTGTCTCCTCCTTATGGCCTCCTGCCAGGTAATTTACCTGAACTCTCAGTACCATGCTGAGACATATTTGCAAAGCACTTGGAGGAGAAAATCACTTCCATGCGTCCATTCCGACTTGGATCCCAGTACGTTTCTGAGCACAATTCAAAGTGTTGGTGCTGCTGACCTTTAAAGCCCTAAATGGCCTCAGCCCAGTATACCTAAAGGAGCATCTCCACCCCCATTGTTCAGCCCGGACACCGAGGTCCAGCTCTGAGGGCCTTCTGGCGGTTCCCTCGCTGCAAGAAGTGCGGTTACAGGGAACCAGGCTGAGGGCCTTCTCAGTGGTGGCACATGCCCTGTGGAATGCCCTCCCATCAGATGTCAAGGAAATAAACAACTATCTGACTTTTAGAAGACATCTGAAGGCAGCCCTGTTTAGGGACGTTTTTAATGTTGGATGTTTTATTGTGTTTTTAATATTCTGTTGGGAGCCGCTCAGAGTGACTGGGGAAACCCAGCCAGATGGGTGGGGTATAAATAAATTATTATTATTATTATTATTATTATTATTATTGCTATATTGGATGGAGAACAATTATATAATATCTTAGACCCTTCTGGTTGCTTCAGCCTAGATTTGTTTATTGCAGTCAGAGGATGTTGGCAGTGTGTTTGGAACAGTACATCCAGCCACCTAGAGTATGAACTTGACTTTTGACCGCTGTATAACTAACTAGTTGAGTGGGGTGTGATTGGTTGGGTGCAGAAAGTGGTAAATATCTCACTAGGACTTTTCATTTTCCTTAGCGAAGCACTTGAAGAGGGAGCTGGAGGTTTTCTCTTGAAGAAATGGTCCATGGATTGAGGCGATTCTTCCAAATATGAGCTGATCATAAATTCTCTGGATGATCTGCCAATTTTGGGTTCTCTTAGTTTCTTCTTATTCTTGTCTTTTAAATCGGTCTGCTGTACCAGTTTGTTAATGAGGTCTGCCCAAAAATGTATACGCACACTTCTTCTAATATGCCTCATATTTTAGGCCAACTTTTAACTTATTCTTTGTCTTTTGATCTCTCAGACCTATGCTCCTACAACCATTGTGGTTCAAAACTGGTTGAAGCAGGGTTCCAGGAAAGTCGGGCAAAGGCTTGCAAAAGTATTTGGACTAGCTTCAATACAATTTGTGAAAATGCCTCTGTTTCTAACTGACTTCCAGTCAAACAAGATATTTTTGGCTAGATGCCTGCTGCAGTATGCTCAGACATAATTTGGATCCAAGTTTTATAGTGAACCCGAGGGCCAAAGTAAGCAGGAACGCTTGAGAAATTACATCTGTTTGCTTTAAGGTCACATTTCCAACTAGAGTTGGCCGTTCTGAGGGCATATCTATCTGCACCGCAGCTTTAAATTATCCATTGCATATTATTAGCAACAAGTAATTTTTCTCTCTCCATCCTGTCCCATCCCCTCCAGTGTGGAGCAAGGTCTTATGGCTACTCTGTTCCCCACGAGGATTCTGAATACGCTTGTAAAATACCGTGTCGACAATTTGTGTTCCTTGCAAGACACTGGGGGGTTCTTTCTGTCTGTACTTGGGACAATGAAATAGATCTTCCAGCAAAACCACCCTCTTAAACGGGGCATCAGTCTTGAGGTCTACAGTGGTACGTTGGTTCTCAAACACCTTGGTACTCAAACAGCTTGGAACCCAAACATTGCAAACCCAGAAGTTAGTGTTCCAGTTTGTGAACTTTTTTCGGAAGCCAAACATGCTCCATTTTGAGTGCCACACTTCTGTTTTGAGTGTTACGCTGAAGTCTGACTGTTTTTGCTATTTATTTTGCGTTTTTGTTTTTGTGGCTTTTTTGTTTTGTTTTTGTGACTGTGTGGAACCCAGTTCAGCTACTGATTGATTGATTGACTGACTGACTGATTGTGTGACCGCAGTACATTGTTTATTGCTTTCATTTTATGGATCAATGGTCTCATTAGATAGTAAAATTCATGTTACATTGCTGTTTTAGGGGTTGTTTTTAAAAGTCTGGAAGGGATTAATCCATTTTGCATTACTTTCTATGGGAAAGCGCGCCTTGGTTTTGGAACACTTTGGTTTTGGAACAGACTTGTGGAATGGATTAAGTTTGAGAAGGTACCAAGGTACCAGTGTAGTTGTTTATGAGTCCCCAGGGCAGCAGTGGGGAACTTGCAGCCGCTCTCAGTGTTATTGAGCTGCCATTCCCATCATCCTTGACTATTGGCTATGCTGGCTGGGACTGATGGGATTTGGAGTCTCAATGATTCTGTACTGCTGCCCTAGGAAATATGGTATTTTAAGAGACTATTCTATCAAGGTTAAAGCCAACTCCTGTTGCATATATATCCACGACAACCCTATTTCTGTTGACATCATTTGTCCCTACACTGAGTAATCTTTTTACTGCCCTATCACCCAGCACGCTATTTATTTATTTTATTGCCCAACTTACCACAGTGCCTGCTAGCTGATCTGGCAGCAAGTTCAGGTCAAACGAAATTACAGAGGCTAACAGTGAGAACAACGTATAAATGTCTTTCTCGGTTCATGTGCCTTTGGAGGGCAGCCCGGGGCAGATTGAGTTGAGCTGCTGCCGTTCCTTTGGATGCAATTGAAAAAAGGCTAAGCCTCTTGAGAGTCCCATGGACTGCAAGAAGATCACACCTATCCATTCTGAAAGAAATCAGCCCTGAGTGCTCACTGGAAGGACAGATCGTGAAGCTGAGGCTCCAATACTTTGGCCACCTCATGAGAAGAGAAGACTGCCTGGAAAAGACCCTGATGTTGGGAAAGATTGAGGGCACAAGGAGAAGGGGACAACAGAGGATGAGATGGTTGGACAGTGTTCTCGAAGCTACCAGCATGAGTTTGACCAAACTGCGGGAGGCAGTGGAAGACAGGAGGGCCTGGCATGCTCTGGTCCGTGGGGTCACGAAGAGTCGGACACAGCTAAACGATTAAACAACAACAAGCCTCGACAGGAGAACAATGGTCTCTTTGCAAAGGTCACAATGGGGTGTATCAAAAAGGTCTGGGGAGGACAATGTGGCAATGTGGAAGTGTGTTAGACTCAGGCCAGTAGAACCTGAGTTCAAACTCAGTTATGAAGCTCACTGGTCGATGCAAGACTACCCAGTATCTCTCTCAGCCTTAACCTATTTCTGTGTCCGGACAGCGAGCAACAGTCTTTCCAATGTGTTGACGGAGGAAGCAGTAAGGACTAGACTCAGAAGTGTTTCTCAAACTCGGGTCCCCAGCTGTTGTTGGACTACAACTCCCATTATCCCTAGCTACCAGGACCAGGACCAGGGATGATAGGAATTGTAGTCCAAAAACTGTCGGAGACCCAAGTTTGGGAAACACTGATTTAGTATCCTCTTTCAGGCTGTGCTCCTGCTACTTTGGCAAGCGTTCTTCCCCTTAGCCAGCCTTCTTTCTCCTTTGCTGTGTGATCCCAAACACTCAGGGATCCTGCAGCGAATGTGATGACATCATGATAATGTGTAGCCAATCACATCTGGCTTATGTGGCAACATGAAACTCCAGCTGAAAGAGAGTTTCACATGGACCATCCTAGCCAAACAAGGACCATCCTAGCCAAACAAGGGGCAGGGGACAATCAAATATGAAAATTTTGATTGACTGTGACAGCACTAACTTATGTCAGCCACATGGGGCCTAGGACTTGGCTAACATTAGTAAAGAAACAGCGATTTGAATGTGCTATATACATGCAACACCAGATGGCGCCAGAGAGCAGGAAATTTCCAAGCGTGATTTTTCATAGATTTTTTTCCTTCTGTTAAAATGATCTAATTTCTGACTTATTTCTAGCGGTTTCCCCCTGTGTTTAGACTCACCCCTGGACAAATATTTTATGGCAATGGAGGGCCAAACATCTTATCTTAAAATCAAGGCACTCAGGCTTCCCCACCCCTCTGGAGCAGGTGGCAAAGATTACTTTCCCCCTTGCTGTTGTTATTTAGGCAGAGAATATGGAGATCATCTTTTGGTGGGAAATGAGGACGAAAGCATTTCGTCTGTTTCTCATTTTATTCTTAAAAGATGGGATACGGTCAACTCCAGAACAGTCGTAGCCACCTGTTCAATTAGGGTTTGTGAACTGAAGCTGATGGGAATTTGACACTCTGTTGCTTTGCTGGGTTTTTGGGATGGATCAATGGAGTCTTCTCAGATAGCAGTGACACAATCTGTATGCTAGCCCGTGGAATCCCAGATGTCTCCCATAAATCATTAGCATACAGCCCCTGCTACAGTCGAGAAGGCTGAGTGTAGCATAATGCACTAAAAATAATAAATCAAATTAGCACAAAGGTCAAGCCAGCCCAGAGGGACCGGGGATCAGCTAGTTCATCCTTGCAGTGCAAGCTAAGCGATGCGGTGAAATAGATGGAATCTCCACCTGCCTCTTCCCAGAGACATAATTCATTACCAAGCCCTGAGATGCAAGGAAGAAAATGTGGCCGCAAGAGAGTTTAGTCCAAGCAATGTGGCAGGGAAAAGGAATATCTGAGGCTCTTGCAAGAGAAGAGCAGAAGAGCTGAAGGGGCCAGTTTGTATGGCAGAAATTGAAAGTTCCTGGTTATCCTGAAACGCTGCAAAACTATATGGATGTGGGCAGAGGCATCTTAGAGATGGAAACCATGAAGAGGTCAAATAGATTCTAGAACCAAAACGCATTTGTTTCCAAAAATTCTCATTTTCTAATTATATTGTTAAGTATCAAGTATTCAGAGAATATTCCCGTACCAGTAATTTGGAGAAATCTTGGAGGGTATGGAGTTATCTCCTTGGCTGGGGGGGGGGGGTCACATAACTCCATACTCTCCAACATTTCTCCAAATTACTGGTACTGGAATATTCTCTGAATACTTGATACTTAACAATATAATTAGAAAATGAGAATTTTTGGAAGCAAATGTGTCTTTATCTCCTTGGCTCGGGGGGCGGGCGTGTCACATGAGTGAGTATATAACCTTTAGAAGACATCTGAAGGCAGCCCTGTATAGTTTTATGATGTTTTTATATATGTTGGAAGCTGCCTAGAGTGGCTGGGGTAATCCAGTCAGATGGGTGGATTATTATTATTATTATTATTATTATTATTATGGAATAGGACATCCCTATTTTCATTTGAGAAATGACGGAGGGTGTGTAATACCTCCTGGACATGTGAATACTTGAATTGTGGGAGTAGTACAGAGAGACTGTGCTAGATTATAAATATTCTTGGTTTGGTTTCCATCGTTGTGGTTAAGCAATTCTCTGCTGTAAATCTAAAAAACCTGAGCAGTCTGTCTCTTTAGACTCCCAGGGAATGTGGGGGGAAACAGAAGTGCCATTTGATTTCTTCCTCCCCACTTGCAATTTGCTTTCTCTGAATAATCGCTCCAATCCTTTATATTTCAATCCTGTGAAATATATTTAGTAGGAGGCCTTGTGTGGCAGCGATTAAGACTGTGTGTGATTTTTTTAAAAAAATAAGGTGGAATTAGAAGCAGTCTGCGCTCGGTATCAAGGGAAAGGGAATTCAGGAAAGCAGGGCTGCAAATTTATCACAGCGGCAGCAACATGCCTTCCACCTAGCGAAGCCAAGATCATAATAACAGATGCACATAATAATTACCTGCACCTCAAAAGGCAGCTCTGAGACTTGCGACTTCTGCTTCCTGCATCACACAGTCAGTGAAACAGCAGGGTAAAGATGTAAGAAAAAGCAGAAGCAAGGCAGCGTTGGTGGTAAGTACTGAAAGGCAAGTGGCAGAGCTGACGGGAGGATATCAAAAGGCAACGGAGGATTGCTAAGGATAGAGGGAGGAGGCTTCTGCAGCTAGCTGAAGGGACAACATAAAACCCTGCAAACCCATCATAAAGAAGAGCTTTACCTTTTGTCTTGCCTAGAGCTGTGATAAATGCTCAGGGTGATTTGCCAATGTGCAATTCAGGACTCTGGCAGGTGTAGTGCCTATGGGTGGGAGCCCAGAAGTCCCTGGAATCTCACTTGAACTCGCTAGGTGATCTTAGCTAAGTGGCCCAACTTCCCATCTGCAATGGGGGCGGGATAATAACACTACCCTCCCTTTTGGGGTTCTTGTAAGGAGTACTGAGAAAATGTGAAGTGCTGTCAGCATTTTAAATATGCTACATGAACACTGGGCGTTGTTATTATTTAAGCTTAATTTCTACAGAGTGTGCAGTGTCTACATTTTGCAACCCAACATGTCTCAAATAATGTAAAAGTTTGCCTTCATTTAGGACGGGGTTTCCCAAACTTAGGTCTCCAGCCGCTTTTGGACTACAACTCCCATCATCCCCAGATAGCAGGACCAGTGATTGAGGATGATGGGAATTGTAGTCCAAAAACAGCCGGAGGCCCAAGTTTGGGAAACACTGATTTAGTATCTGCTTTCAGGCTCCTGCTACTTTGACAAGCTTTCCTCCTCTTAGCCAGCCTTCTTTCTCCTTTGCTATGTGATCCCGACCGCTCGGGGATCCTATAGCGAATGTGATGACATAATGATACTATGTAGCCAATCACATCTGGCTTATGTGGCAACATGGGCAATCCTAGCCAAGCAAGGCACAGATGTCCTCTCTGCCTACAGCAGGTCTCTCTCTGAAAGGGAAGCTGATGGTCACAGCACCACGGAGAGCTCCAAAGAAGCAACTAACTCCAAGAAAGTCCAGAGGTGAATTGATGTCTCACTAGTCCCTCTCCTAAGCTCCACCCCTCTGCCTGAAGAGTGTACATCCTTAAAGGGCTAGCCCCTATCTAACCAGAAGGAAAGCACTTCTCTTTCCTGTGGGCAAGCAAGGTGGAGTGGAAAGTACTTTGCTCCTCAGACAGTTTGGGCTCAGGGCTCAGGATTCCTTGGGGGCCCTGGCTTGGGTGTTGCAGGTTCCTGACCACCAGGTTCAGTATCAGGAACCCAGTCTGGCTCCTCAGCCAGTGGTACAGCAGCCCCAGACTCAGCCAGCTCCTCCTCCACCTCCATGCTTGAGGTTTGGGCCACAGCAGCTAACCGCCCTCACTCTGAAATCACCAAATGGGCAAATGCTTCTGCCCACCCTTTTATGCCAAGTTCCCAAATGACACTGACTGGGGCAGTGCTTTTTGAAGCTACCAAATATGGGTTGCAAAAAGAACCGTGCCTTTTTGGCTCAGCCTTATTTCATACCCTCCAACATTTCTTGGCTGAAAATAGGGATGTCCTATTCAATAATAATAATAATAATAATAATAATAATAATAATAATAAAAAAAAATACCCCACCTATCTGATTGGGTTGCCCCAACAACTCTGGGCAGCTTCCAAAATATATAAAAAATAACAAAACATTAAACATTTAAAAACTTCCCTATACAGGGCTGCCTTCAGATGTCTTCTAAAGGTTGTATAGTTACTTATCTCCTTGGCTTGGGGAGTGACACAACTCCATAACCTCCAACATTTCTCTGATGAAAATAGGGACCTCCTAAGGAAAAGTGGGGACGCGGGTGGCGCTGTGGGTTAAACCGCAGAGCTTAGGACTTGCCGATCAGAAGGTCGGCGGTTCGAATCCCCGCAACGGGGTGAGCTCCCGTTGCTCTGTCCCTGCTCCTGCCAACCTAGCAGTTTGAAAGCACATCAAAGCGCAAGTAGATAAATAGGTAGCGCTCTGGTGGGAAGGTAAACTGCATTTCCGTGCACTGCTCTGGTTTGCCAGAAGCAGCTTAGTCATGCTGGCCACATGACCCGGAAGCTGTACGCTGGCTCCCTCGGCCAATAAAGCGAGATGAGCGCCACAATCCCAGAGTCGGTCATGACTGGACCTAATGGTCAGGGGTCCCTTTACCTAAGGAAAAGCAGGACATTCTGGGATCAAATCAGAAACCAGGATGGCTTCTGTAAATTCAAGACTGTCCCTGGATAATAGGGACACTTGGAGGGTCTGCTTATTTGCTATTCATGCCTTTTTTTTCCAGAGGCAATTTGCAGAATTACCTTTGCCTAAGAGTTGCTGCGGCTACTGCTGTTTTTAAAACAAGTTTCCTATATAACCATGCTAATTTAGTAGTCTTTGTATGCTGGGTAATGTCTAGCTGCTGCCGTTTGAGACACACAAGCCCAGTACTCACACGTTGGGCATTACTGTGTTTGCTTGGAATGGAGTGCACTTTTAGCCCCACCCCTGTTTCAAAGAACAACAAGTTGCCTGCAGTTATCTGAAGAAAAACTCCAATGCACAAGCTCTGTGTGATTGGGACACACAGTTGTGCAGATGTAGAATGCGGGTGGCGCTGTGGTCTAAACCACTGAGCCTCTTGGGCTTGCCGATCAGAAGGTCAGCGGTTCAAATCCACAGGATGGGGTGAGCTCCCATTGCTCTGTCCCAGCTCCTGCCAACCTAATAATAATAATAAATTTTATTTATACCCTGCCCTCCCCAGCCAAGACCGGGCTCAGGGTGGCTAACAGCAGGTATAAAAACAATTGATTAAAATACAACTTAAAATGCAGCCTCATTTCAGTGGAAGCCCAGATCAAAAACTGTTTGAGGGGAGAAAACATCTAATCTTCACCATGGCCAACTATCCAGACTGGTCCTACATGGACCAGAAAAAAGCCAGGGAAGTCCCCAAATAGGGGTTCCATCACAGAAGGAAAAGGAAAGAGGGGGAGGGGATCAGGTTGATTCCAAGCCAAAGGCCAGGTGGAACAACTCTGTCTTACAGGCCCTGCGGAAAGAAATCAGATCCTGCAGGGCCCTGGTCTCATGAGACACAGCGTCCCACCAGGCCGGAGCCAGTGTTAAAAAGGCCCTGGCCCTGGCTGAGGCTAATCTGACTTCCTTAGGGCCCAGGACCTCTACAGTGTTGCTATTTATGGACCTTAAGGTCCTCTGCGGGGCATACCAGGAGAGGCGGTCCCGTAGGTACGAGGGTCCTAGGCCACAAAGGGCTTTAAAGGTCAAAACCAGCACCTTAAACCTGACCCTGTACTCCACCGGGAGCCAGTGCAGCTGGAAAAGCACTGGGCGAATGTGGTCCTGTGCGAGGACCCTGTAAGGAGCCTCGCCACGGCATTCTGCACCCACTGGAGTTTCTGGGACAACTTCAAGGGCAGCCCTCGTAGCAGCAACCTAGCAGTTTGAAAGCATACCAGTGCAAGTAGATAAATAGGTACTGCTGTGTCAGGAAGGTCAACAGCATTTCCGTGCGCTCTGGTTTCCGTCACAGTGTTCCGTTGCACCAGAAACAGTTCAGTCCTGCTGGCCATATGACCCAGAAAGCTGTCTGTGGACAAACGCCTGCTCCCTTGGCCTGAAAGCGAGATGAGCGCCACAACCCCATAGTCGCCTTTGACTGGACTTAACCATACAGGGGTCCTTTACCTTTTTATCTGCAGGAATCCTAATTGTGTGGAGGCTGTATACATGGTCAGGAGCTCATGAACTGGGGTGTCTCTTCAGGCAACTGCAGACAACCTGTAGCTGCTTGAGGAAGGAGGTTTGACCTCAGAGGCAGGACAAAAGCACAGTCCAAGTAAACATACCAGTGTACTCCATTCATATGTTGTCTGTCTGGCCTTTTTCTCAGTCCTTACCTGGAGACACCATGTGTTCTTATCATTGAGCGCCAATCCATGAACAGAGCTCATCTCTGCTTGGGCGGGAGCCAAGGAAAATAATTTTGCAGTAAGATTATACCTTAAATAGGCAAACAAACAATATTCTGTTCCATGCAGCTACCTGGGGGGAAAAGTAGCCGCAGGAGCACTGTGTTTTATTATTTGGGGACAACAGCAGCTGTTTTAAAGATGAATACGATCACTCTCGGAGTCTGCCTGCTAACTCCTGGCCAATATATCTTTGTAAAGAAATAGGGTACAGTGGTACCTCTGGTTACGTACTTAATTAGTTCCGGAGGTCTGTTCTTAACCTGAAACTGTTCTTAACCTGAAGCACCACTTTAGCTAATGGGTCCTCCTGCTGCTGCCATGCCGCCGGAGCACGATTTCTGTTCTCATCCTGAAGCAAAGTTCTTAACCCAAGGTACTATTTCTGGGTTAACGGAGTCTGTAACCTGAAGCGTATGTAACCTGAAGCATATGTAATCCGAGGTACCACTGTATTAGAAATGGCAACATGAGTCATCCACAGAAACCTGTAAAAGCTGTCCCTTAAAAATTTCAGCAATTTGAAGAAGTAGGGAGTGCAAAGCCGTCTTTTTAGGAGGCAGGGAACGTCAAGTACAGAGTGAGTATGCAACCCCCAGTATGTCTTGCTAAAAATAAACCCTTTGATAGCTTGAGCAAAGAATGTGAAATGCTTGCATAAGCGTGAACATCATGCTGACAATTACTAGAAATTAGTTTGAGTTTCATGATCTTGCTTAGTTTACATACCATATCTTAACTTCTTTCCTCTTTAAATAGACTTACGGATAGCCCATTTCCTCACTAGGAGAACGCTTGTAAAGATGCAAACAAATGCAATCAAATAACACCTGCGAGTAAGTCTAATTGAATTCATAAGTGGGGCTTCCTTCAAAGTTGCAAATCACTGAATGCTGCAAATCCCATTTTGCTTGAGAACATTCACTATATGACACTGCCCATCAGATATTCTCACCATCTCAAACACAAATACACAAAATCCCCGAGAGCTAAAGCAAATTTGTTGGGGAAGGATCTTTACGGCTCTTAAATGTCAGCTTTTCAGGCAAGCAATCTGTTGCTAAACATCTCAGAGTTGAGATGGAAAAACAGGATGTCAACATGTGATATTTAAATTCCAAGTGAATTGCCAGATTTAGGAATATGCTCAAACACAAACAGTGCATTTAAAAGACAAAACGGTTGAGTCTGAAATTTGCATCCTGCTCAAGGAATACAAGCCCAATATGGGACTTGTTTCAGATCAACATGTGAACTTCAGCTTCCTGCATCTCTGCAACATTATGGATTTTTCTTATTTCTTCACCCCCACCCCACCCCAGATTTCCTTCCTCCCTTAAACTCTTCGCTCAAGCTTTCACCTCTGTCCTTATTCTTCCGGTCCATCACCTACTGCAACTTTCTTTTCTCAGTAACCGCCCAACTTATCACATCCTGCTGGTTATATATCCCCCTGCCCCCACTTTTCCTAGCCTCCTATGCACCCCTTTCCATAGACTTTTATTCCTTCTCGGCCCATCTTTAGGATCTGAGCTGCTCAGCCAATGACTGCCTGCCCTGCCCTTCTTTGACGTTAGAGCAGCTCAGCCAGTCACTGCCAAAGGCGCCATTAGAAGCCCCACAAAATCTGTTCCTGCTCTGCTCTCGCACAGTGTTTTGAAACCCTCTTCCTGTTACGAAACTATAAACGAGGTATGCAGCAATTTGCCAGGTGCCCTCAGGGATTTGAAATCAGGGATTTGAAGTTTGGAAAGATGCACATTTTTCACTCGGATTTTTCACTCGGAATAATGGGCGTTCAAAACTCCCATTATTCCAGGCGGATTTTGCGACGGGGAATTTCATTAGCGTGAGCAGTTTCTGAGCTCTGGGCGCAATACTGCTCCTAAGATTTCAGATTAAAACTGCAGAGTGGAAGGAAAGGAGGACCTTTTTTCTGCCTCCCCCCTTCCAGCTACTCTCTGAAGACTGGAGAAGAGACCCTCTTAATAATATTAGGGGGGTGGGGGTGGGCAGAACTAGACCATGTGAAAAATGAACATAATATTTTAGCTGCAGTTCATTCATTTTCAGCTTTGTATTCTTGTTATATATAAAAAAGTGCATCTAGACATTCTCTTGTTGCACCCATAGCCTAGGTTTTAAGGTGCCATTTAGATCCTAGCTCTCATATCTCGGTTTCTAACACTGATTCAAGATACATATCTAGAAGGTCATGCCTTTGGGGGTCAAAAATCAGCCTGGCTAAAGCTTTTCTCTCTTCATATATGTATTTAAAAGATAACCTTGAAACAGCCTGCACTGGATTTCCCCTTCTGCACAGACAGGCTGCCACATATTTTCACCGATGCATGTTGTGCGGTCCAAATTGCGAAGAAGTGGCAACTCCACAACCAACTCTCTATCTGAATGTCCTTCACAACAAACAACACGGCATGGCGCACAGCTGCAGTTGTCCGACTGCTCCCGTGCTGAAAGCGTTGTGTTACCCCGCAATGCATGCGCTGAATTTGCGAGTAGCTGTTTGTCAACAAGCTTAAAAGTACTTGCCTTTTGGGGGGGATTCAGGTCCACTGACTGCACTTGACTGATTTAGATGATGACAACTCTTCTGGCGTTTCCTCCCAGGCTGCTGGTTACACAACAGCTCCCCTTGTCCTGCTGCATTCAGTTTATTCAAATGCTATTTTTAATTGTGTTAATTATAAACCATGATCTGTGTTCTTCCAGCGGACTCCCAAACATTTCGGAGTGTCAGGCAGCTGGGGTAGCAATGGAGAGCAGCCCAGATCTGAACAGATTCTCAGCTATCAATTAGCATCATCAGGGCATCCTAGGCTATTTGAGGGTCCCGCTCCTGCTACCCAGGTGAGAGGATGTGGGGAAAGGAACGGAACAGATAGCAAGGCTTGCATATTTTTTATGCCAGCAGAAACTGGGATGGTAAAGAGAGATGCTCTGTCTGCTGTCATATATTTGATTAAGAACAAAGCCACAAATGCTTCGAAAGAGGAGACAGCTCCGTAACTGTGAGATTACTGTGGGCTCCTTGCTACGCCACATTTTATGCCAAGGATATGACCTCACAAATCCTTTATGAAGTCAGATGCAGATGGCAAATGTGTGTCATACTATGTCACAGAAGGGCACCGGTACAGTGACCATCAAAGCTGAAATGGCCATTAAATAATTTTTGGGGGTCATTTGGAGTAGCTCGCTCATGTCACAATGAAAATTGTAACTGTTGCCAGCCCAACCAGTGAGGGATCACCTTGAAATAAGTAAATAATGCCTACAGCTGTTAATATAATTAATGAGATCTTTTATAGGTCATCTATGGGCTTTCATTCCTAGAAATCGCTGGATTTATACTGACATCTGCTGGTGCTGAGAATCGTAACACCTCTGTTTTCCCACCCTATCCACCAAATGATTGTTTTTCCCTAATGGATTTTAGCTGGATTATTTCCAGCCTAACAAAGTGGCACTCTAAACAAGTGATTGTTCAGAATCAGACCCTAATTTCTGGGGTGAAAGCACTTCAGGATCAAGAGTATCTATACTTTTAAAGCTACCTTATTTCTTGTGTGGGAATCTAAGCACATGCCAATATCTCATTTAGGATTGTGGATTAATTTTAAATTTCACTAAACTAAACTCTCACTGTATTTCATATTGCCAATCCACTCTGTCATAGGTTCAGGGTGGGAATAATTTATGTAAAAACATGACACTGTAAAACAGATTAAGTCAGGCTTCCTCAAACTTGGCCCTCTAGATGTTTTTGGCCTACAACTCCCACGATCCCTAGCTAGCAGGACCAGTGGTCACGGATGGTGGGAATTGTAGTCTCAAAACATCTGGAGGGCTGAGTTTGAGGAAGCCTGGATTAAGTTATTAGATCAAGAATGGGGTATGTGTAGCCATCCAAATGTTGTTGGACTCCAGTACCCAGCAGTCTCAGCCAGCATGGCCAATGATCAGGGATGATGGAATCTGTAGTCTATCAACATTTGCAACTGCAGCATTAAAAGATGAGTTTGCAGGAAAGGACTTGTTTATTTTTTACATTTATTTGTTTATGTATTATTTTGTATTTTAAATACTGCTTGCTCAAACTTAAGACCTCTAAGTGGTTGTAGAAATTACTATACAGTGTTCATGAAGCGCTACACAAACATTGTTTTATACAAAAGCATGTACAAAAACCCTTTAAAAGCAAATTCCATTCTCATCTCATCCATCATATGCCTTCACTTGCCGGGTCTTGGCTCATTTGATTTTGTTTTAATGTTTAAATGGTGTGTTTTCTTAATGGCCACTTCTCCATTACAGGAAACTTCTTTAGGGAATAGAATAGTTTGTGATCCTTTTACAAATTGTATATCGGCAATCAAAAACAAACAGAAAATTTCCTTTCAGTCCAGCTTTCTATTTTTATTGAAGTTAAAGTACACCCCCCTGACTTGAACATTTTTCAAACAAAATGAGCATGGATGAAAACCAGATATCTAGCATGTGAATCTGTTGAATGAGTTGGATCTGGACCTTTGCTTGACCAGTGCAGTTTGCAAAACACAATCTGAGCCCCTTCATCTGAATCCTTGTCCAGGGTGATAAGATCTGGGGAAGAGAAGAAGCTCTTTGTCTGCAACAACTGCTGCTTTTGCTTGGAGAGAGCAGGTGAACAAGCAGTAAACAGCAGCTCCAGGGCTTGTCAAGCTGGAGTTTGGGCCTTGGGAGATGCTCCTTGTGTGCTTCTGTAGAAAAAGTTTCTTCTCCCTCTCTGATAATCTTCTTTGACGATCACACATAGCCAAGTAAGTTTGTCTTCCATGAACATGGTTTTAACAGTGAGTCCGTAAGTGACTGTTGAGGCCAGTTCTGGATCCACACGTCCTTCCACAGTGGGGACATAGGTTTCTGGGTGGGAGTTGATCACGGTGAGGGTTTGCCAAATGTGCCTTCCTCTTAGCACGTTTCTCCCTTTTGTGCTGAGTTCAAGCGTCTTCAAAGTCCATGACACCTTTGGTAAAGGCTGTCCTCCCATTGGAGCGCTCACAGGCCAGCGTTTCCCAGTTGTCAGTGTTTATACTAATTTTTAAAGATTTCCCTTGAGAGTCTGTAAACCTCCTTTGTTGACCACCAGCATTACGCTTTCCATTTTTAAGTTTGGAATAGAGCAGTTGCTTTGGAAGACAATCAGGCATCCGCACAACATGATCGGTCCAACGAAGTTGATGTTGAAGAATCATTGCTTCAACACTGGTGATCTTTGCTTCTTCCAGTACACTGGCATTAGTTCGCCTGTCTTCCTAAGTGATGTGTAAAATTTTTCAGAGACACCATTGATGGAATCTTTCGAGGAGATGGCATTTATAAGTGGTCCACATTTCACAAGCATACAGTAAGGTTGGTAGTACAATAGCTTTGTAAACTAGCATTTTGGTTTCCCTGCGAATGTCCTCTGCACTTCAGTCGGGAGAAAGCTGCACTCACAAAGCTCAGGCGATGCTGGATTTATCTGTGATAATACTGGGGTCGGTGCTTATCCAATGATGCCGAATGCCAGGAGAGTCAGGACAGATGCGCAGGAGTGCTTCACAAAGCACATAGCTGAGATCCTTAGCTGCAGGTCATGCAGAATATTGGCACCAAGCTAGACACGGGTAGATGCCAAGGCAATGAAGCCACAGCACAGGTGACTGCAATTGAGGGCAAAGTTGTATCATGCTTGCAGGATGCAGTATCAATTTGCAAGTTAGTGGGAGACAAAATGTGGGAGGGACCTGCAGCACATCAATGCCCGTGCATATTGGACCACATGTTTAGATGGAGGCTAAGGCATTAGCCTCATTCAGGGAGCAAATGTGCTGGAAACGGTCTGGGTAGACCTAGGTTAAAATTCCTTTTTTCAGCCACAAGGCTCAGTAGGTCATCTTATGTCAGTCATCACCCCCCAGTATCACCAACCCCCAGAATTGGTGCAAAAACAGAACAGCAAAATTACCTTGTGCTCCCCTGAAGAAGGCTAAGATATTTATGTAATAAATCCTGGAGTTCTCCATTCTGCAGCCTATATTTAACTGCAACACATGACCTGTTTTTATTGCCTTTCTCCCTCTTTTTCTGCTTCTCCCTCTCTCAAAAAGACAGTGATGATGGCATAACCATTCTATGGCCTTTTAAATGTGTGTGGGATGGGGACGGTTATTGGTTTGCTTTTGCTTGGATTATGTATTTTGTGTTCTCAATTTGTATGTTTCTGTTGTGAACCACCCGGTGATCTTCGGATGAAGGTTGGTATACAAATTAGAGTTGCCGCATGTCCTCTTTTTCCAGGACATGTCCTCTTTTTCAGGGGTAAAATTTCTGTCTGGATGGATTTTTTGAATTTGCCAAAATGTCCGGGGTTGTGGGAGCCGGCTACTTTTTGTGTTACATATGCGGTAATAGACAGCCAAGTGCAAAACACAGACTGTGTGAATTTTGCATGATGCAGGAAAGGACCATGTCCTTTTTTTTGTATTTTTTGAAGGGACATTGTAGAATGCACCTGCTCCCTCACTCCCTCACTCCTTGCCCCAGGTGCCAGCAAATGTGTCCCCTTTTTCGCTTTCAAAATATGGCAGCCCTAAATAACCAGTGTGATCCCACTCAAGTCCAGCAAACCAATGTTGTACTCTATCGAGGAGCCATCACTTATCATGCATACCTAGAAGTGGAGGACATCGGGCATCTGGTCTGTTGTGTGGGATTGAAGAAAAAGCTTTGCACTTTTGAAGTAATTATTCCAAATTGAGCATTGGTGCTGCAGCATTGGCTGTCTTTATAGGGCTTGCATCACTATGTTTTCCTCAGAGTGCCAAGGCACCTCTCTTCTCATTATTTAATCTGATGTCCAGGGCTCGTAGCTGGATGAGGAACCCTGTGTTTGGGCAGATCCCTCGGTTTGAATCCACTGATTTTAAGGCCTCCACGAGTGTCAGGTTTTCATGGATCATCAAATAGGCCAGCACTAAAGTGGCTGAGCGGCTTAACCCCATGGCACAATGGACAAATACCTTGCCTGCAGAGAAATAACAGAAGAACATCATTTAACTGATGTGGAACATAGAAAGTTAAGACCAGCGCTCCCCACCCCAGTCGGAACTCATTGCAACTCTGTTCTGGCTCCTCTCAGGTGGGTGCCATTGCCATTATAAGATAACATGTTTATTGTGAGTTCCAGCACCTATTTTTCTAGAAAAATAGCACTGTTTAAGACATTCAAGCTTCAGGGCTCCCAAAATTTGGTCCAAATAAGGCTGCTCTACTTCCTGGTGGGGCAGTGTGGCAGACAGGCCATGTGGCCTCCACACACAGCGGAGGTTGGGCCAGGCCCCCGCCTCATCAGGGAGACCCCGGCTGCATCACAACCCCTGGCCGGCCAATCCAGTTGGCTGGGGGCGTGGCTTACCCCTTTTTAAGCAGCTGCACAGCCAGGGTGTAGGAATAATGGAGGATGACAGGAGGTTGGATGCAGGTGATCGGTGCAGGAGCAAGCTGGCAAGCATGCTCCAAGCAAGCTGCCGACTAGCTGTGCAGAGGCTCCTTTTATTAACAGAAGTCAACAATTGGGAACGGTAGTGAAACCACTCTGAACATGACGTATTTCCATCTAAGCACATTTCCAGCCTTATCAAATACACGTGTTAGCAGGTGTTTCCCTAAAATTTTCCCCGGTACTTGATTTCATCTGCGTCCCTGGTCATGCTCCAGCCAAGCGTTATGTCTAGTAACCAAATCTGTGAGAGGACAAATGGTCAGGGGGAAAACCTTGTTTGCTAGCCAAGAGGCCACAAGTTTGTGGAGCATGGGTGCAAGGCTCCTTGGCACGCTGTGGCATGCCTGGTTTGAACTGTGCCTCAGCACAAGTAGAACTTTACCTCCATAGCTCCAAAAGGTCAGGGGGAAACCCTGTCTTCTGGCCAAGAGGCTAGAGTTTAGGGAGAGTGGCCGTAAGGCTCCTTGGCACGCTGTGGCATGCTGGGTGCGAGATGTGCCTCAGCACAGGCAGAGCCTTACTCCCACACAGGGGATCTCCGTTCTGGTTCGCCCTCTTTTCATGCGTTTGTCGTATTGGACTTCGGTTGGTTGCTGTTGAGGGGCCTGGTAGGAATTTTTCCACTTGGCAAATTGGCACTGGCCATTTGGTTTTCGCCTACCTTGTAGCAATCATCACAACTTTTGTAGGGTTTGGCAGTTAGGCATTGGTAAAGCCTGGTTTGGGGGAGGGGAGGTGTGGCCATCACCTGCCCCTCCATTTTAAAGGATAGTCCGTTAAAGGAATCCAGGGGGTCGTGGTTCCTGTCCGAAGCCCGGGTGGAGGCTAGGGCCATGGCACGACCTTCCAGTGACCCTGGGGGAGCTCCAAATTGGTGTACATAAACAGGGCTCCCCTACTGGTGGTTTAACCCTTGTGAGACTTCCTGTATGGTGGGCAGGAGTCAGATATAGTCGGTTCAATTCCGATGCCTAAGCCAATACCACTCACATTCTGTAACCAATAAAGTTGTGGTCTAAATTTTGCCCATTAACCTCATACAGTATACGGTGTCCATATGCAATTATTCAACATAAAGGGGGAGGCCTCGGGGCCTTGACATGCAGTAGTAACTGTGGGAAGGATTTCTCTCCCTGAAGGTACACCCATCTGAAGATACCCTGGAAAACCATTGAAGAGTCCATGACGGAGGCAGAACGAGACTCTATACAACACCCAGGGCCAATGATGAGACGCAGTTCCTTCTGCTAATTCTATGTACTGGTGGTGAGCTTAAAAGCCCTGCATTGGGTTATCATAAAAAGACATCTACAATGAGACACGAGTTACACATGTTTATGTAAAGTCAGCATTGGCCAATGAGAAGGTAAAGATCAAGGTAAAGGACGCCTGGACGGTTAAGTCCAGTCAAAGTCCAGTCAAAGGTGACTATGAGTTGCGGTGCTCATCTTGCTTCAGGCCGAGGGAGCCGGCATTTGTCAACAGACAGTTTTCTCGGTCATGTGGCCAGCATGACTAAACTGCTTCTGGTGCAACGGAACACTGTGACGGAAACCAGAGTGCACGGAAACGCTGTTTACCTTCTTGCCACAGTGGTACGTATTTATCTACTTGCACTGGCGTGCTTTCGAACTGCTGGGACAGAGCAATGGGAGCTCACCCCATCCTGTGGATTTGAACCGCCAACCTTCTGATCGGCAAGCCCAAGAGGCTCAGTGATTTAGACCACAGCGCCACCCGCATCCCTACAACGAGATGCTTGAGTTAGGCATGTTTATGTACAACTTTGGCCAATGAGAAGATAGGTGGTTAATCAACTTTAAAAATTATCAGACTGATTGATATAGCCCAATAACTTTTTATATAGGATTTGGGAGATGGGAATAACTTCCTGCTTTTTTCCAAACTAGCCCTGCTTCTGCACCTTCAGCTTCGGCCAGACACGGAGAAATTAATGAAGCAACGCTTTCCATGTCACTATCACTACCCTAGGAAAAGTTTCACCTGCTCCAGTGCTAAGCTGCCATCAAACACATAGGAAGAGGTTCCTCAAAGAGTGACAACCCCACATGTGCCACTCCTCCTCTTTTCCTGGAGATCTAGTATGGGGAAGCCCATCCCTGAGCAAGAAAGACCAATTAAGCAAAGCATCCTTAAGTAGCTTTAAGCCCTTTGCTAAATGCGGCAAGATTAAAGGGAACAGCAGCAGCTTTGGGCCCACGCAGCTGGCAACCGAGTGCCTCTCACATCTCGAAGGCTGTTTCTCCTCCCTCTATCTCCCTCTTACCTCCTGTAGCCTTCAAGGCATTGTGGATGAAATTCGCAGCATCCTGGAAGAAGACGCTGATATCAAACGAGGTGTCGTCAAACGCCTGCACCCCGTAGTACTCGATTGGCAGGTCTCTGTAATATCGAGCGCCTGTGTTGATGTTGTATGGCCCGTCTGCTGCGTTGAGGATGTGGGTGATGCCGAGGCTCTGCAGAATGGCTTTGCTTCGAGCTGCCCATCTGTTAAAAGATGATAAAGGGTTGCTGCGGCTGCGGCTGCTCCTGTTCTGTGTTGACATGGGCTTATTTAAGAGGCCTCTTGAGCCTCAAGGAAGCAAGAAGCAATGAGCACCTGCGTCTCATCTCTAATTCATAGCACAGTCCCTGTTTACCGGACCATGGCTCCTTACAACCTGCTCTGTCAGGCAGAATCAGTTTTAGGGCTTCCCTCCCTAGCCATGCAGTTGGAGGAATGATTTCTGTTCTCCCTCTTTCTTTTGGACTACAGGTCTCTCTGTGTTACGTTCACAATTCAAAGTGTTGGTGCTGAACTTTAAAGCCCTAAATGGCCTTGGCCCAGTATACCTGAAGGAGCGTCTCCACCCCTATCGTTCAGCCCGGACACTGAGGTCCAGCTCCGAGGGCCTTCTGGCAGTTCCCTCACTGCAAGAAGTATAATTCCAGATTTGGGAGACCAAAGCCACCTTCCTTAGTTGGAAGTTGCATTTTATGTAGTGATATTTTTGGTGGCCCATAGGCACGATCTAAATAGTTGATTTATTTTTTAGAAGTAAGATTTGGGAATATGTATTGGTAATCCTCTAAGAATGTATAAAAGCTTTGGAACAATATTCATTTTGAGGACATTAACCTTTCCCCAAAAGGGAAAGGTTTAGAGAGGTCCCCACCTTTCAATAGCAAAAGAAATCTCATTTATAATTTGATTCAAATTTAATTTTACAATTTGGTCTATATCTGATGAAATCATTATACCCAAGTATTTAATAAAGTCTTTGCACATCTGAAACTGATGGTTTCTGTACAATGTAGCCCTTGGCCCAATTGGTAAAACTGGGCCAAATTGACTGGGGAAACTGAGTGGGGTATAAATATATTATTATTACTACTATTACTATTACATTGCCCTTACTCGCCTCATACCCTCCAACATTTATCCATTGAAAATAGGGACGTCCTAAGGAAAAGTGAAACATTTCAGGGTCAAATCAGAAACCGGGGTGGCTTCTGTAAATCCGGGACTGTCCCTGGAAAATAGGGACACTTGGGAGGGCTACTTTCCCTTTTCACCCAGGGCCGCCCCACCCATGAGGCAAGGCATAGGCGCCAACTCTGAGGCGCCCAGGTCCCTACAGCCCCCCTAATACAGTAAAATATTTGAGGCCAACAGGGGCAGATTTAGGGGTGCTGGATTTGGGGAAGGAGGCATGAGGGTTCAGACAGGGTCCTAGAGTCCTCTCACCTGCTTCCCAAAGGACATGTATGTGTCTGCGACAGAGAGCAAAAGAGGTTTTCCTTGGCAGTGGAGGGACTATGTATGTGTGTGCAAACAAATTGGGATCTGAACATTTAAATTCCACAAAATGTAATAGTTTTATGTAAAGTAATTTTACAGTGGTACCTTGGGTTGCAAACACCTTGGGTTACAAACACTTTGGGTTACAGACTCCGCTAACCTGGAAGTAGGACCTTGAGTTAAGAACTTTACCTCAGGATGAGAACAGAAATTGTGCAGCGGCAGCGGGAGGCCCCATTAGCTAAAGTGGTACCTCAGGTTAAGAACCGTTTCAGGTTAAGAACGGACCTCCAGAACGGATTAAGTTCATAACCAGAGGTACCACTGTATATTTTAATTGTATTTCATTGTAATATTATATTTTAGTTGTACTTAGGTTGATCTGTGTTTTTCCCTTTTCAAATGAGCATTTAAAGGTTATATCGGTTTTAATTTGTCCATATTTCTGATAGAAAGTTGGTTTACAGAACCAGTTTATACTAGTCTATTTTGTGGGATTTGGATGTTGAGATCCCAATTTGTTTGCTGCTATTTTATAGGATTTTTAATCTTCTGCTCTCCTTATGACCGGTAAGTAACAAGATGCAATCCTTCCGTTTCCTTACGCGTCTCCAAGGTAGAGGTTTGGCCACACTTGATCCACATGGTTGTCGGATCCTCCTCTGCTCCAAACTAGCCTCTGCAATTCAGAAAGTGCTGGTGTCTCATAACGGCTTCGACTTTCTGAGTTTTGATTCTTGGAGGAGCTGTTTCCAGCATGGCTCATACCTGCTTTTGTGCTTTCATGAGCTTCAGATGTAACTAAAATGGCTTTTGGGAAATGAGAGAGAGATGGGGGGTTAAAAACTTTGTTTAAAACCAAGGTTCCCTTGGGGGGGGTTTGATTTTTAAGGGGGGCAATTTGGAAGCTTGTTAATACCAAGTTAATGGCCTTTTAGGCTTCCTCCACATGAATAGGAACCTGTCTTCAAGGGCAGTCCCAGGTAGAGTGTATTCCAGTAGTCCAAGCAGGAAGACAGCATGGACAACTGGGCTCGGGCAACCTGGTTCAGAAATGGCTGTGGTTGGTGAACTAGCCTATTTAATAATAATAATAATAATGATATATTCAAAAGTTACAATACAGCTTTGTCCACTGCCATAATTACCACAGAATGATCACTCCAATTCTCAATCCCATTTCACTGTCGGCTCGCTGAATATCCTCAATAGGAACCCAACTGGCATAAATTGGCCATGAAGCACTCCTAGCTACAGAAAAGTGAAAAGTTTGAATCCAGGTGTGCTCCCAAATTATGAACTGGTTTCTTTGAGGGGAGCACAACCTCTCTCAGAGTAGGATGTGCACCTAAATTCTCAGACACATGAACCACCCACTCACAGCACTTCTGCCCTATCTGGGTTCTGCCTCTGTTTATTGAGCCCTCCGGTCATTCCATCACTGCCCCAAGGCACCTGTGCAACACCTTCACGGCCTCTTCTGTTTCCAGTGAAATGGAGAGAGAGACCTGTGTATCGACAGCATACTGATGACACCATGCTTCAAATCCCCAGGTGGCAGCTCCCAACACTTTGATACAGACATTAAATAGCATAGGAAACAGAGTGGACCTTTGTGGGATCCCACAGCCCAAAAGCCATGAGCCAAGCAATGACCCCCTGGGAGTGATGATGCAGGTAGGAGCAGAACCGTTTTAATAAGCACCATTGACTACCAGTTCCTCCAGCCGCTCCAGAGGAACACCATTGTCAATGGTGTGTCTTCTTGAGAGGGCAAGAAGAATCAACAAGATCACACACACCCCTGTCTCTCTCCCGATAGAGATCATCAGTCAGGGAGACCGAGGCCATTACTGGGCCTGATACCAGGCTGGAAGAGACCTAGATCCACTCCAAACATACTTGCAGCTGACTTTCTACAACCATGAAAGCAATATTAGAGACTGGACGGTAGTTTCCCAAAACCTCTGGATCCAGAGAGGACCTCTTTGAGAGGGAGTGTACCACTGCCTCTTTCAAGGTGGTGGGCATAACTCCCTTCTTGCTACCGTTGTACCTCTTTGTGACTTATTATTCTGTCTTCTTTCTGCAAGTTCCTTGGACTCTCTTCTGGGCTTCCTTGTGTTCACTGTGAGTGATGTGTTCCTGGCCTTCCTCCTCCTCCTCGCTCTGTTTCTTTTCTTAGTCACCGACGTCCAACACGGGGATAAACAGCGCGCCTCCTCTGCGAGCTTGTGGATTAAGTTGCTGATACTCTGTTATTTTAAGTGCTTGCGGTTTTAAGCCTCGCTTCAAGCAGCGTGGGCCGCTTTGCATCCTGTAATTGGAGGAGAAAGAGGGAAAGAATACTTTCTGGGTAACTGCAGGAGTTTCAGGGTGAGATTACACCAGCTGCAGGCGACTGAAGATTATGAAAATTCAAGCCGGGATGAGGCTTGTGGCAGAGGTGCTCTCCAGGGCTTCCTATCCGTAGACAGAGCAGGATTGGGCCAGCCTCTCAGCATCCTATCGTTGAGTTAGCAAAATAATTTCAGCAAGTATTTCGTGGCATTGCAGAAGGTTAAAAGAGAGCTCCTTGCAAAATGGCCTTCTGCACTGCTACTAAAATACAAAGGCTATTAACAGCACTGGTGAGCAGAAAAAGTGGATCGCTGACGCCAGATTACCTTTTGCGGTATGATTTGTGTGCATGCGTTTGTGCGTCTTGTCTCAAGCATGTGCGCCTACCAAATGTTGTGATTGACCCATAACATGTAGGATTCTGGTGGCGCTGTGGTCTAAACCACTGAGCCTTTTGGGCTTGCTGATCAGAAGGTTGGCAGTTCGAATCCCTGCGACGGGGTGAGCTTCCGTTGCTCTGTCCCAGCTTCTGCCAACCTAGCAGTTTGAAAGCATGCCAGTGCAAGTAGATAAATAGGTCACACTGCGGCAGGAAGATAAACAGCATTTCCGTACACTCTGGTGTCCGTCACGGTGTCCCGTTGTGTCAGAAGCGGTTTAGTCATGCTGGCCACATGACCCAGAAAGCTGTCTGTGGACAAATGCTGGCTCCCTTGGCCTGAAAGTGAGATGAGTGCCACCACCCCATAGTCGCCTTTGACTGGACTTAACCATACAGGGGTCCTTTACCTTTTCTTTTTTTTAACTTAACTGGTACCCATGAGGAAAGTTGTCACTCAAGTGAGCTTCAAGGAAGCAGCTTGCCAGTCTAGTCTTCCTAAGCATCACCCACTGTCTGAAGAGTGTGAATCTTTAACAAGCCAACCCCTGGTCTGCAGTGATAATTTTTTCCTCCTGCATGAGGCAATCCCCACCTATGTTCTCCTGGCAAGTCACTTATGGTCGAGCACAGTGAAGTCAAACTACTTGGCCTGGACTGATCGAAAGCATATGGTAAGGGTACTTATCAGAATGGTAAATTAGGCCAATACGAATATCCCCATGACCCTGAAGAGGGGTTGAGGCAGGGAGAGAGTGGCTTGCCTAAATATTGCCTAATTGACTAGAGATTTAAACCAGGTCCCCCAATCCACACTCTTAAAGGAGACAGACTTACTGCGTCATGCGCTGAGCTGTTCGAGACCATCTCAAATTTGACAGCCTCTTCTCTCTGCCCCCTCCCCCCATCCCATAAGGCTTTACCAGTGCCTTGTCATTGCCTAAAAATATTTCATTTTATAAGGCAGCCATGGAGAACAGATGCTAGAGATTGCATTTTGGCCACTAGATGTTGCTCTGCAACCGCATAAGAAATGAGAGGAAGCAATAACCGAAATGGCTGCTCTCGCATACAACGATAATCCCCCAATTTCAACACTGATAGCGTGGCCTTCCTTGCTCAGTGTCCCTGTTCATTGTTAATATGTAGGTAAGATCAACAGAGTTCTGAAAATTAGAATTACGGTACCCGACTAAAGATAGAATTCTGTGGGTCCTGGTCATAATCGTAGATTCATGAACTTTCATTTGCTGTGAAGCCCATTCTGTGGATTTGTAGATTTAATTGGACCACTATAAAACTTCTGCATTTACTGTTTAACTGTATGGACTAAATGAAATATGACTTCAGTTTATTTTTCTGTATCTCTCTCTCTGTGTTTCCTATCCTTAACACTACAATGTCATGAATTTAGGGTGTTAAGATGGGTGCCAGACCCACCCTAATCCCCCTGCTATTTCCTAGACTTTACTCTTTCCTTTGCTGCACCCTGTGTGCTGAATGACTACATCCCCACCCATGTCTATCTAAAGGTGACTAATGGCAGGCACTGCAAATGACTCAGATGGCCAAACATGCTGGAAACTGGCGTATCGTGTTTGCTTGGAGGCCACCACAGAGCTGGCAAATACATGGGTGTGGTGGAGGGAGAGCAGGGCTTGGGTGGTGTGGCAGGGAAATTGTGAACAGTTCATGGGCAGAGAAAGCATGACTCAAACACAGAATTGGCAGGCAACTTTAAAAGCCATGGGTTCTCATCATACTCTTTGTTCATTCGCTTTTCTCTCTTTTTTAGTGCAATGCTATTTTGAGCAAATGGCTTGATTTTAAAACTTTTTAATCAGGGAGAAGGCTGTGGCGTTTGCCCGTTCATTTGAAAATGTTTGAACAGGGGAGAGAGAAAGAGTTAAAAATGTAGACCAATAGGAAAGCCGAAGGCGGAGCCTACCTGTTTATAAAAGGGCTTAGCTCGAGGTTTTGTTAGAGTTGTTGGTGGGTAGTTGGTTGGTTTTAGTGGGTTGGTTGGTTGGTTGGTTGGTTGGTTGGGAAAGGCAGTTGGAAAAGCAGTTGGCAGGCAGTTGGAAATAGAGAGACAGTTCGGGCAGTGGGTTCTTGTGTGAGGGGAGGTAGAAGAGACAGAGACAGGATAAAATAAGACTAAGAAGGTAAAGAGTAACAATGTTTGGAATGCAGCTAAAGTTTGTTTGTGTCTGAAATAAACTACACTCTTCTTTGTTAATGTGAGAACCTGACTGAGACTAAGTGATTTACCAGGGAGGACCTGGTCGGTAGCAGCGGATTAGTGGTGTACAGGTCAATAGTCCGTGAGACGACCGGGGCCTCCGTACAAACCTTATCAAGAAAGCAGGTCTTTAACGTTGTGGGATTTTTTTAATACAAGTACCGTATTTTTCGCCCTATAGGATGCACCGGCCCATAGGATGCACCTAATTTTTTTGGGGGGGGGGAATAAAGAAAAAAAAATCCCCCCCCCAGCAGTGGGAGAAGCCCGAGCTTTTAAAAACGCACCTACCGTAGTTTTTAGAGGAGAAAAGGATATCTGCCCGAAGCGCGGCGCACTCTGCTTCAGCGCGCTCCGGGCAGCAGGCTGCTATCCGCAGCCTAGGCAGCCCTGTGGGGCTCCCTAGGCTGCGGATATCTGCCTGAAGCACAGGGCGTTCTGCTTCAGAGCGCCCAGTGCTCCGGGCGGCAGGCTGCTACCCACAGCCTAGGGAGCCCTGCAGGAACTCCCGCGGGCTCCCCAGGCTTGCTGATAGCTTCCTGAAGTGACCCCTCTCGCTCTCCAAGCTTCAGCGAAAGCCTGCATTCGCCCCATAGGATGCACACAGATTTCCCCTTCATTTTGGGAGGGGAAAAAGTGCGTCCTATAGGGCGAAAAATATGGTATTTTCAAAAGAGCAGGCAAGAGATGTCACTGCAGCAAAGTCATTTGCCCTTATCTTCTTGCAAATCTTTTAAGAGTTCTCTAGTGCTTGTAAATGAACAATAAACAGGGCGGTGTTGTTGCTTTTTAAAGAGTTATTTGAGTAGTGCCAGCTAGGTTGTAGGGCAGGGGTGATCTGGCAGACATTGTCAAAATCCTTTTTGGATTATAAAGTCTCCCAAAGCTGGAAAAGTCCAATTCATAAGAACAACAATAGACTCAAATATACCATATTTTTCCGTGTCTAAGACTAGGTTTCTTCCTACTAGATTATGTCAAATTTGGGGTGTCTTATACACGGGTAATGCTGCGGCCATTTTCTTAAATCTGAGTCCCCCAAAATAGGGGGCGTCTTATAGACGGAAAAATACGGTATATGTCTATTTGCTGTTTTGCTCATGATGGGACTTTTTTATTGCTTTTATTGTTCTGCGATTATTATTATACAGTATCTTAATGTTTCATCGGTGTTAGCCAGCCGGAGAACACTGTTTCTGGGTGCCATATAAACGCTGCTTACTAAATATTAAAGTTGTTAATAAAGTTTCCCAGCCTGAAAAAATCCAGGCAGAGAAAAGTCTCTGGCACACAAGATGAAGCATCTCACGATAGTGTCTGGGGTTTTGATGAATGTTAAACGATCCTTTAGCCTTGAAAGTAAAGAGGATAACTTCTCCCTAGGCAATGGCTATTCGCGCCAGTAGTAAAAGGAGGATGCCGGGGTACTACTAATTCTGTAGTGGTTTTGAAATGTTCTAGCTGCTCTGGGCCACAGTGATACAGAGCAGAGATATTTATAATGCCAACCATCAGTTGTGGTATGCATCTGACTGCACTGTGCAACAGGTGCAGGGCACCTATATGCCTGCCGATATTTTAAAAAATCCAAAGACTTACGGCCAAATCCAGTGGGAAGTTCTCTGGAGCAAAGCCTACAGGAATGAATTGGAGCTGTGTTTGATCAATAGGGCGAAGAACTTTCTGCCACCGCGCTTTAGGCTCCTTTCTCCTGCAAACCAGAAGTCCCTATCCAAAATTTGCCATCACATATTCCCTGTCAGGCTTCAGGGAATCAGCTTCCTCCCTCCCGTGGCAGTAGATAAGCAGAACAAAGGAAAAGGAGTCTTCTTACCAGTTAGAAACTTTAATAATCACAGCGAGAGAACAAAGAACCCATCTCCTAGTGTGGCGGTGCTCCCAGTTAAGGATCACACCCCCTTAAGTCCCTATTAATCCACGTCACTTCTACATGTTGAAATCTGAGCTTGTACCCTCTGTGCTTTCTGTGCTTTCTGTTCTGCCACTTTCTCAGCTCTTCTTGACCTTGGGGAGAGCAGAGGAATGCTTTCCAGAGACAGTGAATCTGTTAACCCTCTCTCTCCCAGTGCTTCTTCTCCTAGCTGTTTCCCATCCAATATTCCCCAGCTTCTGCCTTCTGAACTGTGCCCCTCTGCAAACCACTGTTCCAAAGCTATACTGTCCTTTTGCTCCTGGGAAGATCCAGGAGCAGGAGCAGGGGGAGGTTCCCACCATTCCTCCTCAGTGCAGCCCTCCTCAGCACGGTCCCTAACATTCCCTTATCTTGATCCAGGAGGATTTCCCTTTTGATGCACCAGAAAAGGAAGGCATCCAAAGCAGCCATTTCTTCCCAGGAGATATGTTCCTGGAGCAACTGGGACAGGGGACAGTGCCAGGCACAGCGAAACCAGGCAGGTAATGTGACTTGGATGAAGACTTTCCTGTCCGCTCTTGTGTGTGTTTGCAGCAAGGGCAAATGCAACTTGAAATGCAGTAGGGGGAAATGAACTCACTGCCTTTTAAGCCATGAATGTGTGCCTAGCCTTTGGTGGCACAATGCAGGCTGCACAATGCCCACAGCTCTGTCATCTTAGTGATGCCACCTGAGGTGGCCACCTCACTACCTCATGGAAGGACCAGCCCTGTATTTCCCCAGAAATCCACCCACCCCCGGTATTTAACACCAGTCAGATTAAATCAAATAAACAAGGAATATTTGGTGTTATGTTGGAGGGGATGCCAGGAAACCAGGAATTATGTTCCCGTGTGGTGGGGGTGTAAATATGTACATTTTAAATAATTTTTTTTGCAAAAAGTGTTTAAGGAGATAACAAATCACTGGGTGAAAGCTGGACGAAATTTCAGAGGTAGCATTATTATCAATTTACGATGGGGTGGAAAGTTCGCAGGCTGTGAAGAACTTGCTCACAAATTTATTGACAGCTGCAAGAATTGCTATAGCTAGGAAGTGGAAGGGGCAAGGAGAATATAAAATGGAAGAATGGCATAAAGAGGTGTGGGATATTGCTATTAATGATAAATTAACACGTGCCATTAAGGTAAGATGGGGAATACGTAGGAGAAATGATTTTGAGGAGGTATGGAAGGTGTTTGTAGAATTTGTACTGTTAAAACGGAAAGACGGTAAAACCACTGCAAGAGGTGTTGAAATTTTGGGAGGTTGGATAGTTACAATGGAATGGTCTCGGGGGCGGGGTGCACATTTTTACTGTTATTTATTTATGATTATAATTTTGTCCTTTAAAAAAAAAATCCATCCCCAGTAACACATTACAATTTGAGATCTAAATGCATTCCCGTTCTTTAGATAACTATTAATTCAGCACAAAGGGCTTTCCAACAGTAATGGTTAGGGTTCAAAAAGCTCCTTGCTTGTACAATCTTATACATTAAAATAATTGTCCAGTAGCAACATGAAAGCTTATACCAAGAACATACTTAGTTGGTCTCTAAGGTGCTACTGGACAATTTTTTATTTTTATATTTTATTTTTATATTTTTATATATATTTCGACTGCGTCAGACCACCACGACCACCACCTGAATCTTATACATTTCTAAATATAATGACTTATCTTTGCAAAGTTGTTGTAAGCCAGGATTAGTGAGATGCTATATGTGAGCGCTCTGAAAAATCTGAAAGCACTTTGAAAGCTGCATGTGAGATGCTCTATGGGGGCACTGTGGCCCCTTCTCAGTCTTATAAGCTTCAAATTCAATCTCCCTTAAAGAGATCCAGAAAATTCAAGCGCCTAACCAGCCTCTAGATGTTCTAGATGTCAAGGTCCGCTTCCAAACTAAGCATTCAAAATTCCTGTCAAGATTAATAACACAGCCTCAAGCTTAATTGCTGAGATTGGCAGCGGAAACCAAGTTCTCTGTCAGATGTTGTCACTTTGCCGTTTTGCTTTCTTCTTCATGTTACAGAAGCTGACACAGCCTGATCTTGTACCGTAGCTCCAGATCTAAGTCTTGCAGCTGTTTCAGGAACCCGCGGTTCGGGGAGATGGCTCGATTCTGCAGGACCTTTCCGACGGCGTCAGCCAGGGAGAAATTTTGAGAGATCATGAGGTAAGCCAGAACCAGGGCTGCTGATCTGCTTCTGCCTAGAATGCAGTGGACCAAGATCTTTCCTGGAACAGAGATGAAATGATTTAAGAAGAGAGCAAATGGGATTTTTGGGGTTCCTAATTTGTATTAAAGCAATCCAAATTGTCAAGTGGCTCTGAAGCTCACTGGGTGACCTTGGGCCACTCATTCACTCTGTCTCTCAGTCTGACCTATCTCAAAATGGTTGCTTGTCTGCCCCGGAGACCAGCATCCCATGCTATGCTGCTGCTAATACCTAAAACCTCAGTGCAGCGGTTCCACCAGGGCAGGCACTCACCATTTGATAATAATTTTTTTTATTAGTTTTCAATTACAGTCCAATAATAGCTTAATTATAACAATGCCAAATTATAATACAATTATGAATACCAATTGTTCAAATACCAAATTATATAATTTAGGTGCCCCCCCGCATTGCTAGAATGGATAGTTTGATGATTACTTCTGTGTTCCAAAGTCTTATTAATTTCAATTACATTCTGGTCAAAATAATAATCCCTTATACAACAACGGTGATATTAATAACTTCTATTCGTGTTGACACATTAAATGATTTATAGAACTACAAGTGAGGCACTCAAACTATATCCTTGTTCTTCCTGTGTGTGGCAAATATTCTGTCCATGGTGTTTCTTCCTGTCCTTGTAAAATGTTCTGTCTACCTTTTCCCGGTTGTTGCTGTTCTCCATCATGCCTTGGGAGGAGCTAATATCCCATTGTTGTTTCAGAAACTTCTCCATTGCTCCATCCCAAGGCACTCACCGTTTGGTACACTTAGGGCTTTGGTGATGAATTCGGAGGCAGGGCGGAAATGTACGCTGAGGTCAAAGTCTGGGGAGTCTTCTGCTGCTATTCCATAGTAATGGAACTCTGTTCCGTAGAATGTTTGGTTTCCTTTGCTTCCCCAGGCAGCGTGTGCGGCATTCAGTATGTGAGTGATACCCCGTTTCCTTAGCTCTTCCTTGTTGTGTGCCGTCGTGCTGCCGGGAAACAGATATGAAAGTGGGCAGGTGAGCAGAAATGAACCCCATGTCCTTATTTATTTATTACATTTATATACCATCTTTGGGACGCAGGTGGCGCTGTGGGTTAAACCACAGAGCCTAGGACTTGCCGATCAGAAGGTCGGCGGTTCGAATCCCTGCAACAGGGTGAGCTCCCGTTGCTCGGTCCCTGCTCCTGCCAACCTAGCAGTTCGAAAGCACACCAGTGCAAGTAGATAAATAGGTACCACTCCGGTGGGAAGGTAAACGGCGTTTCCGTGCACTGCTCTGGTTCGCCAGAAGTGGCTCAGTCATGCTGGCCACATGACCCGGAAGCGGTACGCCGGCTCCCTCGGCCAATAAAGCGAGATGAGCGCCGCAACCCCAGAGTCGGTCATGACTGGACCGAATGGATTGGAAGAGTTTGGATTTGATATCCCGCCTTTCACTCCCCTTCAGGAGTCTCAAAGCGGCTAACATTCTCCTTTCCCTTCCTCCACCACAACAAACACTCTGTGAGGTGAGTGGGACTGAGAGACTTCAAAGAAGTGTGGCTGGCCCAAGGTCACCCAGCAGCTGCATGTGGAGGAGCGGAGACGCGAACCCGGTTCCCCAGATTACGAGACTACCGCTCTTAACCACTACACCACACTGGCTCAGTGTCACTGGTCAGTGGTCCGTTTCCCTTTATACCATCTTTATCTTCCAAGCATCTCCAGGTGACTTACAGGGTTCTCCTCCTCCCCGATTCACCCTCACAACAACCTTGTGAGGTAGGTTAAGCTAAGAGATGGTGACTGGCCCAAGGTCGCCCAGTGGGTGAGTGGGGATTTGAACCCTGATTTCCCAGTTCTAACACTCTCACCATTACAAGAAGAATGGCAACTTAAACTGCTGGAATATGCGCAGCTTGCAGTTCTAACATATAGAATAAGAGAACAAGAAGAACATACGTTTAGAGAAGATTGGGAAATGTTTATTGAATATATGGGGGGAAATTGTGTCTATTTGAAAATGCTGGCAGCATTAAGATAAATTCAACAGAGTAAATAAGTTTTGATGGATGTGATGTTGGAATACTGAATGGTTTATTTTATGTAAAATATGCAGGGATTTATGTTGTGCAAAATGAACCACGGAAAGAGAGGAAGGGACGTCATCGATATTTTAAGGTTGTTTAAGTGAATATTCTAAAATGTAAAACAGAAATTTAACAAAAATTACAAAACCAAAAACACTCTATCCATTATGCCACACTGGCTCATCTTATCATGGTGCAAACAGTGATACAGGGCTTAGTTTTCGATGAATGAGAAAGTGTTGGATATTGATTATTGATTATTGATTATTTATTTATTTAAACACATATGTAAGAGGAGTATAGTGAGTGCATATGCATTCCTTTCAGCAGGCAACGCAACTGCTAATCCCACTTCAAATTCCTAGAGAAATATCATTATCATTATCATTATTGCCACAGCTCCCAGACCCAAAGCTGCATCTTCATTTTTTCTGAGGTCTGGTGGGCCAAGCCTTTCCTGTGGCAGGCTCTATCCTGTGGAACTGCCTGCCAGCAGAGGCTTGGTAAGAATCATCCCTGCCTACTTTCAGATACCTGTTTAGAAAACTGCTATTTAAATATGCCTCTGAAACATGAATTCCTTGCCCCCAACCAACATTTTTTTAAAGTGCTTCTCCTGATGTTTTGGTCCCATGTTCTAAGTGTGGCGTATGTGGTTCTTCCATGCATGTTATCCTCACATGGGACGTGGGTGGCGCTGTGGTCTAAACCACTGAGCCTCTTGGGCTTGCCGATCAGGAAGGTCAGCGGTTCGAATCCCTGCGATGGGGTGAGCTCCTGTTGCTCTATCCCAGCTCCTGCCAACCTAGCAGTTTGAAAGCACACTAGTGCGAGTAGATAAATAGGTACCACTGTGGCAGGAAGGTAAACGGCGTTTCCGTGCGCTCTGGTTTCCGTCATAGTGTCCCGTTGCACCAGAAGTGGTTTAGTCATGCTGGCCACATGGGCCGGAAAGCTGTCTTTGGACAAACTCTGGCTCCCTCAGCCTAAAGCGAGATGAGCGCCGCACCCCATAGTTGCCTTTGACTCCTCACAACAACCCTGTGAGGTAGGTTAGGATGAGAAACTGTGACTGGACTTGTTAAGATATCTGGGCTTCAACTTCTTCGGAAGCCTGTGACTGATCTTTTGTATATAGGACAATGGTCCCTTAATCGAGATTTGCAGGATTTTCCTGTAAAGGCTGATGCAGTAGAGGGCACACTTTGAACCGCTTATCTGGATAAATCTCCTCCAGTATGGACAATCACATTCGAAGGGCACAGATATCACCATGTGGTTTCATTAGCACAGGGCATTCTCTGTGTCCTGCCGTGAACTGCTGCCGAGCTGCACTTGGCACAGATGAACGGTTTTCTGAGCCGAGGGCTGTGGATAATGTTTTCATATAGATGTAATCATAATTTCATCTGGACAGGAAGGGCACACACACAGAAAGTCGCCATCCTTCCTTTTGAAACAGATGTTGCATGTGAAATGTGCCGATTTTATACTAGGTTTACGTCTTCAGACTGAAGACAGGCTGCACTAACAGAATTGCTGTTTGGATTTGTTAGTTTATTTCCATAACAGGGAAAGCTTCCTTTCATTTGTGGCTCCTTGAACATATGGACAGGGTATGGTACTGATGTTACGACAATCCTGTAGATTGCATAAGCTTCCCCTGGCAGGATCTCATCCGATCCTTATTTCAAAATGATTGCCACTGATCCGAACGGGTTGTGCTTTCAGCATCTCTTTCCGTCCTATTGATAGTGTCAGGGTAAGTTTAAATAGAGTGTAGGGTAGGATCAAATTCCAATAAGGCAGATCTGCCTAGAGTAGTATGAATCACCGAATCAGAAATCTACATTTCATAAATTAATACTGATGTATTCCAGTGAGGCAGGGACGCGGGTGGCGCTGTGGGTAAAACCTCAGCGCCTAGGACTTGCCGATCGCATGGTCGGCGGTTCGAATCCCTGCGGCGGGGTGCGCTCCCGTCGTTCGGTCCCAGCGCCTGCCAACCTAGCAGTTCGAAAGCACCCCTGGGTAGATAAATAGATAAATAGATAAATAGTAGATAAATAGGGACCGCTTACCAGCGGGAAGGTAAACGGCGTTTCCGTGCGCTGCTCTGGTTCGCCAGAAGTGGCTTAGTCATGCTGGCCACATGACCCAGAAGTGTCTGTGACAGCGCTGGCTCCTCGGCCAATACACCGAGATGAGCGCCGCAACCCCAGAGTCGGTCATGACTGGACCGAATGGATTGGAAGAGTTTGGATTTGATATCCCGCCTTTCACTCCCCTTCAGGAGTCTCAAAGCGGCTAACATTCTCCTTTCCCTTCCTCCCCCACAACAAACACTCTGTGAGGTGAGTGGGACTGAGAGACTTCAAAGAAGTGTGGCTGGCCCAAGGTCACCCAGCAGCTGCATGTGGAGGAGCGGAGACGCGAACCCGGTTCCCCAGATTACGAGACTACCGCTCTTAACCACTACACCACACTGGCTCAGTGTCACTGGTCAGTGGTCCGTTTCCTTATACCATCTTTATCTTCCAAGCATCTCCAGGTGACTTACAGGGTTCTCCTCCTCCCCGATTCACCCTCACAACAACCTTGTAGAGGTAGGTTAAGCTAAGAGATGGTGACTGGCCCAAGGTCGCCCAGTGGGTGAGTGGGGATTTGAACCCTGATTTCCCAGTTCTAACACTCTCACCATTACAAGAAGAATGGCAACTTAAACTGATGGAATATGCGCAGCTTGCAGTTCTAACATATAGAATAAGAGAACAAGAAGAACATACGTTTAGAGAAGATTGGGAAATGTTTATTGAATATATGGGGGGAAATTGTGTCTATTTGAAAACGCTGGCAGCATTAAGATAAATTCAACAGTGTAAATAAGTTTTGATGGATGTGATATTAGAATACTGAATGGTTTATTTTATGTAAAATATGCAGGGATTTATGTTGTGCAAAATGAACCATGGAAAGAGAGGAAGGGACGTCATCGATATTTTAAGGTTGTTTAAGTGAATATTCTAAAATGTAAAACAGAAATTTAACAAAAATTACAAAACCAAAAACACTCTATCCATTATGCCACACTGGCTCATCTTATCATGGTGCAAACAGTGATACAGGGCTTAGTTTCTGATGAATGAGAAAATGTTGGACAATCCTGTAGATTGCATAAGCTTCCCCTGGCAGGATCTCATCCGATCCTTATTTCAAAATGATTGCCACTGATCCGAACGGGTTGTGCTTTCAGCATCTCTTTCCGTCCTATTGATAGTGTCAGGGTAAGTTTAAATAGAGTGTAGGGTAGGATCAAATTCCAATAAGGCAGATCTGCCTAGAGTAGTATGAATCACCGAATCAGAAATCTACATTTCATAAATTAATACTGATGTATTCCAGTGAGGCAGGGACGCGGGTGGCGCTGTGGGTAAAACCTCAGTGCCTAGGACTTGCCGATCGCATGGTCGGCGGTTCGAATCCCTGCGGCGGGGTGCGCTCCCGTCGTTCGGTCCCAGCGCCTGCCAACCTAGCAGTTCGAAAGCACCCCTGGGTAGATAAATAGATAAATAGATAAATAGTAGATAAATAGGGACCGCTTACCAGCGGGAAGGTAAACGGCGTTCCGTGTGCTGCGCTGGCTCGCCAGATGCAGCTTGTCACGCTGGCCACGTGACCCGGAAGTGTCTGCGGACAGCGCTGGCTCCCGGCCTATAGAGTGAGATGAGCGCACAACCCAGAGTCTGGTAAGACTGGCCCGAACGGGCAGGGGTACCTTTACCTTTATTCCAGTGAGGCAGTTTTGTTGCAACTTATGAGATTCCTGCAGCTTCGTAAACATTAATAAGATTTATTGAGACAGAACCATTTGTAGTTAGAGGTTCTTTTTTCAGATGCTGAAACGGTTGGTCTTAGATAGCAGTTTTCCCTTTGTCCCATCCTTTCTAGACATGGGCTGAGCGGTTTTGCAATTGTTCTGCTGATTTCCCCTGGAAAACACACTTTTTACCGCTGAATTGGAACGAACGGAAATTCACGGAAAACACAATTGCTGTTTACATACCTTCCAACATTTCTCTGATGAAAATAGGGGCATCCTAAGGAAAAGCAGGACATTCTGGGATCAAATCAACTGATGATTTCCTTCTATCGGTCCACAATAGAAAGCGTAGCACATACATCATACTGTATGTGGTACGCTGGTTTGACAGAAAGTCCCTACAGAGGGTGGTGAAGACAGCACACGATATCATGGGCTGTGCCCTGAGTCCGCTAGATGTTATCGCAGGAGACCGGTGTCTCAGAAGAGCGAGGAACATTCTTAGGGATGACTCACACCCTGGCCAGCACCTTTTTAATCTCCTGCCCTCGGGCAGGAGATATAGAAGCATGATAAGCTGCACCAACAGGTTAAAGAACAGTTTCTACCCGTGGGCCATGAGGCTGCTGAATGGAAGACAGCAACAATGCAGCTGACGTTCAGAGTTGGTGGTCGTATGACAGCACACAGAGTGTAACAAGGACTGAGAGATTGTGGGGGGGGAAGGGGGCTCATTTAATCTCACTGTAAACAAGCGGTACAGTGACAATAAAGTATTTCTATATTCTATATTTCTATAAATCAGAAACTGGGACAGATTCTGTAAATCCGCAACTGTCCCTGGAAAATAGGGGCACTTGTTTGGTCCAATTCAGTTGTAAACTACAGTGGTGCCCCGCAAGACGAACGCCTCGCAAGACGAAAAACCCGCTAGACGAAAGGGTTTTCCGTTTTGGAGGCGCTTCGCAAAGCGAATTTCCTATGGGCTTGCTTCGCAAGACGAAAGCCCATAGGAAGTCTCCGGTCCGCGAAGCCTGGGCGCGCTGATCTCAGCGCGCGCAGGCTTCGGCATGCCGGCAACTCTCCGCGAGCAGCGGCAGCGCTGCCGCTGCTCGCGGAGAGGTCCGCGAAGCCTGGGTGCGCTGATCTCAGCGCGCGCAGGCTCGGCATGCCGGCAACTCTCCGCGAGCAGCGGCAGCGCTGCCGCTGCTCGCGGAGAGGTCCGCGAAGCCTGGGCGCGCTGATCTCAGCGCGCGCAGGCTTCGGCATGCCGGCAACTCTCCGCGAGCAGCGGCAGCGCTGCGCCGCTGCTCGCGGAGAGGTCCGCGAGCCTGGGCGCGCTGATCTCAGCGCGCGCAGGCTTCGGCATGCCGGCAACTCTCCGCAAGCAGCGGCAGTGCTGCCGCTGCTTGCGGAGAGGTCCGCGAGCCTTGGCTGGACAGCTTTTGAAGGCAGGTGGGGGGACAAGACTTTCGCCCCCGCCAACCTTCAGAAGAGGTCCAGGACCTCTTCTGAAGGCTGGCGGGGGCAAAGTCTTTGTCCCCCTGCCTGCCTTCCCAGGGGCTTTAAACTGCCCCGGACAGCGGAGAAGTCCTCCGCTGTCCCGGGGCAATTTTAAAATGCCGCCCGCCAGCATTTTAAGATCGCCTCGGACAGCGGAGAAGCCCTCCGCTGTCCCGGGTTTTTAAAATGCTGGGGGTGGGAAGAAAGCCCTTGTCCCCCCAGCCTTCAGAAGAGGTCGGGGACAGACTGTCCCCGGACCTGGTCTGAAGTCGGTTTCCTAGGAACGCATTAATTGATTTTCAATGCATTCCTATGGGAAACCGTGCATCGCAAGACGAAAAACTCGCAAGACGAAGAGACTTGCGGAACGAATTAATTTCGTCTTGCGAGGCACCACTGTACAGGGAAGCAGTGAGGCAAACGGAAGTTACACAAATTAGATTAAGATATACAGCAAGAAAATGCAGCAAGAAAAACCCTTTACAATGACAAAAGGCCAAGGAAAGATACGGATAGTAGCAGATGCAAAATACATACGAATATGAGATTCAAAGAGAATGGGTGTGATTCTTCTGCAACTGGCCGCACCTGATTGTAAATGAGTATAGCAAAAATAGTATAAACTCCCGAAAATGGGACAATTACTCCAGATCTCTACCAAGTCTAAGTTCCTTTAGTTGCTAAACTAATGGAGTCTATCTCAGTAGTTTCTTGCTGGAAACTTCTTTTTTTAAAAAACTTTTTATAAAGCAATATTTTCTATCCCATAGGGTAGACTTCAGTGTGGTCAGATCTACTTAATTCTATTAACAGTGGATCTGTTTGAATGCTGGCCAACACTAGCTTTTAAATGGTCAGATGAATTGAATAGTCTAGGAGCTTGCAGAGGGAAAGGTTCAGTGACAGGGTATAACTCTTCTTTCCGATAAGAGGCTGAGGCGGCAAATATCGGAGGAACCTGGATGATTTATTTAGCAAGCTTGGAGCATGTGGTCCTAATGAATTATTGCTGCTCACTCATGAGACGTTTTGACCAATAGCAGGCGCTGCATTGACATCTTAAATAGCACAGCTTTATACAAAATATGCTGTTAACAGCTAGTTACAGGAAGTGACCGACAATGGAGCCAAATGATGTGTGCAGGATTCCTGCATTGCTGGGGGTTGGACTAGATGACCCTCGGGGTGCCTTCCAACTTCCAACGTTTGCGATTCTATGGGACTGGGCCATAGGGAACTAATGCGCCATGACCATATGTGTTTGCTGCTGCGGTTGAGTTATAAGGGAGCTCCTCTGTGGCGTCTGCAGCAGAGGTTTGAGTGCCAGGTGCTCCAACTTTTTGGGCCCTAACAGTTCTCCCTTCCACTGTTAGAGCTTGAAATATGGTCTCCAGCTTCCCAGCTCCATGTCCTGTCGAGTACTATACTAGCTGATGGAGTGGGGGCTTGGTAGTATCATTGAGTACCGTATTTTTGGCTCTATAGGACGCACCTTTTCCTCTCCAAAAATTAAGGGGAAATGTGTGTGCGTCCTATGGAGCGAATGCAGGCTCCTTGGCTTCAGTGATAGCAACGCGAAGCCTCCGAAGCACAGAGGGAGCGCTCCCTCCGTGCTCTGGAGGCTTCGTGTTGCTTTCGCTGAAGCCTGGAGAGCGAGAGGGGTCGGTGCGCACCGACCCCTCTCACTCTCCAGGCTTCAAAGATAGCTGCCTGAAGCCTCCGGAGAACAGCGCGAGTTCCCGCTGCGCTCTGGAGGCTTCAGATTCCTTTTGCTGAAGCCAGGAGAGCAAGACAAGGTGCGTCCTATGGTTGGGTGCGTCCTATAGAGCGAAAAATACGGTATATTTTGCAGTGTTGGACGGGGCTGTTGGGGGAGTGCTCTGATCATCCCAAAGTCATTTGCTGCTTGCATTTTGGCTCACCATGTGGGTGCCTCTGCCCCGATTGGTGACTCTGGCTTCCCATCCTGGGTTGAGTGGGCGTCAGAGAAGACAGGCATGCAGCGGTGGCATTTCTGTGATAACGGCGTGTATAGGATTGCTCAACCCAGACAATTTGGTAGGGGATAATGTAAGTTGGAGAACTTACGGTCACATGACACTGTATCCAATTTGCAAGAACACGGAATGTTATTTTTTTAGTTACCCTTTAGTTTCTGTAGGCTTCAGGTCAACTGAAATATTAGTGAGAAATCCATCTGCACCGGAATTTAGAATGATACATTATGACATGTGTCAGTTGCCATGACGGGACTGGACTCTAGTGTGTTTGCTTCTCAGAACTTCTGCCTTCAGCCATGTGACTTCTTGCAGATACCTAAATATTTAACTCTCTAGCATCTTTCCTTGAAACAGAGGCTCAGTCTAGTGGCTGTGTATCCCTTTCAAGAGCAGAGGTTGGGATCAGTTGAGCACATTATACTCTATGCCATTTCCTACCTCAGGGTTCAGTTCTGATTTTTTTATGCATCAAAGGTTGACAAGCGCATGCTAACTGTATAATTAATCCACCAAATATTTGCCAATATAAAATGCAGATAATCACTCCAGAGGATTAGACTTTCAAAATATAGAGGAGGATAAAACAATTTGAGTTGTATTTGTAAATTGCATATGGGTAGAGCAGCGAATTCTTGGTGCATAAACACATAAATAGAATATTCAGACATACAATCTGTAACCAGGCCCACAGCTAGGGTTCCTGAGAAACTCAACCTTCAATTTAGAAAGTCCATCACCGCTCATGTTTCTTGCAGACGTGCATTTTAAATTCGCCAGTATAAGGTTTCAGTAGCCACTGGAATTTCTGTACTCTGCTAGGCTACCTCACTCGGCCGCAGATTTCTCAGTTTGAATACCTTGTCTACATTCCTTGCATCTTTCTCCACCTATCTGGATATCACACCTTGTTCTCATCCAACTGTAAATTCTTTTTTTAAAACATCTGTATCTTACACAGGACATACTGGGCACCCCAAATGCAGAGGGTTGTTTGCGTCATTTGGGTGTAGATAGGACAGGTATTCTGGGAAAAGAAAGTGGGTTCCTTTGCTAGAATTTAGATTTTTAGTTTTAGCGCATAATAAAATATATTACCTTGTGTCTCTGTGATAGGACTATCTGTGCTGTTCCTGCCCCAGTAATATACAGATTTTTGTAATGTGCTTTCTATTATGAAGGCTGTCCCATGTTGAACGACAGAGAAAAACAAGGGAAACTCTTTTCAGACTTTAACTTCAGCGTGCACAGATCTGTCCTCCGTTAGCAATGTGAATTCATTGGTCATAACATTACACTGCTGTACAGTACCTTCCTTTTACCCCACGCTCAAGCCGCGGCTTCGTTCCGGGTCACACTTACATGTTGCCTATATAAAGATTGGGCCACACTTCATCTATCTCATTTAATTCCATCCTGCAGCTGTCCATCACATGCTCCAACTCTTGGACGGAGGGTGAGGCGGATCTGCGGCTGTTCATTTTGCAAAAGGAGGCGGTCGTCTTTGGAAAGGGGTCATCCGCTGTCATGCGACGATACATGGTCGTTGCAGAGCCCCAATGAGCTCCAGTTACCTTTCGACGTTTGACAGGGAGAAGCAGGTGCGCCTTTTGAGAGATGTCCCCTTTTCGTCCCCTGCCCACCCCCATGCCTAATGTGGGAACAGCCTTTGCTGACACGGCAGCACAAAATGCAATAAGCACGAGTGGAGATCAACATCCTATTTTTCCTCGAAATGGAAAAAATAGTTCTTTTGAGTTGAATTATATTATTATGTACTCTGAAGATCGTTATGGAAGATCATAGAATCATAGAGTTCAAAGGGTCCTGGAAAGTGATCTAAAGTGGTACCTTGGTTCTCAAACTGACTCAGTTACAGAAGTCCGTTCCGAAACCAATGCGTTCCAAAACCAAGGCATGCTTTCCCATAGAAAGTAATGCAAAACGGATTAATCTGTTCCAGACTTTTAAAAACAACTCCTAAAACAGCAATTTAACATGGATTTCACTACCTATCGAGATCATTGATCCATACATAAAATGAAAGCAATAATCAATGTACTGTACTATAAAATAAATATGACAGTATTGTAGATGATAAAAATTAAAATTACATTTCCCCCCTTACCTGCACTGATGATAGTCATTGTTTGGATGGGTTTTTTTTATTCATTTCCACAGTCACACAATCAGTCAGTAGCTGAACTGGGTTCCACACAGTCGCAAAAACAAATCAACCAAAAAAAGCCTCAAAAACAAAAACGCAAAATAAATAGCCAAAACAAAAGCCCAAACTTAATCCGTTCCGGAAGTCCGTTTGACTTCCAAAATGTTTGAAAACCATGGCGCAGCTTCTGATTGGTGCAGGTGCCCCGGAAACAATAGATGACAGTCGCACCGGACGTTTGGCTTCCAAAAAACGTTTGAAAACCGGAACTCTTGCTTCCAGATTTTCGGTGTTTGAGAACCAAGGCGTTTGAGTACCAAGGCGTTTGAGAACCAAGGTACCACTGTAGTTCAGTCCCATGCTAATGTAGGAAACCCATTGCTGCAGCATTCCTGATAAGTGGCAATCCAGCCTCTGCTTAAAAACCTCTAAAGAAGGGGAGTCCATTTCTTTCCAAGATAAGCTTCCCCACTATTGAACTGCTTATTTGTAAGAAAGTCCTTCCTAATGGAGGAGAGGGGTTCATTGGTTTGCTGAGAGGTCGCTGTAGAGGTTGCTTTTGGTGGGTGTTGGGGGCTCGCCTTGCCTCTTGAATAGACCCTGCTAACACCCCTCAAAATAGCCATCATTTCTGAGAGCATGGCTACTATTAGAAAAATATTACAATGAACACATTTTAATGAAAATATTCCAGGACAGTGAGGCTTGAAAATAACTTGCGTTCCGGGGTGCTTGCTTAGTGCTTTATTTGCTGAGCTGAAGGTCCAAATTTCTCAGTTGCTTCAGGAACCCTCGGTTGGGGAAAATCCACCGACGTTCTTTCACTGCCTGAATGGCTTTAAGCAAAGAGAAGTGATGGTAGATCATGAGATATGCCAGCACCAACAAAGACGACCGGCTTATCCCCACTGCGCAGTGCACTAAGATTTTGCCTGAAAATGAAGTAAACCACATTTTTTATCATCTTAAAAGATGGCTTTTTTAAACTACAGAGAAGACAGAATTCAACCATTTCTGAAACAGGTACATTTAACTTTCTGCAGTTACATTAATACTGGATAAATTTAGTCCCCAATTCTGATATTATCTTCATTTATGCCTAAATGTGGGGCCCTACAGTACATCGTTTGTGTCAAGTTAATGGAAATCTTCTTGGGCTTACTTCACAGTTTAGCTAAAATCAATGTTTGGCAGAAAAAGCACTGTATGTATGTATTTGTGTGTGCACACGTTTAACAGTTTTCTTTGTTGGATTCTGATGAATTTTCAGTGCTGGGATAAACTGCAGTTTCAAAATGTACTTAGGACAAGATTGAAAGAACAGTGAATCTAGTAGTTTTGGCAACAGGGGTTCTTATATTGTTTTTTCTCAAGCAGTGATAAAAACTCACAGCTCTTTTGCTACCTGAGCATAAAAGAACAGTAAACGGTAAAGTTAAATGACCCCTGGATGGTTAGGTCCAGTCAAAGGCAACTATGAGGTTGCGGCACTCATCTTGCTTTCAGGCTGAGGGAGCTAACGTTTGTCCACAGACAAATTTCCAGGTCATGTGGCCAGCAGGACTAAACCGCTTCTGGCACAACAGGACACCATGATGGAAACCAGAGCACACAGAAACGCCATTTACCTTCCTGCTGCAGTGGTACCTATTTATCTACTTGCACTTTGACGTGCTTTCGAACTGCTAGGTTGGCAGGAGCTGGGAAAGAGCAATGGGAGCTCACCCTGTTGCGCAGATTAGAACTGCTGACCTTCTGATTGGCGAGTCCAGGAGGCTCTGTGGTTTAGACCACAGTGCCACCCATGTCCAGAAAAAGAACAGTGACAAAGGACAGAAGATTTAAACATGGTTTCCAATGTGTCATGGCAAAGTGATGTCAAGGTGATCAGGATCTCCAGTGTTGATATATAATGTGAGAGGAGGGTAGATAATGACACACAGGCATTGGAGACACCTGGAACCTCAATACGCTATGGCTATGTACAAATAATAAGGAAATGGTAATCAGATGAGCATACATATGAGTAGAGAAATGGAAGCAGGAGGTAGGCAGAGAATTTAAGAAGCAAAGAATCTCTGCCTGGAAACAAAGAGAAGGTCGGGGAAGAGGCATAGGGCAAAAGCTGCTCAGTGATCCTCACAGGGCGGCCATCAAGTAAACCCAAAAGCAATGAGAGAGCTGAAAATCTTCCCCTAATCTCCAGCTCTCCAAAAGAAATGGCAGTGAAGTGCCAAATTGCCAGCACAGCACAACATAATATGAACATTTGTGACGCATGTTGCTTCCCTACCTCCTGGTGTGTTCAAGGCTTTGTGTATGAATTCTGCCGCGGGGTAAAAATATGGAGTCATATCAAAATCAGGAAGGTCAAAGGCTGGTACACCATAGTATTCGATCGTTGTGCCATAAAACTCGTGGGATCCTTGGCAAAATATTTTGCCGTGTGCAGCATTTAAAACATGGCTGATGCCCATTTTCCACAAACCAAATCTGTTGTGGGCCATAACACTGGAGAGAGAAAAATGAAACAGAAAGTGAGAGGCAGACTTAACAGGTAGGAGAAGAATCCTGTTTTGCTTTCAGGCTTCTCCCTCTGATTTGTGGCTCAGATCCACTTATGGTATGGAGAAAATCTCCCACGTTAAGGAACAGAAAATTCAATTATGATGTAATGAATGAACATTCTGGAATAAGCCAATGGTCCATCTGGTCCAACATGCTGTTCTCACTGTTAAGTTGTGGGTGAACATATCAGACGACACAGCGATTCTTCAAACAGCTCTTGTTTATTCAGAGGCCAGAACAGAACTGAACTGAAGAGCTCAGTCAGTCTGCTTATATAGAGCTCCAGTACAACGTTACTGTAGCAACTTTCTAAAACTATCCAGTCACTGAACGTCACTTTCGATCCTTCATTTGCATACAAACTATCCAATCACTGAACGTCACTTTCAACCCTTCATTTGCATAACTATCTACAGTATCCCCCTGCTGGCCCAGGGTGAGAACTTCAGTACATAACACTCACATTGGCCACTTAGATGTCTCTGTGAAGCACGAAGCAGGATCTGAGCTCAACTTCATTCTCCCCTCTGTGGTTTCCAGCAACTGGTATTCAGAATTATACTGCCTCAGACAGGGATGGCAGAACAGAGCCATTAGGGTTAGCAGCCATTGATAGCCTCGTCCTTTGCCCAGTTCTCTTTTAAAGCCATCCAAGGGTGTGGCTATCACTCTATTTGTGGGAGCAGATCCCATAATAATGTCTTATTATGTGAAGAAGTACTTTGTCCTGAATCTTCCATCATTGGATGTCCCTGAATTTTAGGGTTAGGCACTAAATCTGTTAAGCTCATCAATGGACTTGGGAGCCAGTGTGGTCTAGTGGTTAGGGGGTCATGATAGGACTTGGGGGTTCAAATCCCCACTTAGCCATGTAGCCCACTGGGTGACTTTGGCCATTCACCAATTCTCAACCTTAACCTGCCCCAATGGGTTATTGGGAGGATAAAATGGGGAGTGGGAAGAATCGTGTAAGCCATCTTGAGCCTGTTGGAAAGAGAAGCAGGGTATAAATGTGATATTTAAATAAGACCCTAGTACAGAATCCCCTGAGCCACTTTCCCTTGAGACGGTAGCCCAAATAACCCTCATGGTACCACTGCCCTCGCCACCAAGGGCCTCTTACTCCCCAATACCCGATCACAACAACGGACAATGCATCCAACAGAAAATAGAAGCAAGATGGCGGCATGCTAGATTCCAGGCTGCAGGACAGTCCCTTTAAATTGCTATGGTCCTTGGGAAGCAAGTAGATCCAGGAGGAGGTAGGCAGGTCCATGCCTACTAAAAAAAGACCAAGGAATCTGTTGGAATACCTGGTTTGCTCCCAGTGATCTCTCCATGTCTTTTGCCCTTGTTTGCCAGTTCATGGTTCCTGACCTGGGAGCGAAATACTGCCATCCCTGCCTGGATACCATCAGCCTGAGAATGCTCGCTGGGCTTGCTTACTCCCAAAACGTCTGTGGGCTCAGCCTCACCAGAACTGGACAGATCTATAAAGACATGGCTTTACGCTGGAGTTAAAGGTAAAGGGACCCCTGACCATTAGGTCCAGTTGTGACCGACTCATCTCGCTTTATTGGCCGAGGGAGCCGGCGTACAGCTTCCAGGTCATGTGGCCAGCATGACTAAGCCGCTTCTGGCGAACCAGAGCAGCGCACGGAAATGCCATTTACCTTCCCACCGGAGCGGTACCTATTTATCTACTTGCACTTTGACGTGCTTTTGAACTGCTAGGTTGGCAGGAGCTCACCCATTGCAGGGATTCGAACCGCCGACCTTCTGATCGGCAAGTCCTAGGCTCTGTGGTTTAACCCACAGCGCCACCAGAGCGAGGCAATTGAAATGACCCAAAGAGCCAGGGAAAGGCAATGAGAAGCTACAAGGGAGGACTAGGTCTCTGAAGCAGTGCTTTTTTTTCTAAAAAAAAATGTTTAGGGGTACTCTCATTTTCCTACTCATATTGAAATACTGCCCCTCAATGAGGCCAAACTTAGATTCACAAAATATTTAGGGGTATGCGTCCCCCTGCATCCCCCCAGAAAAAAGCACTGCTCTAAAGGGTACAGAAGCCATACTGACTGAACTCTTTTGCCTCTTTAGCCTTCAGCCATGTCTCTTCGCAACTTGTGGGGGCTAGAAATGGCTTTTTGGAAGAAAAAGTAAGATGATCTATTCAAGAATCCAACATTTTGTTCCAGATTCTGTGTGGCATTCTGAATGCACAAAATAAAAAAGATAAACTGCTTCAGGCTCGTTAACAATTAATTGCAAGTCTGTATTGCAAAAATCAGATAGCATGTTAAGGTGCAATTTCCTCCAATCATGTGTCAGGAAGCCCCATTGGTTTAAATGAGGTACAGTCATGCATAACAAGGTACTGGACTCAACCAGATCACAGAATGACGCATTCCTTGGAAGGAGCATTGACTTGGCTGCAGTAGTTGCGTTGGAGGAGCTCTTAAGCACTGCCCCAAAAATGCTGAGCCGTTCCACGGACGTATACTTACAGATCTCCTAAGAAAAGGTTAGGCCATACTTCATCAACATGGTTACAGGAAGGCCTCCCAGTATTCAGGAGCTGTTCTAGATCTTTAAGAGTGGGGGTCTCAGCTGTGGATGTTCCAGAACACTCAGGGTCTTTGGAGAGGGAGACACACTCTTCAGCCATCCTTATTAAAGTAGCAACTGTTCCCTCTGAAACCTGAGAAAGTGGTCCAGGCTTGCTTGTTTAATGCGCTTTCTCAGGCTGCGTGCTTGTCATTTTGAATTTATTGGACAGGTGCTGGGCCACAGCAAAGCATCCAACGTGTTAAATCAAAGCTTGGAAGGGAGGTGCCATTTTTGCACACCCTGAAGGCAAACGGGCATTCAGCAACGGCCACTGTCGCACACACAGGAGCATGATTTCTGCCAGAGATGATATCTCCAGTCTTGGGAAACAAAAGATGAGCTGGTTGAAGCCTTAATGGCACAATGGGCAATAGATATAGGACACAATATAGATTTTAACCTCTGGGGGAAATTCTGGAAAAGCAACTTTTAAATTTACAGCATGTTATTCTTTGGAGGAGAACTACTTGAAAATGATTTACAGCTGGTCCTTGCCTTTGAGTAGGTTTGCTTAGATGTATACGACTGAATCAGATAAGTGCTGGAGATGCAAAGAAGTGGAGGGAACGTTCTTTCATATGTGGTGGACTTATAAAAGGGTAAAAGAATATTGGGAAATGATCCATAATGAATTGGGGAGAAATGTTCAGAAGTACCTTCCCAAAAAACCAGAGTCCATTTTGTTGGGGATAATTCAGACTGAAATTCCCAGTTGTCAAAAAAGGTTATTTATGTATGCTGATACTACGGCCCGTGTTTCGTTAGCCCCAAAACGGAAAACGAGCGAGGTCCCAACCAAAGAAGTATGGCAACTTAAGTTAACAGAATATGTGCAACTTGCAGACTTAACATATAGAATAGGAGAACAAGAAGAACATACATTTAAAGAAGATTGGAAAACGTTCATTGAATATATGGGGAATAATTGCATTAAGCTGAAAATGCTGGCAGCACTGAGATAAATTCAACAGTGTAAATAAGTTTTGATGGATGCAATAATGGAATACTGATTGGTATATTTTTTGTAAAATACAGTGGTACCTCGGGTTAAGAACTTAATTCGTTCTGGGGGTCCGTTCTTAACCTGAAACTGTTCTTAACCTGAGGTACCACTTTAGCTAACGGGGCCTCCCGCTGCCGCCATGCGATTTCTGTTCTCATCCTGAAGCAAAGTTCTTAACTCAAGGTAGTATTTCTGGGTTAGTGGAGTCTGTAACCTGAAGCGTCTGTAACCCAAGGTACCACTGTATGCAGGGATTTGTGATATGTAAAATGAACCATGGAAAGAGAAGAAGGGAAGTCATTGATATCTTAAGGATGTAAAATGAGCATTTTAAATTGTAAAACAGAAAATTTAAATATATATATATATATATATATATATATATGAATGAGAGGATATCTCCAGTCTCATGCATTCTCTTGCACAGGAACTCTAACTGCCTTTCAATCAAGCACTCTTCATTCAGACATTATTGCCATGGATTGGACAGGCATTTTTTTGAGGTTTTTTTCCTCTGGACCCTTGGCTGCCAAGCTCAGCAACACAAGGATCGTGGATTAGGAAGAACGCCCAAGGTGCAATGAGTTTTATATGTCTTATGCACAAAGACAAACCTGTTAATCACAAAAAGTAAAGTCTGATTCCAGATTGTAGAGCTAAGTCTTGACATATGGACCAGGAGATTCTGAAAGACATGGTAATGGTGAGGCAGAACAGTAAGTGGATTATGATGCTTCCGAAGATCACTTCTCCTAGCCGGCTTACGGATTTTGAGCAACACAAGCAGCAAAACTGTTATTTATTAAGGGTTCTACACTCCTGCTGTGCTTGCCGATATTATATTGCTCCTCAGTGAATCCACCTGAGCCGACAATTTAAAACGCTGATGCACTATTTCATATTTTAGAGCAGGTTGCGGGAATTTGATTTCAGAAGAGAGCAAGATTTCAACAAGGTCCGAATGTGTGGCTGACACTTGGAAACATTCAAGGTTAAATTGCAGAAAAGCAAAATGTTTTAACAGCATTTGCTGTGTTTTTTTTTTAAAAAAACAACAAAATAGTACACCAACACTTTCAATACAAATGTCTCCCTCAGATACTGTACATTTCTTTATTTTTAAACCGATGATTTTGTGGCTTCAGCACAATGGCTGATCAAGCCACGATAGCTTAGTGGAATCCCCACAGATAAAGTTTACTTCTGAAGACTAGTTGCTGGATACCGCAAGTGGGAGAAGGCTGTTTCCTTCAGGGCCCAGTTCTGTACTTCCCAGAAGTATTAGGCTGACCACTGTTCAAAACAGGATGCTGACTTAGAACCACTGATAGGTGCATTTGAAGGTAAGCTCCCAGTGCCATTCAGCTGATTGGACTACTGCAATGTGCTCTACGTGGGGCTACCTTTGAAGGTGACCCAGAAACTACAATTAATCCAGAATGCGACAGGTAGACTGGTAACTGGGAGCGGATGCCGAGACCATCTAATACCAGTCCTGAAAGACCTACATTGACTCCCAGCAACCCCATAGTCACCTTTGACTGGACATAACTGTCCAGAGGTCCTTTACCCCCCCTCTCTGTCTCTGCGTATTTTTATTTCATCATACCATAGAAAATCTGATAATTAAAAAGAAAGAACGAAGCCGAAAGGAGAGAGCACAGACTGATATTTCGATGATGATCGAAAAAGACAACGAAGAACACACTTTTATGAAAACATTCCATGACACTGAGGCTTGAAAATGACCTGCTTTCCTGATCATCAGGCATTTGTTTCCTTGCTTTCTTGCTTAGTGCTTTTTTTGTTTAGCTGAATGTCCAAATTTCTCAGTTGATTCAGGAACCCTTGATTGGGGAAAATCCACCGATGTTCTTTCACTGCCTGAATGGCTTTAACCAAAGAGAAGCGATGGTAAATCATGAGGTATGCCAGCACCAATGAAGACGACCTGCTTATCCCCACAGCGCAGTGCACGAAGATTTTAGCTGCAAATGAAGAAAACTTGTTGTTTTTTAAAGCATCTTTAAGAGAATTCAAATGTTTCCTAAACAAGTACTTTTAACAATTGTTGCATCTAATCCCAGCAGCTACGTTAATACTGTATAAATTTAGTCTCCAATCAGGGAGCTTATTCTCATTTATACCTAAATTGTGGGGCTCTACACAGCTTGTGTGAAGTTTTGGTTAATTGAGATCTTCTTGGGCTTAATCCACACTCGCAAAACAAAAACACAAGGTAAAACACAGGTGAATTCCTTCAAAATATGGTTTCATTTGGTGGTGTCTATAAACAGGCAAAACCTCTTTCTTTTTTCTCTCATTTATTGCACAATGTAAACTGTGTTTTATACCCCATTTATAATTTTATCATTGTACCCATTTCATTCGCTCCCTGATTTGTTATGTTTCTTTTGACTTTATTATCAAAAGATCCTTGTGTCGAATTTTTATTAGCCTGTTACTGTTTGTTCGATTTCTCTGTGTGTATTGTTTGTTTTTCTTATTCAATTTTTTTAAATCAAAAACAAAACTGGCATGGTGAAGAGGTTGCAATCATTACCCCACTAACCTGGGCATAACCAGCATTGAATTCACTTACTTACTACTGGGTAAAATTGGTTAGGATTGGAGCCCAGGCCGCCTCCTTCCAGAACTGTAGCCATAATCTCATTTGGGAGTCCAATGAGCTGGGAGAATCAATTGGATAGTACTGTTGCAATTGATGAAATGAATGGGGTCTTGAATGGGGTAACTGTGCCCCTGAAGGACCAGGTGCACAGCTTGGGAGTCATTTTGGACTCACAGCTGTCCATGGAGGTGCAGGTCAATTCTGTGTCCAGGGCAGCTGTCTACCAGCTCCATCTGGTATGCAAGCTTACCTGCCCGCAGACTGTCTCACTAGAGTGGTGCATGCTCTGGTTGTCTCCTGCTTGGACTACTGCAATGTGCTCTACGTGGGGCTACCTTTGAAGGTGAGCCGGAAACTACAACTAATCCAGAATGCGGCAGCTAGACTGGTGACTGGGAGTGGCCCCTGGGACTACATAAAACCAGTCCTGAAAGGCATACATTGTCTCCCAGTACATTTCTAAGCACAAGTGTTGGTGCTGACCTTTAAAGCCCTAAATGGCCTCGGCCCAGTTTACCTGAAGGAGCATCTCTACCCCCATCGTTCAGCCCGGACACTGAGGTCCAGCTCCGAGGGCCTTCTGGCGGTTCCCTCACTGCGAGAAGCAAAGTTATTGGGAACCAGGCAGAGGGCCTTCTTGGTAGTGGCGCCTGCCCTGTGGAATGTCCTCCCATCAGATGTCAAGGAAATAAACAACTACCTGACTTTTAGAAGACATCTGAAGGCAGCCCTCTTTAGGGAAGTTTTTAATGTCTGATGTTTTCTTGTATTTTTAATATTTTGTTGGAAGCCACCCAGAGTGGCTGGGTAAACCCAGCCAGATGGGCGGGGTATAAATATTATTATTATTATTGTTATTCTTATTGTATTCTATTTATTGCCCTGGGAGAGTTAAACATGACCTTAAGTATCTGCTATTTAAGTCCATGAGACTATAAAGTACAAACCCAACAGCAACACCAGAGCTGCCAATCCTCCCCTAACTTCCAGCTCTCCAGAAAGAAATAGCAGTGAAGTACCAAATTGCCAACACAACACAACATAATATTAACATTTGTGACGAATGTTGCTTCTCTACCTCCTGGTGTGGTCAAGGCTTTGTGTATAAATTCTGCCGCGGGGTAAAAATATGGAGTCATATCAAAATCAGGAAGGTCATCAGCTGGTACACCATAGTATTCGATCGTTGTGCCGTAAAAATCATGGGGTTCATGGCAAAATATTTTGCCATGTGCAGCATTTAAAACATGGCTAATGCCCATTTTCCATAAACCAAATCTGCTGTGCGCCGTAACACTGAAGAAAAGACAAAACAGAAAGTGAGAGGCAGACAGATACAAGAAGGGTCCTGTTTTCTGTTATGTACTGAAGTTCTCACCCTGGGCCAGCAGGGGGATACTGTAGATAGTTATGCAAATGAAGGATCAAAAGTGACGTTCAGTGATTGGATAGTTTTTATGCAAATGAAGGATCGAAAGTGACGTTCAGTGATTGGCTAGTTACAGAAAATGGTTACTGTTGCATTCTAGTGGAGCTCTATATAAGCAGGCTGGCTGAGCTCCTCAGTTCAGTTCTGTTCCAGCTTACAAATAAAGAGCTGCTTTGGAGAAATCGCTGTGTCGTCTGCTATGTCTACCCACAACTTAACATTTTCCTTTCAGGCTTTCCCCTCTAACTTGTGGTCTGGGTCCTCTCACATTCTATGAAGAAAATAGCCCACGTTAAGGAGCAAAGATTTCAGTAAGATTTAATGAATGAATATTCAGAACATAAGAAGAGCCTGCTGGAATAAGCCAGTGGCCCATCTAGTCCAACATGCTGTTCTCACAATGGCCTCTTAGATGTCTGTGGGAAGCATGAAGCAGGATCTGAGCTCAACTTCATTCTCCCCTCCTGTGGTTTTCAGCAATTGTTATTCAGAATCATACTGTCTCAGACTGATGGCACAACACAGTAGCCATTGATAGCCTTCTCCTCCATGAATTTGTCTGATCATCTTCTAAAGCCATTTGAGTTGGATGCTATCACTGCCTCTGTGAGAGCAGATTCCAAAATTTAACTTTGTGCTGTGTGGCGAAGGGCTTTTTTTGCCTATCCTCAATATCTGAACATTCAGCTTTGTTGGAAACCCCCATGTTGTGGTGTTGGGAACTGCATCTTTTTTTTTTCAGATTAAAATTTTACAGTCCAACATACAACATAAAAACAAGATTCCAAGGAATCTCTTGGACCTCCGTCCTCTGCTTTGTGGGTCCTGTTATTAATCATTTCCTCCTACATCTTTTATGATAGTCCAAGTTTGTTTACCTCTCCATTGTGTCCAAAATTCACCATTAAACTACAAGTGATATTCCAATCCTACGTTAGGCACTGAATCAGTTCAGCACATCCATGGACTTCGGAGCAACTGTGGTGTCATGGTTATGGTTCCCGGCTAAGACCTGGGAGACCATGGTTCAAATCTCCACTCAGCATTAAACCCAATGGGTGATCTTGGGCTCAGCCTCACCGGAAATGAGACAGATAATTGGTTACTGGGAATGAATAAACAAGTCTAGAATCAGAGCTAGACAATTAAAGCAACCAAAACAGGCAAAGGTAATGAGAAGTCACAAGGGAGGACTAGGTCACTCTGAAGGGGACGGAAGCCACACTGACTAAACTCTTTCGCCTTTTTCATATACCAACTGCATGGCCTTCAGCCATGTGTCACCGCAACTGTGAGGGCTAGAATTTTTTTTTTTTTTTAAGGACTAGGTGGTGGGAAGAAAGGTGATGCACTGAAGAATCCAACATTTTGTTCCAGATTCTGTGTGGCATTCTGAATGCACATGAAATAAAATACATAAATTGCTTACGGCTGCATAACAATTAATTGTAAGACTGTCTTCTCAAAGAAGCCAGGATGATGTGCAAACCTACCACCGGTTATGTGTCAGAATGCCCCATTGGTTTAAATGAGGTACAGTCACGCATAACAAGGTACTGGACCCAACCAGATCACAGAACGACACATTCCTTGGAAGGAGCATTGACTTGGCTGCAGTAGTTGCGTTGGAGGAGCTCTTAAGCACTGCCAAAAAAAATGCTGAGCTGTTCCACAGAGATATACTTACTGGTCTCCTAAGAAAAGGTTAGGCCATACTTCATCAACATGGTTACAGGAAGGCCTCCCAGTATTCAGGAGCTGTTCTAGATCTTTAAGAGTGGGGGTCTCAGCTGTGGATGTTCCAGAACACTCAGGGTCTTTGGAGAGGGAGACACACTCTTCAGCCATCCCTATTAAAGTAGCAACTGTTCCCTCTGAAACCTGAGAAAGTGGTCCAGGCTTGCTTGTTTAATGCGCTCTCTCAGGCTGCGTGCTTGTCATTTTGAATTTATTGGACAGGTGCTGGGCCGCAGCAAAGCATCCAACGTGTTAAATCAAAGCTTGGAAAGGAGGTGCCATTTTTGCACACCCTGAAGGCAAACAGGCATTCAGCAATGGTCATTGTAGCTGAAGGGCAAAGTCTGCTGAACAGAAGAAGAAATACACAGGAGCATGATTTCTGGCAGAGATGATCTCTCCAGTCTCATGCGTTCTCTTGCCAGTGTGGTGTAGTGGTTAAGAGTGGTAGTTTTGTAATCTGGTGAACCGGGTTTGCTTCCCCGCTCCTCCACATGCAGCTGCTGGGTGACCTTGGGCTAGTCACTCTTCTCTGAGGTCTCTCAGCCTCACTCACCTCACAGAGTGTTTGTTGTGGGGGAGGAAGGGAAAGGAGAATGTTAGCCGCTTTGAGACTCCTTAGGGTAGTGATAAAGCGGGATATCAAATCCAAACTCTTCTTCTTCTTCTTGCACAGGAGATGTTAATTCCCTCTCAAGCAAGCACTCTTCATTCAGACATTATTGCCATGGATTGGACAGGCATTTTTATTTTTATTTTTGGTTTTTTTCTCTGGACCCCTGGCTGCCAAGTTGAGCAACATCTGTTGCAAGCCTTAGGTGAGCTTTACAGAGGATAAGATGGAGCTTTTTTTCTTTTCTTTTTGCAAAGGGCGATATTCAGAAGAAGAAGAAGAAGAGGAAGAAGAGGAGGAGGAGGAGGAGGAGGAGGAGGAAGGAATATTCAGAACCTCCTAAGAAGAGCTTGCTGGAATAAGCCGGGGCCCATCTAGTCCAACACCCTGTCCTGAGAATGTTATTTTTTTGATAATAATTGTTATTAGTTTTCAGTTATATTCCAATAATAGCCTCGTTATAACAATACCAACTTATAATAACATTACTAAAACCAATCATTCAAATACTAAATTATATCATTTAGGTGGCCACCCACGTGCGAGAATTGATGACTGATTTTATTTTCTGCGTTCCAAAATCTTACTAATTTCCATTACATTCTAGTCATCATCATAATACCTTTAAACAACAACTGCAATAGTAATAACTTCCATTTGTGTTGTCACATTAAATGATTTATAGAACTACAAGTGAGGCATTCAAACTATATCCTCGTTCTTCCTGTGTGGGGCAATTAATTCTGTCCGAGGTGTTTCTTCCTGTCCTTGTGAAATGTCATCTCTACCTTTTTCTGGTTGTTGCTGTTCTCCATCATGCCTTGGGTATCCCGTGCTGAGATTTATTGCTAAGATCTTCAGAAATATGCATTGCATCACACGAATTATGACAGGAAGTGGAAGGAGCAAGCAGAATATAAAATGGAAGAATGGGTTGAGAGGTGCAGGATATACAGAAGCTATTAATGATAAATTAACACGTGCCATTAAGGTAAGCTGGGGAATATGCAGGAGAAATGATTTTGAGGAGATCTGGAAGGTGTTTGTAGAATTTGTACTGTTAAAACGGAAAGGGGGTAAAACCATCACAAGAGATGTTGAAATTTTGGGAGGCTGGATAGTTACAACGGAATGGTCTCCGTGGTGGGGTACACATTTTTATTCTCAATTATTTGTGATTATTACTTTGTCAAAATAAAATAATAAGAAAATTTAAAAAGGGGCAAGCAGAATATAAAATGGAAAAATTCCATAAAGGTGTGGGATATAGCTATTAATGATAAATTGACATGTGCCATTAAGGTAAGACGGGGAATATGCAGGCGAATTGATATGGAGGAGATATGGAGGGTGTTTGTCGAATGTGTACTGTTAAAACGGAAAGGGGTTCAAACCATCGCAAGAGGTCTTGATATTTTGGGAGCTTGGATAGTTACAATGGAATGGTCACATTTTTATTCTTATGTATTTATAATTATTACTTTGTCAATAAGGAAAACAAATACCAAAACAGATGTATTGCACCAGACTGCTGTTTATTTGCTTTAAGCCAAGCATATGTACTACTGTTTAATTACAGGATGCACGCGAATCCTCCGCGCGCTGGCGAGGCGGGTGGGTGACATGGGCGTGGCTCCCGCCGGCCCCGCCCACTTCCGCTTGCCGACTCGTCCCCTTGTTTGTTTGTTTTTTCTTACGGAAGCTGCGTCAGTGCCTGGCCCCGCCTTTTCCGCTACGTGGCCGCGCCCGGTTGGTGAGTGGGTGGGTCGGTTGCCTGGCAGGGTCGAGCTGCTCCGCCGTCGCTGCCGCCGCAGCCTCACAGCCGCCTCAGTCCCAGCGGCGACCCCTCCGTGCGATGGCGAAGGCGCACCGGCGGCGGCAGAAGCAGCAGCAGCAGCAGCGAAGCCCTCGGCCTCTCCCTGCCGACACGTAGCGGGGCCGCGTCGCCCGGCGAGGAGGGAGCGGGTAGGTTCCGGCTGGCTCGGCCTCGCCGCCAAGGCGCTTGCGAGGGGAGTTTCGGCTTCTGAGGGGTGTGTGAAGGGGAGGCGGCGGAGGCGGGTTTCGTTCGCTGGCCGGCCGGCCGGCTCTGCCTTCAGCAACGGCTGCTGTGTGGAGCCGAAGGGAGCTTCCACAGCCGGGAGCAGTCTACCCTTCGCAGGCTCAGCTGCTGCTTCTCCAGAGGGAGCCGAAGAAAAGGGGTGGAGGGTTCTAGCTATAGGGGCGCGGGCTTTCCTGTTTCGAAGGATTTTATATTTTGAAGGTTGCTGTCACTTCTGCAAGATACCTGATTTTGAAAAATGAAGTTAGAAATTTATTTGTTTGGGGGGTACAAATAGGTAGCCTTGCCCAAGGGTGCAAAATAGCCAAAGGGTGCAAAGTAGCCAGGTCTAAGGGTGCAAAGTAGCCTGCTAGCTTATTTTTTTAGCTGTTTTATTAATATTATTAACATAGATGGTAATTGTTTTATCTGGGGTTTGGGGTTGTTTTACCGATGATTTGTTAAGTATTCTATACCATTTATGCAGTACAGTATTCGTGAAGTTCCATTATGTTATTTTTATCTTTTGTTTGTAAGCCGCTTTGGGATTGATTTGAATAAAAAGCGGCATGGAAGTAGAATCAATCAAAATAACATTGTCTAAGGGTGCAAAACAGCCTGGTCTAAGGTTGCAAAATAGGCTAATGTAGGGGTGCAAAACAGCCCTGCTCCAGCACTTGGTGGGGGTGGTTATCTCTGCCTGGCTTCTGAGCTTCCTGGGGTATTCCGGACTCAAGACGGGTAGGCTGGATGACACTTTATTATTTTTATTTATTTATTTATTTTCATTTGTTGAATTTATATACCGCCCTCTACTCTGAGGTCTCGGGGCGGTTCACACAATAAAATCAGAATATAAAACCACAAAATGCATAATCAGAAGAAAAACAACAACAATAACCCAATAACACCCCCCCCCCAAAAAAAACCACCCCAAGCTTTAAAAGTCTAATCCAGCAGGGTTGTTTTTCATAAATTTTTTTTGCAGAAGGCGCAGCTTTAAATTGCTCGCTGAAGAGCACCTTCGGGTCTGGGAAGCAGCCTTTCCAGGGCTGCCAGGATGATGTGCGCCAACAGGGGGTGTGGCTGCTGGTAGACGCTTCTGTGTGATCGCCTTGTTCTTTTTCTACTTTCAGGAAAGCCTGGATCCAATCGTTTCCTCCTTGCTTCTAAATCACCCCATAGGGCTCGTTGCAGCCCCTGTGGGTGAGCAGCTATTCAGTGTTCGAAACTGAGATAGGAAGCTAGGAGCTCAATGGCACCTTAAACCGAGGTTATGGGCACTGCAACGGAATGTCTAGGCACACTTTTTATAACAAGAATACAAAGCTGAAAATGAACAAACTGCAGCAAAAATATTATGTTCATTTTTCACATAGTCTAGTCCTTCTCCTGCCCACCCCCCTAATATTCTTAAGAGGGTCTCTTCTCCAGTCTTCAGAGAGTAGCTGGAAGTGGGGAGGCAGAAAAAAGGTCCTCCTTTCCTTCCACTCTGCAGTTTTAATCTGAAATACTAGGCGCAGTACTGTGCTCAGAGCTCAGAAACTGCTTGCATTAATGAAATTCCCTTTTGCAAAATGTGCCTAGAACACTGGGAGTTTTGAACACTGCGTATGTTGTAAGGGTACTTGACCAATGGGGCTACAATTTTATTAGAAATAAAATATGGACTATGTCTCCAGGCTCGTGATGTGCCTGTTTTGCCACCAAGGATCACTGCCTTTGAGATGCTATCCTCAGTTGTTGTTGTTGTTGTTTAGTCGTTTAGTCGTGTCCGACTCTTTGTGACCCCTATGGACCAGAGCACGCCAGGCACTTCTGTCTTCCACTGCCTCCCGCAGTTTGGTCAGACTCATGTTTGTAGCTTCAAAGACACTATCCAACCATCTCGTCCTCTGTCGTCCCCTTCTCCTTGTGCCCTCCATCTTTCCCAACATCAGGGTCTTTTCCAGGGAGTCTTCTCTTCTCATGAGGAGGCCAAAGTATTGGAGCCTCAGCTTCACGATCTGTCCTTCCAGTGAGCACTCAGGGCTGATTTCCTTCAGAATAGATAGGTTTGATCTTCTTGCAATGCTATCCTCTACCCTAACTTAAATGTTCAACATGCTGTTTCACAACATGTGCTCTGGCTGTTGCATTTTGTACTCTACAACAGCCTGTACTGTATTGGCATTTGAAGTTCAGTGGGTTTGGGACAAACTTCATGTTGCATGAAGCTGTTAGTGTTGCAGGAATCTTTTAAACTGCTGTTTGCAGTTGCAGAGGCAATCAGAATTGGGGTGGCAGAGAATATGAAGGGGTTTTACCCTTTTGCTTTAAACCAGGCTCTAGAGGAAAATTGCCTTCCAGCTACTATTTGGCATTGGAGGAGAGCTGCTAGTAGTGCCAGCAATCAATATTGTATCTTACTGGAGTATTTTCATAAGCTGTAAAAGCTTTTGTTCTGTGTTCTCAGGCTGCTGTAAAGGGAGGTGGTGAAAGGGCTTTAAAATAATTAGAATAACAGGGCTGCGGGTGAGTCCTGCAATCTTCTCTGTAAGCAAGTCTTGCTGTGTCCTGGGACAACTCCTAACTAACGTGAGGGTTTATGAACAATATGTGCATTATACTTCACTGCACAAGTTGATCTTGCAAATATTCCAATTTTCTTTAAGAGAGATAAAGTATTGTGTAAAAGTGTTTCCACTTTTCCTCAATGTAATTTTTCCCCATTGAAAAAATAGGGGGAAACCATTTTTCCTTCATTCTTCATATCTCATTCCTGCAGGAGAGATCAAATTGCAAGATCATATCCATACTGCTTTAGTTGGTGTCACATCTGTATTTTGTTTTTATTGATGCCCAGTAATTTTTTAGTAGCAATACTAGTAAATGCCTTTCCAATAACTTTGTTAGCTTTCTGAGTTTGTATACTTTTATGTGCTGGGGAACACTCTAGAATTACTTGAAAAGTAAGCATGTATTTTTCCAAGTAACGTTGTTGTGTGTCTACCAAACAGGTGACAGAAGCTTTAAAGGTAAAGGGACCCCTGACCATTAGGTCCAGTCGTGACCGACTCTGGGGTTGCGGCGATCATCTCGCTTTATTGGCCGAGGGAGCTGGCGTACAGCTTCCGGGTCATCTGGCCAGCATGACTAAGCCGCTTCTGGCGAACCAGAGCAGCGCACGGAAACGCCGTTTACCTTCTCGCCAGAGCGGTACCTATTTATCTACTTACACTTTGACATGCTTTCGAACTGCTAGGTTGGCAGGAGCAGGGACCGAGCAACAGGATCTCACCCTGTCGCGGGATTCGAACTGCCGACCTTCTGATCGGCAAGTCCTAGGCTCTGTGGTTTAACCCACAGCGCCACCCGCATCCCTGACAAAAGCTTTGGGTTACTATAAATTTCCTTTAGATGCCTTTTGCATTACTTGGAACTGTTGTAGTTGTTTGTTCTTCAGGTTTGCTGAGTTAACCTTTATTCCTCTCTTCAGATTTCCTGCAAGGGTGGTGCCAAATGTAAGGAAAACTTCTGGCAGCTTGCTTAGCAGAGAATCGAGGAGGCATTCCCAGCTTTTTCCTGTTGTGTGAAATGAGGAAAGATCATGCAGTTCTGCTCGCTCTAGTCTAGTGTATATCTGTCTTGCCGTTGAGCTGATTCAGCCTGCAAATCATTGCCATATATTATTCAGTAGACCTGTAGGACACTGATGATTAAAGCACAGCTATTACATAAAAGTTGGTTTTTGGTTTTTTTCCCTTTGTAGAGTAGGGGAATGTATTGAGGATGTTGCTGCTTATCAATATCACATTCTTTGGTAATTTATAAGATTGCATTTTGCCACTCATTCACACTCGTAAAGCATTTAACATTTAGAATGTAAACTTAGATTGTCATTACAACAGTCAGCAGTCCTAAGATCAATTTTCATTGAAATATGTGTGTCTGCGCTAGTGTTTCTTCCTGGAGTAAGTAAACACATTGGCACTTGTCGTGAGGACCAGGAAGGCAAAGAAGTGTGGAAGCTTCCACATACTTAGCCCTTGGAGTAGCATTGGTTAGTGAACTGCATAAAAATGACATACTCTATGAAACGCACAAACATTTATGTACATTTGGACAAGTGGCTTTTCATATACTGTATACCCAAGTAGACATTTATTGTGGACATTAACTTGTCGTGTCTTTTGTTTGACCTGTCCCTTAATGTTTCTTAATCCTTCAACTTGCTTGCAGTTATTTTGCTTGTTAAATGGTGGTCCTCTGTTAATATAAGGTCATGGGAGTAATTCAGCTATCTAGAGTTGGCATATTATTGCTTCAAACAGGTGTGAGAAATCAAATAGTATCATTAACTTTGAGAAATTGGAGGATTCGAGCTTTGTTTCCCTGCCAAGGATTTCTGTGTATTGTGTAGCATTCCCCCTTTTTTATCAGCTGGATGTGAAAAGTTTTGAAACTTAGATAGCTTCGGGTGTGAACGTGCTCTCTTTCTGCAGTATATTGGCAAGCTCTCCCTCTGCAGGAGGCTCAATATCTTCTTTCTCTTGAAAGCCATGTCGGATTGGATATCTTGGTAACTAAATATAAAAGAATGATCAGTGTAACCAACCAGTGAAGACACGCAATCCAGTTTTATAGCACAGAATGTACCTTTTAACTGACCTGAAAATTCAGGTATAACTTGCGTTATTTATATCTATTTTATTAGCTTGCCTTGTAACATCACTGTTAATAAAAGCAATTTAAATAATTAGACAAGCAAAACACCCAAAGCAGCAGTCATGTACCCATTGCAAGTGGCCTGGACCCTGCTGAATAAGGTTAAAAGCCATAGGTTGCCACCGACATATATCAGTGCAGTTGTTACAGCATTTTGGAAGGAAATGTCATTGTAGGTCTCTAATTTTTTATTGGAGGGAGGTGAGGTGGATTTGATGGCTTTAATATTTTAATATTGCTAATATTTTGAATTCTTACTATTGCTCTGCTCAGAATGGCAGCCTAGAAATAGTTTTAAAGTAAAATAGTTGGGCATATGGAATCTCCATCAAAGAAAATCCCTAAATAGAGGATGTTTAGCCTAAACCCTCCACAGATCTCATAGGAATTCAAATAAATTCAAAATCTGGATGTTTTGGCCATATTTGGCTGCCGTAAAATAAAATTCGGAACCTTTCCCAGGTTGTAGCTGTTACATGTCTACTGCATATTTGAAATGATTACAATTGGTAGCCTTACTGCGAGACATGACTAGTCCCAAATGATGACTAAGCTTGATAGATACTGTCTCTGATACTGTAATCCAGTTTTAATTATTAGAAACCAAAACTAGATAGAAATTCTTTGGAACTGTTTGCAGTTTCTTCTGTCTGAGAGCTGGGGGATCACAAACCTTTATAGGAGCTAAAACTCACATTACACGATAAGTAGAAAACATTTGTGCCTGTCCTCCTTTGGCTTTTTTTTCTTTTGATTTGTCTCTTTGCTCCTGTGCTTTGTTTCAAGTGTAGTTATGAAGATCATCTTGGGAAAGGTGGGCCATGTATTGCTTGAAATAGCAGGGCAGGATGCCTACTCCCCAGAAAATTTATTTGAAAGAGCAAGCCATGGTATTTACCTAAGTAGCCAACATGAATACCACAGTGTATCTTCTGATGTCTGTCTAGATGTAGTTGGTTCTACTTTGAGGTACTGGCTTAACCCTTTGTAGAACCCAGCAGGTAAAACTTGTTTGCAGGTGTCACCAACATGGTTTCAGCAGGTCCACACCTACCTGCAGAGTGCTTCCCTGGCATCCACAGAGTCCTTTTCCCTCACTGAAATTAGGCTTAGAAGAAGCATTCTGTTGCAGTCAGTAGAGCAGGTTATGGTGTAGGCTTGGTCACATGTATTTCCCATGTTTCTCTGGTTTGCAGCCAGTGTTCAAAGCTCCCCTTGTTCTAGGCGCATTTTGCGACGGGGAATTTCACTAGCGTGAGCAGTTTCTGAGCTCTGGGTTCAGTACTGTACTGGACCTATGATTTCTAATTAAAACTGCAGAGTGAAAGGAAAGGAGGACCTTTTTTCTGCCTCCCCACTTCCAGCTACACTCTGAAGACTGGAGAAGAGACCCTCTTAAGAATATTAGGGGGTGGGCAGGGGAAGGACTAGACCATGTGAAAAATGAACATAATATTTTAGCTGCCGTTCATTCATTTTCAGCTTTGTATTCTTATTAAAAAAGCGTGCCTAGACATCCTATTTCTGCGCCCATAACCTAGATTTAAAGTGCCATTTAGCTCCTAGCTTTCATATCTCAATTTCTAGCACTGTTTGCAACTGCTCATGGGCCTAAGAGCAGGAGTTTCCCTTGTTTATTGTAATGTCTCTGGTTTACAGTACAGATTGACATCAACTATTTTTTTACTGTTGTGTTTGTTTCCTCTGGAACAGTATGAAATATTTGTTAACCGTTCCTTAAACAAGATTTGTAATATGCGTTGAGTGCATGTTCTTGTAGAAATGTAGGGTAAAAATTAAACAGCAAAGCCCTGGTATAGAGCTACTGATAAAAAATTATCTGGGAAGTCCATTGAGAGAGCATGATTTCTTCAGTCATTTGACCCTCCCACCTTTCCAATGTTTGGAATTCACTGTGGACTTACTCCCAAGTACAAGACTTATCACATGTGACCTTTGATGTATGAGCGTATGTATGCTTGATCAGCATTGTGAGTGACTAATACTGTGTGAAAATTGAAGGATGGTGCTCCTTTTCCTGCTTTGCCAAGCAAAGAATCTGTTGTCTGACATCTCTTCTAAAGGAGTCCTAATTGAAGCATTTGAGCATCAAGAGCATTTGTTTGGTCAACCCTTTAGGTATCTGTCTTCTGATTTTTTTCTGAAAAATCTTGAGAATAATCTTCTGGTGAGTCTGTATTTTATTTTTCTCCGAACCTTTGTCTGCTTTGGTTGACTTAAGGATTAGGATACAGTGGCACCTCAGGTTACAAACGTAATTGGTTCCGGAGGTCCGGTCTTAATCCAAAACTGTTCTTAGCCCGAAGTGCGCTTTCACTCATGGGGCCTCCCGCTGCCGCCGCCATGCAATTTCCATTCTCATCCTGGGGCAAATTTCACAACCCGAGATACTACTTCTGGGTTAGCAGAGTTTGTAACCCGAAGTGTTTGTAACCTGAGGTACCACTGTATTTTTACAATCAGTTTTCTCTGTGTTCAGGCAAGAAAATGTTGAAACTCAGTTTGCAATGTCAGTAGAAAATGACAAATAGATTCTTGGTTAAGTGAAACACGAATGTATCGAATTTGCTGGATGGAGTGAGCTCCTGTTGCTGTGTCCCAGCTCCTGCCAACCTAGCATTTCGAAAGCACACCAGCGTGAGTAGATAAACAGGTACAGCTGCGGTGGGAAGGTGAATGGCGTTTCCATGCGCTCTGGCACTCGTCACGGTGTCCTGTTGCACCAGAAGCAGTTTAGTTGTGCTGGCCACATGACCCGGAAAACTGTCTGCGGACAAACGCCAGCTACCTCGGCCTGAAGCAAGATGAGTCCTGTACCCCATAGTCGCCTATGACTGGACTTAACTGTCCAGGGGTCCTTTGGCTTTTTTTACCTTTACATGAATGTGCAAATGATCTTCTAAAGGCTTGAGATTGTGTAGTTTTTGTTTTGTTGTAATTGTTCTTTTAAGTAAGTAAGTTTCTTAAGTGAGAATCTACAGATTTCTGTCCTGCCCTTAGCACCATCTAAGTTTTCATGGCAGTTTATTGTCACTGCAGGGACAAGTTTCCACATGCAGATCATCCACACTAAAAAAGAAAAAAGAAAAAGACCTTACTCTGGTGCTGCCCATGAAAGTTCATTCTCTTGAACTTAGAGCAGTGTTCAAAACTCCCATTGTTTTAGGTGCATTTTGCAACAGGGAATTTCATTAGCGTGAGCAGTTTCTGAGCTCTGGGCACAGTACTGCGCCTAAGATTTCAGATTAAAACTGCAGAGTAGAAGGAAAGGAGGACCCTTTTTTCTGCCTCTCCACTTGGAGCTACTCTCTGAAGACTGGAGAAGAGACCCTCTTAAGAATATTGGGGGGTGGGCAGGAGAATGAGGAAAATGAACATAATATTTTCACTGCAGTTCATTCATTTTCAGCTTTTTCATTTCATTCTTGTTATTAAAAAAAATGCGCCTGGACATTCCGTTGTTGCTCCCATAACCTAGGTTCAAGGTGCCATTTAGCTCCTAGCTTTCATATCTAAATTTCTACTACTGACTTGGAGACGTTACTGTAAAAATGGCATGTATTTTCCTAATAGTTAACAGACACTGAAGTCAGAATCGGGGTATACACAGGTTTACGCTATCTCAGAAATGGCTGCGCTTAGTATTCTATCCTACAACCATGGCTTTCCAATTCTTTTGAAGCTTTTTCTTGTTTCTTAGTATTCTATCCTACCACCATGGCTTTCCAATTCGTTTGAAGCTTTTTCTTGTTTTTGCTTTTTTCTTATGTATTTTGTGTTGTCATTTTCTCATTTTCTATTTTTCTGTTGTGACCCATCCTGTGATCTTCAGATGAAGTGTGGTATACAAATTTTCTAATTAATAATAATAGCAATAGTAATACTACAGAACTATTAGAGATGGGGTGGGTAGAAAAGAAAGAAGGAGATGCTGTCTGCAAAGGCAAAACACGGCACAGCAGAGGACCTCCTAGTTGGAGATGTGCCGTTCCTCCATAGTGAGGAAAGGGCACATCTCTCTTTAATGGCATGCATTGCCTCACATGGTCAACTTCCTCAGTGAAGTCAGGGATCAGAATGAGTTGGGTTTGACACTTTTACGTAATATATCTGTTTCATAAATAACTACTTGCTCAAGATGAGTAATAATTGTCCTGTGACTAATTGGCCGGGAAAGTTCCTTTCAAGTGGGGGTCAGGGGAGTACAGTTCTTCCGCGTCATCAGTATGCCACCCATTGTTTAAGAAAGGTGTGGGTGGCTGGACAGGCCAGAAAAAAGGCTTTGGTAGGCGAGTAAATTGATTTGGAATACAGTTTGTCCTTCCTAAGCAGACAGTCTCGTCACCAGTTGGGAAGCACTAGGTCTCTGGGCTGTAAAAATTAAATCTGATAAGGGTATTCAGGCGCAGCTGAATACAATGTAATTTTGTTACTTCGTAGGAAAGTCTGTCTGAAGTACATTTTAAAGCTGTATCCCAGAACATTGAGAACTTGGTGCTATAATGATGTGGGCACTGTCTTCTCGGTCTTTAAAACATCTGATTTTTGGCAGGTAGAGAAGATGGAAGGCAACAGCCAGCTTTGCATTCAGCGTTGGTCAACCAGGCATGTAGCCAAATGGCTGAAGGAAGAAGGCTTCTGTGAGTATGTGGACATTTTGTGTGACAAGCACAGATTAGATGGAATTACATTACTGACGCTGACTGAATACGACTTGAGGTCTCCTCCTCTGGAAATCAAGGTTCTAGGTGATATCAAACGGCTCATGTTGTCAATTCGCAAGTTACAGAAGCACCACATTGAAGTTTTGGAAGAGCTTGGTTATAACAGTGATAGTCCCATTGGTTCCCTGTCACCTGTGATTGGCTCCCTTCAAGGAACAGACTGGTTTTGCAATGGCGAGGTTCAACGGGATTGTGATGACTGTGAGCCTGTTGCCGATTTGAACGCTGATCAGTATGCAAATGGAAAAAACAAACATCCTACGCGAAGACTGAACCCAGAGTATTGGAAGACAGCTTTGAGTTGTATATATGTTTTTATTGTGTTTGGCTTCACATCATTTGTCATGGTTATCGTGCACGAGAGAGTTCCTGACATGCAGACATACCCACCACTACCAGACATATTCCTAGACAGGTAAGTGCTTTAACCTGCTTAGGAAAAAGTGCTAAAAATCAGAATTGCTAAACTGTTGAGGCCAAACTAGGTGTTTTGCAGAATTTCGTGTTGCTTCTCCCAATTTATAAAATTATTCCCCTAGTTTCCCCCCCCCTTTTTCATGAAAGTATGTGCTGTAAGCACCTTTACCGACAACCCCCACCACCTTTGGGGACTTCATTGACCAGCTCTTACCCACTTTTTTGTGAAAATACCTCAAGGTCTACGCAAATCCATGAAATATGGGAAATGGCTAGATCACAACATCTGCACTGCTTTTCCTCTCCCTGGATTCAGAGGCTCATAGTGGACTTGTCCCCAGTTCTTTGAGCGTGCAGTGGCTAGCCATGATGCATGACTTAACTGTCTGTGGCCTGATTTGCACGTCATGATAAGCCACAGTTCGTCTTAAAAGAATGGTTTAATTAAATGAGAACATGCCTTGGCCTTGCACCCACAACACCCTCCAGACTCAGACCCAGTCACTGAAGCTGTACTATGGTTTATTGTTTCACCTGCACCCATAGCGTGGTTTGTTTGTTTCAGAGAAGCCATGAAAGGTAAGCAAAAAATAAACCAAACTTTGCCCTTTCTTTATTTCTGTCTTATCATGCGTGGCTTGTCTGAAACAAACCACCGTCCATTTTAAGATTACACCGCAAGTAGAAGAAAGTGGAGTTTTCCAAAACAATTTTATAAATGCCTCCAAAACACTGAGCTGCCCTACAGCAGTGATCTCAAGAGCTGCTGGGAAATCTTATGCATTTTCCTGCTGGGAGGGAAGAATGCAATCTGTCAGCAACAGCCCTTGGTCCTCTTAACTGGTGGCTGGGGTGAAATTGTCCTTTCTGTAGACACGGCGCATTATTATTGACTTTCGGTCAAGAAATGTAACATTTACAAAATTTGATACTAAATACAGGCATTATTTGTTTTAAGAACTGCTTTTTTAAAAAATCCCTGCAGGGAGCAAAAAGAGAAACTATTGAATGCTAGATATTGTTTTAGAATAGAATTACTGTCATCGGGGCACTAAGGAAGGATTCAGAGTAGGGACAGTAATCAGGAAAACAAGGTCAGAAGATTATAATAGTCGTCTCAGTGACTGGCCTTTGTTATTACCCTTTTAGCAGCAAAGGCATGTGACTGCAGAATAGCTTCGACTGAAGCAATTGCATATTGTTGTGGTGTTAGAGTGCACATATTCTGCCTCCAAGAAGTATGGGTTGTGGGCAGTGATTGCAAAAGCACTTGAAAACAAGGCTAGAAGGTTAATACATAGACTTCATGGGCCAGCAAAAAAGCCTAAACTTTCCCATGATTACCATTTGCTGAGTAGTAGATGCGATAACAAGAGGGCAAGTGGCTGAATAGAAGAGGAGCTATTATTGCAGATTAGGTCATCAGTAGCTCAGATTTTAGCTGTTAAACTTATCCCTTGGCTCTCATTCCTTTGCAATGTTCCTTTTTGTGATTAGAGGATGTTTTGAGTGATACATTGGTATCTGTTCCATTCTGTGCTTTTTAAAAACAATCTTTACAGAAAGAGCATTTTGAAATATTTACGGCTGTTTACCGGCAGTGTTTGAAAAATTAAGTGTTCTTTTACAGCCCACAGTCACCACATTGCTTGGGTTTTATCTTAAAGCTTTTCTAGAATGCACAGTCCCTATCTGGGTGTTGTCTTAAAAAAACCTTTTTGTTGTCAATTTACCAGTATTGAAAGGCTGTAGATTTTATCTAGGGAAGTAGTTGCACCTGCTCTCCCTAAGTCCTATGTGGCTGAAGGAGAATAAGCTGCACTCTTTATTTGATTTCAGCCTGCTCGCAGAAGCCAGAAAGCTTGAGAGGAAGGAACTGGGAGAAGTGGGGGGAGCACCCCATTGCCGAAAGGGTTGAGTGAGCCCCCTCCCCACTTTATGTCATGCACACTTCTCCAGAGCCTGGCCAAAGTTACCCATGCTCTGGTGACCTCCAGAATAAGCTGCCATAACACATTACATGTGGGGCTTTGAAGGCTGATTGGAAACTGCTAATTGGAATTGGCTGCTTAAAGTGGAACAATGGTGCTTCACTGGCTCCCGCTCTGTTTCTGCACACAATTCAGAGTGCTCGTGCTTATCTTTGAAATGGCTTGGGATCCGGATATTTGAAGGGTTACTTGTTTCTGTGTTTGTCTGCCCATGCAAATGTCAAGTTTGGCTGCTCTTGTCTGGATGCCCAAGCCGTGGGTGCTAAGGAGGTGATATCTGAGGGCAGAGCCTCCTCAGTTTTGGCATCCCGCTTGTGGAGTGCTCTCCCCGGGAGCTTTGCCTGGTGCTATTTATCTCCTTTTGATACCAGGCAAAGACTTCCTTGTCTTCTCAGAGTTCAGAACTTGATTCTAGTTTTGTGCTGCCGGTGACTTTCTGTTCTTAGTGGTCCTGTTAGTTGGACCCAGTGATGTTCCGTTTCATAAATATATTCATAAAAATGAATGAATGTCAATGACAAATACAATATTGAACAAGCTTAGCTTTTTCAAAGCTTAGCTTTTTTCTAAATGGAAGTAAAATACTGTATGTTGGATTGGATCACTTTCTAGGGCATCAAAAAAATTCTGGTGTGAATGGAACATTTTCCAATGTAAATTACCTTGTTCACATCAGCATAATATTCATCCCCCCTGGAAAATCCGCATTACTGTTCAGCTCTTTTTAGGTACTTGTCCTCTTGATTTTCTCATTTGTTATATGCATTCTTAGCCTCCCTGCAAGTATGTGCATTGAAAGGGAAGGTTATCAATTTGTAAAATAAGAGGATGATTGAGTGGTAGAATGAGCTGATGATGGTACAGCATTGAACTGCTGTTAAATGAAGAAACAGGCATGAAATACATTCATTAAATGGTGGACAAAATGTGAAGGACAAGAAGGGAGCGTGTAGAGAAGTAAATGTGCAGAAGAAACGGGCCATAATAGTAAAAGGAAAATGTATACTCAGCTTAGAGAAGAAAAGATCTTGCAGGAAAGCACTAAAGTTCAGAAAAGACAGCTGATTTGATTGTGTGATAAAGCATCTTTAGCCCCAGTAAACAGTATTCAGATATAACTGTGGAAAACATAGATTTGAGGAGCAGGCAAGCTTAGGTAGATGCTCCATTAAAATGTATGAAGATTTTGATTTTGTAATTTGGCAAAGGAGTATTGAATCAAATTAAATGGCATTTACTGCTTCTCTCCTGTTGAAGGGAGTGATTATGCTTAGGATGCAGACATGGAAATTGGAACTGTCAGATATTACTTGCAGACTCTTGCTCTTTTTGTAGATACATGGTGTGAATTTATGGTGTCAGGCGAGGTTTCTCCCTCCCTTTCTTCCCCTTCCCCAGCGCTGCGGAGGCCGGCTGTCTCCCTTCTTGGGCAGGATAGAACAAGGGTGCCTTTGCACTTTTAAGATTACTAGAACAAGCCTCTGCTTTGTCTAGTGATCAAATTCCAAAAATCTGTTTGTTTCAACAGAGCCAATTTAACCAATTGATTTTAAGGCTGCAGAAGTTTCAGCAAATGGTTCTGCTGTTTAGCTTCTTGCTGCTTCACTTTCTCCAGTTTTAGAGTAGTAAAGCAAAGCTTAAAAAAGGTAAGATACTAAACTGCAGAAAAACGTGATCTTTCTGGAAAATGCCAAGTTGGTTTGAAACCAGTCAGCTATGCTAGAAATTATGCTGAGCATTTAGGTACATAAACGATAGTTTCAGTTATAAATTAAATGGGTTTGGTGTGGTTTTTTTGGTAAGGTCCTACTTACCCATCATCTGCATTTATTTTGCCCAGAAATTGCACATGTCAAAGTGGCACATAGCATCTTGATTTTTCTTTCCTCCATTTTTAGTGTTCCTAGGATACCGTGGGCTTTTGCCATGACTGAAGTATGTGGTGTGGTTCTCTGCTACATCTGGCTGCTCGTTCTTCTACTTCACAGACACAGGTATAGTTCAGTTGCCTTTATTTTGGAAATTGCAGACAACCTTGTTTGAAGATCTTGTGTGTATCTGTCGTGTGCTGCAGTTCCGGAGAAAAATAGAAAGAGACTTGATTCCTCATTAAGAGGGAATACTAAAGTCCACACCATGCAAACAAGTAGCAGGTTGAATCCATGGCAGCTCCTCCACATGTTGAGAGGTTGATGTGCAACAATGGGGACGGTGGTTCCATCACTCCCATAAAACTGCTGAGCAAGTGGTTTGGTGGTATGAGAAAATGGTGCCAGACTTGTGTAGCAAACTGTAGCGCTTTGCTTATTCCCAATGTATTTTGGTAGTGCTTAGCATTGCTGTGCAGAGAGATGGCAGAGCGAGGACCCCCCCCCCCAAAAAACCTGTGTTTGCTACCACCCTGCTCACTCACATTAAATCACAGCTTGTTTTTAAGTGGTGTGAGAACTTTTCAGTAACATGAACCAGCACATTTCAATTAAATCTTATGTTTTAAAGCCATGGGTTAATGTAACATGTGAGCCATGTCAAAACAAAAGCTTGAATCCTAAGAAAAGCTAAGGAAGCTTCCCGAAGTAAAGGTTACCGTTTTATTCTCCTCATTGCAGCCATTTGTATCTCTGAAAAATCTCTCTAGAGGGTCATTTCAGGGGAGGGGATTCCTGTGCATGTTTTGGGTGGGCTGCTGAGACAGAGGAAGGACCTGAAAACTTTCCATCCCAGAACTTCCTTAAGTTAACATCTTTGCATCCAAGCCCTCCATTAAACAACTCAGACTTTTTCTGCTTTCTTCTAGGTCGATCCTTCTGCGGCGGTTATGCAGTCTTATGGGGACAGTGTTTTTGTTGCGTTGCATTACTATGTTTGTGACCTCATTATCTGTGCCAGGCCAACATCTGCAGTGTTCTGGAAAGGTAAGCAACCACTTGCCCATCCCAAATTCTGAGGTTTACTTCTGCATTGGCTACAGCATTGAGACAGAAGTAAACTTAGGACAAACAAATAAGAAATGCCAAATGGTAGCTATTTGTCCATCTAACCTGATACTGTCCACTCTGACAGGCAGAGGGTCTTGAATAAAGGTCTTTCACATTGCCTGCTACGTTACACCTTTAACTGGAGCTGGCATGGATTGAATGTGGGGCCTCGTGCAGGCAAGACATGTGCTCTACCACTAAACTAGGGTCCCTCCCCAAAATTCAGCCCTGCTATGTTGAAAGCAGGTTGTCGAACTTGCTGCAGTAGCCTGATAAAGTTCCAGAATGTGTCTTTCTCTTTAGCCAATTTAGGCAACACGAGTTCTCTGGGATACTCTCAATATTTACATGTTAAGGCAACAAATTCTAGTGCAGCCTCAGCCTGGTACCATCCACATAGTGTTGGACTGCAACTCCTGTCATTCTTGTCAATGGGCCATCCTAGCAGGGGCTTATGGGAGTTGCAGTCCAGAGTATCTTGAAGGCACCAGGTTTGGGAAGTCTGAAATACTGTGTGGCATAAGTTGAGTGGGATGACTACATCATAAAGACACAGAGTAAGCTAGATAGCTCATCCTGCCTCCTGGACTAAAGGAAGTAGAGAAATGAACTGATCCCACACTATCTACTCCAGCCTTGAATCAATTCTGTTTTGTGGTATTCTGCAAAGGTCTCACACAATCATAAATCTCTTCTCAGCCACAAACTCACTCAGTGCTCTTAGCAGGCTAAGGAGAGGGTGAGAGATAATACTGACCCATCCTACAGGGTGTTGCACAGAATACTGAGAGAATGTATATGGAGCACTTTGAACGCTTTAAAATGCTAGGTAAATGCTAAGTCGTTCAATATTGATAAAGCTGTATTTATTTTGAAAAAAGAACAGAGTGTTTGAAAGAGCAAGGTCTTTGAAAGTACATCCTTTCTAACCTGAGTATATGTTACTCTGAAGATACATTATATATGTGTGTGTTTAGAACATGATGCATTCAGGGGCAAAATGTGAACATGTATTTTTAGGCTGAATATCTCTATGGAAGTCAAAGTTTGGTGCTTTCCTTGTGGGAAGTAGGGAAATCATCATCATCCTTTTTATTCGACCGTCAGTCAGAAAAAAGTACATTTTATCAATACACAGTTAAAACATCCAGGAAGATTTTAAAACTTAGCCAACACTAAAATGGGCTAAACAGGTAGCCCCATATCAATACAGTCAATTATAGTCTTGCGACGCTTAAAAGCTAAAAAGAGAAATTTGGCCACCAAGGAAGGTATAGCTCTAGTGGCATTATTCAGCAAGTGTAAAACCTGGATTTCTCCGGGAAGGAAGCTGAATTGACATAGGAGTGGGTCTATAAAATTTTGTCTAAGCTCTGCATAAGAAGGGCAAGTCAAGAGAATATGTTCAGTGGACTCAACCACACCCATGGCACAATGACAGGTTCTCTGGGCGTATGGTACCCCCCTGTACCTTCCCCACAATATCGCAGAGTCAAGGACATTTAATCCAGCCGCTGTAAGAAGTCTACGGTATTCCACATAATGGATTTCTGCAAGGTAGGGGGCTGGTATGGTCCGATAAATCTGGTCCCCTAGGAACATCCCTGGTTTTACCTGGGCTATGTCCTCTTGTCTGGCAATGTCACTCAGTCTCCGGGAGATCACAGCTCTAGCTTGATTGTACGTCATAGACTCAAAGTAGAGGTGAGACAATCCGCAGGGTTGAACCTCATTAATGGCCTCCCTTTCCCATGATGATTGGAAATCATCCCTCAATATCAAGGGGGCAATACCCACTGGTTTAAAACAAAGCTTGAGCCATAGCCAGAGCTTCGTCTTCAAGGCCACATACCGTAGAGCTTGCCAGCCGACCTCTAATCTCATAACCGCACCCGCTACCGAGGGGGGAATCCTGAGGATGGCTCTAAGGAATCTCGTTTGGATAGAATCCAGTTTCAAAAAATCCCTACGGGAGCCTAAAGAGATGCCCGGGAGGACTTTCATTTGAAAGAGTCTCAAAGCTATCTTCACTGATTGAGCCTGATTCTTAGCATATAGAGATCTAATCTGGATGGCTGCTTTAGATGCGTTAGTTGTTATATAGTCTCTATGGGCCAGAAAAGACCTATTTGACCGTATTACTTGTCCCAGATATTTAAAGCAGTTAACCTGCTCTAGGGGGGTCCCGTTCATCGACCATCGATGGAGTCTCGGTTGGGCAGAGAAGACCATGATCTTGGTCTTAGCATAGTTGGGTTGGAGCTCATGCTGATCACAGTATTCATGTAGAGCTTGCAACATTCTCCTCAGTCCAATAGGGGATCTGGCAAGAAGTGCGGCGGCGTCCGCATACAGAAGAACGTTCAGAGATCGGCCTGCTAATTTGGGGGGGTGGAAAGCATCATTGGCCATGTGAGTCACCAGTGAGTTAATGTAAAAATTAAACAATGCTGGGGCCAATAGACAACCCTGTCTTACCCCTCTGGTGGTGGTAACAGGGTTGGAGACTAGGCCTTTATTGTCTAGCCTGATTCTCAGAAAGGTGTTTGTATGGAGGCTGATAATCAGATGAAGGAGACGACGATCGATCTTTGTAGCAGCCAGTTTTGTCCATAGCTGCTTTCTAGAGATTCGATCAAATGCCTGCTTAAGGTCAATAAAAGCCACATGAAGAACCTTTGGGGCTTTGCCGGCATACTTTTCCGCCAGGTGATTCAAGGTTAGTATTTGGTCTGTGGTAGATCTTCCAGGGCGAAAACCCGCCTGTTCATCGGCAATGATATTGTCATCCTGTGGGAAGTAGGGAAAATCCTGGAGACTTGATGTTTGGTGTGTAGATGTAAATAGACCAAATGTACAAACAAACAAAATGAACTGTGTTTCAGTTACCTATGGAAGCCATTCTATGTGAACTAGGGGCAAATTCAGTGCTGTTCTAAAGTTGGTAGATCGTTTCAAGTATTCTTGATGTATTCCTTATTCATTTATTTGTTTTGCACGCTCCTGTTTCTAGTTGTATGGCAACGTGTGGGCAAAACTTCAGCGAGCCTTTGCAATCTGGAGTGGGTTTGGCATGACACTAACAGGAGTACATACCTGTGGAGACTACATGTTCAGCGGCCATACGGTTGTCCTAACCATGCTCAACTTCTTTGTTACTGAATGTAAGTACAGCGTTGAAATGGCATCATGAATCTAGTATGTCACTCCTTTTTTTGCATCTTGATGTTGTGAAATATTTTCCAACATAGCAGGTGAAGGCTTAAGTGAAGGGAAGACAGGCATTTGTGGGGGACAAAAGCTGCCTAACTGGCAGTGGGCTTTGTGATTGACTGGATTATTATGGCTATGAATGAGAGATCTGTCATTCCTGTTTAGAAAATGAAAGCAAAGCAAATTTCCGTTTCACCAGACTTCATGATCCGTGTACTGATGTAACATTAAAATAATGTTTTATCGTTACACAGGATGATGGGGATTTTTTACTTACTGCGTTCAGTGCTTAGTTGGTGTCTAGCAAATAAGTAAGCTAGTCAAAGAAAAGACACAAGGCCATATTAGAATCTAAAAGACACCAGGAAAGAGGAGTGGAGGAAGAAAGTGTTGCGGGGGAGATGTTTTAAAGAATGCAAAGTAACAAAAAGGCAAGTTATTAAACAGCCTTTTCAGCTCAGTGAAGGCTAGGGCTGGGCAATAAATTGTCCAAAACTGGTTTGAAATCCATATTATGATATTGGTTTCATAATTTTTGACCTGTCTATATATTGTGAATCGTGTGTGTGTGTGTGTGTGTGTGTGTGTGTGTGTGTTTGTGTTTGCTATGCAAAAATCCCAATGTGGGGGAAACCGGGAAGCAAGCCAATGCCTCTGCATAGCTCCATCCTTATTTCAGACATTGTGATACATCGGTATATCATGATGTTTAGCTGGGGATGTATCACAATGTTGAAAACCAGATAATTCCCAGCCCTAGTGAGGGCCATGCTGTCCTTCCCTTTATGGAAGGAAGTAGGAAGAACCTCGAAGCAGTCCTTGTTCCTCTGGCTGGTGACTGGCATTGTTCTTCCTTTACCCTCTGCAGCCATGTGGAAGCTGACAGTTGCAGAAGACGATAGTTAACCTTCCTGATTGCTCCTAGTTGGCGGTCAATCCAGGGCACCCCTTTGTCATTTGATAACAAAACCTGATAAATTGTGATTGGCTGAATGCGCTTCTCTCTTTCCCTAGATACGCCAAGAAGCTGGAATTTCTTGCACACACTGTCCTGGGTGCTGAATCTCTTTGGGATTTTCTTCATTTTGGCAGCCCATGAACATTACTCCATAGATGTCTTCATTGCCTTCTACATCACTACGAGACTATTTTTGTACTACCACACGCTGGCGAATACAAGAGCCTATCAACAGAGTAGGAGGGCCAGGATCTGGTTTCCTATGTTCTCTTTTTTTGAATGCAACGTAAATGGCACCGTTCCAAATGAGTATTGCTGGCCCTTCGCAAAGCCATCAATATTGAAAAGGTTAATTGGCTAAAGAGGACTGGTTTGAATTCACATCTGTGTGAAGTCTTTGCGATTAACTTTCCACAGGAACAGCTGCACAAAAAGGGTATGTTATTCACATGCAGCAAGGCTACAAGGCACCCGTTGAAATGCAGCAAAGTTGAGTCACTACTTGTTCTTTGGCATTCTTTAACGTCTGGAGAACTTTGAGTTGTCTTTGGATGAAGGAAAGACATTGGATCTATATAACATCAAGTGCAACCTATTTAGCTGTCTCAAACAAAAACTAACACGTGTCATACCTTTAAAAGAATTGTTTGCCTAATGAGAATAGGGTGCATTTTGGGAGGGGAAATCATGAGAGGGAAACGCACCCTGACGAAAAAGGGCCCCAAGGCCTTTAGTAAAAGAAATTGTGCCGTGTGGGGCAAAGTTGCTGTCTTGGTACCCAAACGACAACCGTGAACAGAGAGCTTCATTGACTTGGAGCACATGACTTCATGCTATTGTACCATCCCGAGGTTTTCCTTGTTTACATTTCAGTAAATCGGTGAGAAATAAACACCTTATCTTTTTTGAAATGAGGTTGACTTAGCTTTAGTGCCACAACTCTTCCTTCTGAACACAGTATTAAACACTAACAAAAATCTCTGCATGCTTTTAAAACACTGCTTTTAGAAGAAGAATACCATAAAGTTGGGGTAGTAGCAGGCAGACAATTGAAAAGTGTGGTGTTCTTTTTATTTTGTTTGGGCAAATGAGAAGGTTTTGAACAGTGGCTCTGAGAAAGTACATACAAATCATTTTTCTTTGCCCATTACCACAGTTGTCACAAGGCTCCATGTAGCATTGGCAGATGTTGAAATTTCATTGGTTAGCTGATAAATGTTGGATAGTGTATTCAGTGAATGTTTTCTTCGTATTCTTAGTTCTTGCAAGTTAAACTACCTTAATCGGCTTAACCTTTGTGGTAGATATCACTTTCTTCAGAGAGTGTTCTTATGGTCGTGAAAAGAGCTGGAGCTTAAAGTATTAGGAGTCCTAAAAGTGTAGCACTTGGCAGTCATGAACACACAACATTTTTCTGTGAAAAATAACTTGGATAAGTTGCTCAGGTTTGCATTTAATCAACCAAGCCATCTTTTGTAAATGCTCAAAAAAGGCCACCTTAGTTTAAAACGGTTTAAAACGGTAATTGTGATTAGCACATGGATTCAAGAATGAGTTTGAAATACATAATTTCAGAGTAGATAGTTTGTGTTGATGCTGACATTGCTTTTTCAAATGGCCATGTAAGCTTTTCCAGACTATCGCAGGAATTCATTGGAACATTTCCATGCAATATACTTAAGTGTCTACAACACAGAAGATCAGCAGCTATCTTGTATGCTGAAAATCTTTTGAATAATTACACTGAATTTTCAGGTATATGATGCAGTGTTGTCACTGGCAACCAGTTATGTCCTTTCCCCAGTGCCTCTTCTTGGTAACTCAAGTGAACCAGACCTACAAAGTATATATTGGTCTTATAGCTGAGAGCTACTACTAGGTTAGCTCTAAAGAGAGAAGTAAAAGGTGTCAGGTTTATTGCCTTTGTTTAAGACTGCGATAATAGACGGTGTAAACATTCCTTTCTGGTTCTGTGTAAAACACTGCTGCACATGGATTAATACTTATATGCAGAAATGCACAGGCTAATGTGATGAATTAGAAATAAGCGTAGTTAAATTTGCAAATCTGCAAATTAGAAGTAGCTGCAATTATAGAACTGCTGTTGTACAGCTTCTGGCTTTACTTGATCTCGTCACAGTATTACAATATTTATACACTTAAATGACCACTCCAGTATCTTTACGTGCCACTTGAAAAGGGAAAAAAAACCATCGTTATCTCGGAGCATGCCTTATTATTCACAAACTGCACATTATTGCAGAGTCCGTGATCCAGCTGAATGCATTTTGCAGAAACGTTCCTTTTTGCTTTGGCTTTTAAGGTGCACAGGATATGTTCAGAATTGCTAGTATGCACTGACTGGTGTCTGAAGATCTGGGCAGCAGGTAGTCCAAAAGTATACATAATAAATGCACTACGGTCATCTTTTTGTCACCAATATAGAGGCAGACTCTGAGGTGCTTCTACCAACTGCAGTGGCAAACCGTCCCGTTCTTCCCACCACGCCCCCAGTCTTTGCTGCATGGAGAAAGGGGAATTGTAGCATCCTTTGAAAACACGTACGGTCGGTTGCTTAAAGCAGCTCTCAAAATGCAACTGGGAACTCACGACAGAGACAGCCTCTCCCTAGGTTTACAGATTCCTTTTGGAAAGGAAAAGGGCACATCCGCAACAGTGTGTTTGAAAAGTTTACAGTTCAGGTCTACATTACATTGCAGGTTGTACAATATTAAACTGTCTGTTCAAAGGAAAACAATGCTTTCCATCTGGTTATTGTTAAAAACCGCTGCTTCCTATGGGACTTGACATGCAGCGTCATTCTATGCCTGTTTACTTGGAACAATGTTCTTCATTCTAACAGAGGTGGTGCGCTTGGGCCAAGCCACCTAAGGCTGACTGAAAGATTGCCCCTTTTTTATTTTTAAACCCACACAGACAACCAGAACATCAGGAAGGGGAGTCTATTGGAACCCTTTTCCCTGACCTGCTAGTTCACAACCTCCGTTAGAGCAACCTCCGTCAGTGGGACTTATTTGGAAATATGCGTAGAATTGCAGTCAGTTGTGACCCAGATTAGATAGATGTACTTCACACGATGATTCAGATAAGAGGTGAGCAGAATATTAACCAGAACACCTTGGCTCTTGATGTAGTAAGTAACCCAGTTACTTGAATAGTATTTAGTATGAAATACATTCCTTCCCCCCAAAATAAATCTTCCTAGAAGTCGTTTTGTGGACTACATTTGCACTTCAAAACTAGCCATCCTAGGGATTATTGTACTTAAAATAGTGATATAATACTTGGTATATCTTCCTTGGTTTAATTCCACATGTATTTTCTGTGGGGAGATATGTCACATCAACCCTCCCAAAATGTTCCCATTATGGAGAGTTATAAGGTATGGAATTCTTATCATTTCTGTTTTGAATGTGCTTTAAAAAAAACAAAAACTAGAAAAGCATTTTGCACTTTTGTCATTTATGTTGGACTACCAAGTGGCACTGGGATGGGGTTTTTTTGTTTTTGTTTAGTATATTAGTATATGGAATGGTGGTGGTAAAGGAGACAAAATTCAGAGCAAGGCATCTGAAAGATTCCAAGCAATAACCAGAACATCTTATCTATTTACCAAGTGTCAGTGCATAGCAACCAACTTCAAATTGCTTTCCCCACTCTTTGGTTTGTAGTTTTGTGGTCTATACCAAGTGATGATGTCTACCTGCCTTTGGTACCAAATGATGCCCATCTTGAAATGCTGTGACTTGATACAGACGGTTGATAAGAGGTATCCTTAACACTATAAATTGTAACTCAATGAAGGGTTCCCTCCCCTCAAATAAATTTTGGTTTATTTCCCTGATACTTAACTGTGAAATGGATAAACCAGTACTATACTCAAACTTTCCCACCCCCAGTATAGAATTCATTACTCAATCTGTAGTGTGCTAATTTTAAATTTTTATTAGCAGAAATCAGTATATTTATATACCCAGCTATCCTCGCAACTACTTACTGGGAATAACTCAGTGTACAGGAAAGGAAAGCACAAAGTATTAATGCAAAGGAATCCTCTAAGTGTTGACTTATATAACAGTGCCGTGCCTAAAGACACTGATGAAATTGGGATGTGTAAAATAATAATAATAATGCATTTTTTTGTTTAGGGACTGGGGACATCTTTGCATAGTTTTGTTTTGTTGGTGAAGTCCTAAACTGGCAAATCTGAACTGCAGGGTAGATTGCAGAGCCAAGCACAGTCTGGAGATGCCCTAGACATCTTTAAGCCTTTCTGGGTATACCAAGATGACCTAATATCAAGGAATTCATTTCCATTGTAGTGGAGGCCTCTGCTTGTCTTCCAAGAGACCCGACATGGCTTGAGATTCCATTTAAAAAGGGTTTAGTTCTACAGTCCTATTCCTGTCATACAGTAAATGCACAGTGTAACCAGGGAACGAGCAGAACAAAGGCTGGTTGAACGTTCTTGACTTGGTGCTTGGCACAGACTCATTCCTTTGGATCTCTTTCCTGCCCCAAGAAAACATAGTGTTATTTGAAGGCTTGAATATTCCTACTGCAGAAATGTTTGAAGCACAGATGTGTAAATAAAGGTGGATTTTGCTCAAATTTGAAACCTGATTTAATTTATATTTTGTATTTGTTGTATTAAGCTATTGAAACATTAAATAAAATCTAAGATGAGTTAAAACGTTTAAATGACTGGGTCCTGTGTGTTACACATATTTTAACTCCCCCCCCCCCTTTATATGTAGGTTTAATAGGACAATTTAAGCATTAAATATAAAATTTATTTTTAAACACAGTACGCCAGAGACAGCTTTTAACTGAAGAGTCATTTACTGCAGACCAAGCTTGCTACAGACCAGTACCCTGGAGTCCAGCTTTTACATTGTAAAATTTTCAGGATCTAGACTGGTCATTCATAAACTACATGCCACAAAGGAGTGACTTGAGTGATCAGAATTACATTTCTCAACGCTCCTGTGAGCCAACAGTACTCATATACAGAGCAGGCTGCCCCTCCTTTTTCACTGGGGTTGGGTTAATTCTGCATGTCTACAGCAGTCATTTGGTGATTTCTAATGAAGAGACAAAGCAGGTACACGCAGGAATGTCCAAAAATTTGTGTTGCTGCTAATGACTGGATCTTACAGTAAGATGATGAACTAGGACTGCCGAGACTCCCTGAATTTGCATTTCATGGTTTGTAACATTAAAAACAGGTCTCTGCTGAAAAGAAGCCCTCTGTTTTAAAAGTTGTCTTTAGCTTGCACTTCCACTTGAACCCTGGTAGAATCTCAAATTTCAGAACTGCCTATGGCTGGCAGTTTTGAGCTTTTTTCTTTTTTTGCTGTTTGAATTTATTTATACTTTTTACATTTTTTAAATTAAAGATTTTCTTGTTTTACAGAAGTAAGTGTAAAGCCTCATATTTTTTCCATGTAACATTTTTACAAATCCGTTTCATTTGTTGAGACATTAGGGGGAGAAGAAAAAGAAAAGGAAAAAAAGGGGGTGGAGGGAAGGAAGATGGGTGGGGGTGGGTGGTGATGTTTCTATTATGCTTAATGTATGTAGGGTTTGGTGTTAGCGTTGCTTGTGCTGTTCACTTGTGTTCCTTTGGTGGTGAGAGAGGTTGGGGTTGGCCTAGGGTGTGGTTGTTTGTTTGTGATTGGCTGTGGTGATCTTTGTTTTCGTGTGTGAGTGGGGTGCGTGGGTGTTTTGTATCAGGTTAGCCATATTGTTTTGTATGCTGTTGGTGGATTATTGTCATTGTCTTGTTGGGCTGTGTATATGATAAAGGGGAACCGTACTGGGGTAAAGGCGTCTTCTTCTGTTTGTCTCCGTGTCAGTTTCAGTTTAACCTCATCAAAATGCTGGAGAGGGTGCACCTCCACAGGCACATACCTCCACATGTGGTGGGAGTGTCCCAAAATCCAACTATTCTGAACAACAGCCATACGAGAAATATGTAAAATAACTAAGCAAGTATTAGACATCAGCCCAGAATTGGCCCTACTAAACATCTTCCGAGACAACAATGCCCATTTACACCACAAAGAACTCATAACCCACCTACTTTCAGCAGCCAGAAACACCATAACCAGACACTGGAGAGACCTGTCAGGAGTAAGCATGGACCAATGGTACCAAATAGTATGGGAAACAGCCCTACTAGAAAAATTTATTTATACATACATTTCACTAATTTTACAATCATTTTCACATTTCAGAACTTGACTTCCTCTTTCTTTCCTTAAATTAGTTTTTAATATCTTCTGCATACCCAAATTAACTTAATTTGCTCATTTACTCCTCATCTTTAAATGGTTATTACAATAATCCTGCCAATGTTTTCATCTGTTTATAATTCATCTGTAAATATTCAACATACCGTTTCCATTCTTTTATAACAAAAATTGCCATCTTGATTTCTTATTCTTCCGCTAAGTTTCACCATTTCTGCATGTTCCTTTAGTGGCAGTTTTGAATTTGTTAACTGGCTAATATACTTGCCAAGCTATATAGATCTTAACGGATATGTCACTCTTTATAAATTGCTAATCTTATAAGTGCACAATAATAAGAAGAAAAACCCCTACTAAGAGCATTTTGTCTAAGCCTAATTACAATATTGGCTTAAGGAGTCGAAATCAATACTACTCATTAGATTGAGATTCTTAACGGACGACTGCAGATGGACATTTGGGTGAAGCATGTGAAGTGCAACTATTTGATTATTTTAAAGCTCAGTTGTGATGAAATTTGAAAGCCGATTTGTATTTTTGCAGCGGATGTAAACCACAACACATATTCCACATGTTCCGGGGTTTTTACATGAAGCATGCCAGAATTCATTTCCTTGTTGTGGAAATTCAAATCGGGTTATTATAACCCTGACTTGGTTTCCCATTGTCTGCTCATGCGCTTATCAATGCTAAATTGTTGTTTCCTCAAACACAGCGTTAACATACATGAAAGGTCTGGGCTCTGGATTCGACTCCTGATTCTCCACTATTACAGTAAGGGCTGCTGCTTAGTCTACAGTCCCATACATAACCGTTCCTGGAAGCAAGTCTCATTGAACTGTTGGACTTGCTGCTGATCCCTTTTTATGCAATTACCGTACTTTTCTGTGTATAAAACTCGTTTTTTCTTCTTTAAAAATTATGCTAAAAAGTGGGAGGGGTCGTCTTATACATGGGTAGTGCATAGGGTGGACGTTCGATTGGTTGCTTCCGTGGCTGTCGGCAGCTATTGGGCGTCTTATTGGTTGCCGCGTCAAGGGCTGGTGTGGATTGGCTAAGGCTGAGGCAATTGGGCAGGCAATTGGCAGCTTCTGCCGGCGAGGGGACAGACGAGAGGCGGGTTTTGTGCCGCGTGCTGGTGAGCGATTTTCGGCAATACCCCCTAAAAAAGGCTCAACAACCCTGTGCAGCCCCCTCATAAAGCTCAGCAACTCTGATCCATCTCTCCCCATTTTCTTAAATTTGAGTCCCCCAAAATAGTCCCGTCTTATACACGGGAAAGTACGGTGTTTACAATCTAAGGCTGCAGTTGTGCCTCCTTGCTACCACATCCCCTCTCACTTTTCCTAGGCTCATTGCTCTATATTGCTCTCTCCTCCCCTTGTGTCTATGGTGAATATTCCTTATTGTTATTATTTATAATTTTAGATTATAAGAAAAAGAAAAAGAAAGCATTTCTTTTTTTATAATTTTTTTAATTAATTTTAACATATAAATTATAAAATGTACCACAAAACATATCACTTATACAATCTTCTTCGACTTCCATCAGCACCTCTGATGATCCACCGTTTTAACCACAGAGGGGACGAAAAGGGGACATCCCTCAAGAGGCGCACCTGCTTCTCCCTGTCCAATGTCGAAAGCTAACTGGAGTTCATCGGGGCTCTGCAACGACCATGTATCTTCTGGAACGGATTAAGTTTGAGAACCAAGGTACCACTGTACATCAATCGAGAATGGAGGGAACTCCCTCCCTGTGATGGCCTGGGAATCTGATTCAGAGGCTGAACCTGAGGAATCCCAGCCTGCACAGGAGTCCCCGCCTCCAGGGCCGGCTGAGCCGGGGCAGGGGCTTGAATCTGAAGGGCCCTCACCTGTGCCGGATCCTCAGGAGCAGACACCAGATGAATCCACTCTGGCTCCAGGGGTGATTGAGGACCCATTGCCTGCAGGTGCTCCTCTCCCAGTCCTGTCAGAGAAAGGTGAGGTTACCCTGGGTCCAGTAACCCTCCAGCCTCTCCTGAGCTGCAGAGTCTCAGGGCAGAGAGGTGGAGGGAACTAAGTTCTCTCAGGAGGAGTGCTCGCCTTAAGGCCAGGAGAGGCGAGTCACCTCGGGGCTGGGACTGCCCTAGGCCTCAGAGGAGATAAAGGCCAGCCAGCCCAGTCCCAGGTTGCGGGAGCAACGACGTTGGAAACCTGTTTCTGCCAGCACCCAGACCTGCTCTCCTGAGTTCCTGTCCACGCCCGACTCCTCGCTTTGGACCTTGCTTCGCCCCTGACGGACATCCTCCTTACCCTTGACCTAGGACCGGACTTAGACCACACCTCACGGTAACCTCCCCTGGAACCAGCACATTGCCTCCCCCAAACTCCAATGTATGAGCACGTCAGAGAACAAAGGAGAAGCGGGAGGAGTCAGAGTGAGCAACTGCCATCCTTGCAAGGAGTTGCCTGTGTGTGCTTGTAACATGAAATTGGAAGAAAGAGACACTAAATCTACCAACTGCTCGTTGATTCTTGTCGGTGAGGGAGAGGGGAACTCCCGAATGTGACACACGGGGGCAAGATGGGGATGGGGAAAGTGGGGTTGGGGTAGGCAGTACTCATGGGGTGACAGAGGATGATGAAAGGACAGGTGCCAGTGCAGAGGAAGTCGAGCAGAGCAACCCCTTGCCAGAGCCAGAGAGGCCCCGTCCCCATGAACACGGAGGGTCCTGAGATGTGGGGAACAGCAGGCTGGGAACTCCAGGAAGCAGAGTCAGGCCAGGGCCTGCAGCCCAATTCACTAGCTGACCAGGTGGCGAAGGAGGCAAGTGATTCTTCAGCTGGGGAAGCTGAAAGCAGGTGAGGGTCACCTGCCTCATCAAGCCCAGATGCAGCAATCAGCAGGCACAGTATCAGAAGGCAGCAGAGCTGAGGGGTTGTGTCTGCTCAACAGGCCATGTTGAGGGACCTTGCTTTTGTCCTTCGAGACTGACTGCTCCACAACTATCTTGACAAAGGCTGCGTTTCTAGGCCAGCCAAAAAACGATTCAGAAGAAAATGGCGCCAAACACCTGCAAAATGTCCGCTGCTACATTTCGCGGTGCAAACGCCGCATTTTGGGGTGGGCCAAAAAATGAAGCCTTGCTGCCCTAATCCCCTGGGTGATGGTTTTCGCCATAATTCCTAACTCATCTGATTCCCTCGGAAATACTGCCAAACACATGAAAATTGCCCCCTGCAAGGTTTTCGGGTGCCAACGCCATGTTTCCAGGTAGGCTGAAAAATGAAGGGATTTTTCCAAAAAAATGTTTTTCCACAGGTTAAGGCACTGAGGGGTGATTTTTTTCGTCTATGATAAAATGTGATTTCCCACTGCCAAACCTTGCAGGGGAGAATTTGAAACAGTTTGGCACCAGTTTTGAGTGAATTGGATAACGTCAGATTTTGGGTGAAATTGTGGGTTAGGGATTTTTTCAGAAAACTGTTTTTCCGCAGGTTAAGATGTCGAGAGCTGATTTTTTGGCCGATGTTAAAAACCCTTCTATTTCCACCGCAAAACCTTTCAGGGCAGCATTTGCAACAGTATGGCACCATTCTGGAGGGAATTGGATAACGTCAGATTTTTGCTGCAATTATGGATTTTTTTCAAAAAAATGTTTTTCCGCAGCTTAAGTCTTTGATAGCTGATTTCTAGGCCTATGATAAAAACCCACCTTTTTCACTGTCAAATGCTCCCCTGAAAGGTATTCCTGTGGAAACAGAAGGCTTTTTATCACAGGACAAGAAATCAGTCCTCGACAAATTAACCGGGGGAAATTTTTTTTCTTGAAAAAATCCCTAAGCCCCGGGGTCACAATTTCAGAAAAAATCTGACGTTCTCCAATTCACTCAAAAATGGTGCCAAACCGTTGTAAATGCTTCCCTGAAAGGTTTGGCGATGGAAACAGAAGGCTTTTTATCACAGGACAAGAAATCAGCCCTCGACAACTTATCCGGCGGGAAATGATTTTTTTTGCTTGGAACCGGTCTAGACGGATTGGAACTGGTTGAAGCTGGTTTTAACCGGTCCAAGCAGGTTGGAACTGGTCTAGACTAGTTGAAACTGGTCTAGATTGGTTTGAACCGGTCGAACCCGGATTCAACTGGTCAAAGCCGGTTTGAACCAGTTTAGA